ACGCCCATCTGAACTCACGGCTTCGTAAAGTAAAGGCTCCGTTCGACGCTTACGTAACGAACCGGGAAGACGTTTGGAAACACGCGATGACGACAGCTTCCGGCGTAGTTCCCGACACTGCGATAAAACCCGGAAAATCAGCGGTAAAATGAAGACTGCAGACGTATGTGCTGTTTGGAATCATCTTAAATTTGGCGCCTCGTCTCTTCTAATCGCACGTACAGTATTTTTCTGACTATACATCACACTTTTTTCATGGTTTGGGTAAGACTTATACTCCGGTGCGACTTACAGATTAACATTTTCAGACTGACAGCCACAGTTTTCAGCAGAAAAAGCCGCTGTCCTGCTGCAAGTTGTCAAATATTCAGCCGAAAACGTTAATCGAGCAGCAGAAAGAAAGTTTGGAGTGAGCGAGAAACTTGTGAGGGACTGTCGGAAAGCGGGAATGGAGAACATGACTTCACGATAACCGGGAGGATGCACCGTGCAACTTTCCTGAAGTCACTGGATGGATCGACAAAGCCTGGACTTCAGTGACACCGGAAGTTGTGTGGAGTTGCTCAGAAGTGACACCGCGGATGAAGAAGTCTAGTCTGATTCGTCAGCCAGTTTTACTTCGTTTCACTTCGTAGAAACCGTCCGACCTCGCAGCGTTAGGATTCGCTCGCTCGACGATTGGTTAAATAAATAAAGTACCTACCTATCGCCGCTATTTGGTCGTGACGTATGTAAGGCGCCGCTAAAGGGACTAACTGGTGTATTAAGCTTTTCCCAAATCTTGGAAGGAGGACAATATCGTCTTTCCCCTTGATAAAATTCACCAAATATTCTCTTTATTCTGGCTTTAAATCCTCGATCTCGGGAATCATTGACAACACACAATGTATTCCTCTTCGCTGATTGGCTGGTGCCCAAACTCGCACTTCCATTTATTGTATTTTGATTCTTGACCTAGTCGCCGGAGAGAAATAAAATTGAGCGGAGGTACTAGGTGGTAGAATTCAATGGATTCAATGGATTTTGTGATTTGGAGTGAGATGGAGAGTTTGGTAAACTTATGTTCTGTTGTTTATAATGTAGTTATTTGAACAACTTAATATGTTATGTTAACATACCAGACGCCTATTGTTGTTACTATAACTTGCCTTTCAACGTGAAATGTCAGTTTCTGGTCCCTGAGTTTATAAAATAAAATTACCCCAAAAACTGCGACTTATATACCGTATTTTCCGGGCTATTAGGCACTCTGGATTATAAGACGCACTGTCATTAAATGGTCTATTTTCAAACTTTTTTCACAAATAAACCGCACTGGACTTTAAAGGAAACCCAACAGTGTGATGGGTGAGTGGTTTTGTTTGTTTGTTCGTTCACGGTGACTCTGGGCTTTGTTCAGTTGTGGCGTGTAGGGAGGGTGTGTCTGGGATCGCTGGATTGTCGGCGTGTTCGCAGTGACTCAGTTGTTCAGTCGTGTCTAGAAGCGGCACGTCGCACTCGCTTTTTCGGTTCGTTCCTCCGTTCCGTTCCTCGTCGGCGTGGAGTGATGAGTGTGTCTGTGGCTGTATTTCGCTGTGCGGTCGCTGTCTGCTCCGTGTGTGTTTGTGGCTTTGTAGTTTACTGAAGTCGTGCTGGGACGCCCGAGTGGATTCATGTATACGGCGCTCTGGATTGTGGGCGCAGTCGTTTTTTGATGGGGTTGGAGGCTTAAGAGCGCGTCTAATAGCCCGGAAAATACGGTATGTTTTTTTCTTCATCATTACGCATTTTTTGACTGGTGCGACTTATAGTCCGAAAAATACGGTACCCAGTGCGCTCGAAGTTCTGCGTCAGTGGGGAAATGATAAAAACTGAGGTTTGGTTGTAACTGTTGATTCGCCGAACATAACGGGACGCTACAACGACACGGAGATGAAGAAAACCGGTACATATCCTCATTTTTCCTACATTTTGTCAGACTTCACCGCAAACAGAACAGCCAGAAGTCGTCATCGCATGTTTCCAAACGTCTTCCTGGTTTGTAACATAAGCATGAATAGAGACAAAAACATTTTCAAAGCCATTTTTTCATGTCTTTGCGTCCCACTTGGTCATTCTCCGGACCCCCCAGAAGCACCAGCACCACCTATTGGGAACCACTGCCCTAGAACAAACACTGAACACAGTTTTATGGCCTTGAACTTTTACAAATCTGAACTGAAAATACATACATGTGATGAGAAGAGGGGGTATTATTTGTTCCTTAACACGTTTAAATCACCATGTTAACCTTTATTATTGCGTCAGGTTTGTGAAGTCGTAGTGTACAGTTTTATATCTTGTTTTTGTATATTTATGGAGAATTGTCGTTAGGAGTGTGCAAAAAACTTGAAATATCGATATATCGAATCGTTTAATTTGGTGATACAGCATCAATATCATTGGCTGCTGTTTCGATATATCGCCAAGAGTATTTTTAGGTATATTTTACTAAATTATTTGGTGTAAGAGCTACAGTTTTGTTGACATTTTCACTGTTTTGATGAGTGAAATGGATGTTTTTCATATTAACTTTGTACAAACTTAGTGGACTTAGTAGACCAGACATGTCAAAGTCAGGCCCGGGGTCCAAATTTGGCCCGTAATATAATTATATTTGGCCTGCGAGACCATATTAAACATGTATTAGAGCTGCCCAACGGCTACAGATACAGATTATTTATTTAAAATTTTGTTATTATTTTATATTCTGCTTGTTTTGGATTCAATGTTTAAGCAAAACTATTATTAAACATTTATTTTAGTAAGAAAAGGTTTACCGTTACATATCTCGAAAGAAGAGCAAACACGCAGATATTGTTGAAATTTGTCAGTAAATATTTAGTTTGGCCAACGACTTCATCCCAGTTTTTAATTTCGGCCTCTGTAAATTTGAGTTTGACACCCCCTGTAGTCGACTTTTAGTATCACAGCCATGATTTAGGCTTTGTTTTTCACTGAACCGTATCGAATCGATTTGAAAAATATCGTATTGAATCGAAAGTGCACTGTATCGAAAAGCGTATCGTATCGGCAACTTCTTAATGATACGCAGTCCTAATTGTCGTGTGGGAGCATGACGTAGGCTTGTGGGCGAAGCCTTGTACAGAATCTTTAACCCTACGGTTTAAATAGGGCCTGGGAGAGATCGCTAGATTAATCAAACATGCACGGATGCCTCTGAAAACCACTTCAGGCACGTTTTCAATGAGGGAACAACGTTATAACATGATAGAAAGCTCCAAAAAAGTCAATTTCGAATAATACCCCCCTTTTTTTTTTTTTTCAAAGGACAGCACAGTTTTGTCAATAAAAAAAACAAACATTTGAACGTTTTTATGCTGCTACAAACTTGAACGAAACTAAATCTGAACTGAAGCGATCAGAACACGGACGCACAACTAAAATAACTTCATCCCACGTATTGGATTCCAAAATAAAACTGTATTTTTATGTCTCCTCAAATACATTCACTATATTATGTTACGTAATCTTTCAAGTGGCCATTATAACATTTATTTGTGTCTTTTTTTTTTTTTAAATTAACGTGTTTGTAGCAGCATAAAACTGTCAAAATTAGAAGAACAGATTCCAGATTTCCAGGAACTTTTCACTTTGCAAACTTAATTACACTTATATGTATCCGAGCCCGTCTAATTTCTATTAATAAAATATATTTGACTTCATATATGTCTATTATTCTAATTATTTCATTTTCAAAAATATTTAAACTTTGCATTTGTTTCTGGCCAGTTCGTCTTCACTTATAATTCTAATGCTAAACGTGTCATACTGGAACCAATCACGAGTTCTTTTGGGACCTGTGCCCCCTGGTGGTCATTATGTTGAACTTCAGGCACGTCGTTAAGCTCCAAACTTCACCAAAGATTATTTATTTATTATATTTCCAAACATTTTACCCAATAAGACGGTCGTTCTTGCTGCATAAAGGGCCCATATTACACTATTTTCTGATTTTGCTACACCCGGAGTTGTGTTTATGTGTTTCATTCACATGTTTAACGAACAAACCCTGCAGATTTAGGTTGAGTTCTTCTCTCAAAACACTCAAAACGCTTTGTTCCACCTTGTGATGTCATGCCGTAATACAGGAAGTGCTCCACAGTGTTGCCAGTCTCTAAAAAGGAGTAAAAGGAGCTGTTTACTTGAAGACACTTGAGAACTTTAAGCCTTGTTACCGCGACAAAAACAGACCTGGAGTCGTGTTTCGTTTCATTCACACGTGTTTGAGTTACTCGTATTATTAGTCTGTCCATGTCTCCAAAGCTCAAAACGCTCTGTTCCACCTTGTGACGTCATGTCAAGTGGTAGTTTTCATTCAGTTTGAGAGAAGAACTCAGCCTAAATCTGCAGGTTTTGTGTTGTAAACGTGTGCGAATGAAACAAGAAAACACAACTCCGGGTCTGTTTGTGACGAGGAAACAACATTATAAACCTCAAATGAGAAAATAGTGTAACATGAGCAGCGCCACACGTGATAATCTTTTCTAATATCTCTGTTTTTTTTCATAGTTTGCGGTGTTTGGAGGTTAACGCCAACTCCCCCACACAAAACACACAGGGGCTGGTGTTTGGAAGTGTACCAGGAGTTCTGTTTGCAAACACTGGAAGGGTCTTATTAGTATGAGGTTACTTTCGTCTCGTTAATATTCACAAATGTACAGAGGCTGATCTACAAACAGCCATTGGTTTGTGCATGTGTTTGATATCCACAAAGGCAAATTTAATGTTTGTAGATGTGTATTTGTAAATATATCTTTTTTCATTTACAAGTAAAACTGAGGAATTCTGTTTGTAAAATGTGATTCGCATTTGTGGATCACCAATTACACAGATTCACAGGTTTCCTCTATGACGTACACAACCGGTCAAAAGCTTTAGAACACCACACTTTTTCCAGTTTTTTACTGTTGAACAAAACATTTTCTAAACCTTTGATTCATGAAAGTGTCTCAGCCACTCGCATTTCTGGGGGTTTTGCAAACCGTCTAGTGCACAGGTGTCAAACATAAGGCCCGGGGACCAGATCCGGCCCTCCAAGACCTTTAATGTGGCCCTTGGGTGATTTTCTACTAAAATATTTTAAATGCTGAAATTGAATTTTTCTTAAAGTTTCAGGTTGTTCATAATATTATAATATTATAATAAGAAAGAGTTAATCAATTAAAAAAGATTTCTATAATAGATTTGTGTTTCTCTGCACAAATATTTGAACTTATTGTTATTTTTGGGGTTTATATGACATGAGTTTTCTGATCCGGCCCCTTTGGGATCAAAGTAGGTTGGATACGGCCCCCAGACCAAAATGAGTTTGACACCCCTGGTCTAGTGTATTCCAATCCCTGACCTAGTCGCTGCAGAGAAATTAAATTGAGTGGAGGCACTAGGTGGGGTCAGGAATTCAAGTAAAAAAAACATCTCTTCATGTTGTCTGCATTGAAATGAATCATGGGATATGTATTTCCTGATATTTATAAGCTGTTGCTACTATAAAACCTGCATTTAAGCAAAGGAACTTGTGATTCGATATATTGTGACAGTTCACGATATTATTGTGAGACTTTTGACTATACGATATCATGATATTTTGGTTATTGTTAGTAATTGGTGATCCACAAATGTGATTCAGTTTTTAGTTTCACAAATGTTTTTTTTTTCAAATGAAAAAATGCATATTTACAAAATATACATCTGTTTATAAAGACCAAAATACAACTTACAAGTATTAAACTTGCATCTGTGGCTATCAAAACGCATGTACAAACTGATGACTGTTTGTCGATCACCCTCTGTGCATTTGTGAATATTAATGAGGCAAAAGTAACTCCAAATATTAGTAACTATTCACAAACCAAATCCTAACGTTTTGGTTTTGTATCTCTGCTTGGAAGATGCAACAAAACCTCAGCTAATACTGTAACTCAGTGGAGCGGTGGAATCTCGTCACCACCTCCCTTCCTGTTTACTCCCCCTGTAAGTCCCGCCCCTTCCTGTCCCCTTAGCGTCAGTGGTGTCTGGCGAGCAGCTCGTCCAGGTCGTCCATCCACTCCTGGCTGGTCTGTCGATTCAGGAGAGAGTCCACCAGCTCGCTCTCCTCGGCGAAGCTGCCCTGCGCCACGTTATACCCACAGGAGAGCTGCTGCTGCTGCTGGGCCTGGCTGCTCGTCCTGCCCACGCCGTAGTTACACTGCAGTCCCGTGCCCGCCGCCGCCGCAGCTGCCACCCCCCTGGCCCCGCCCCCCTGCCCGAACGCGCCCATGTCCGCCCCCTGCTGCTGCTGCTGCTGCTGGGACAAGCTGGTGGGCGCCCGCTGCATCATCTGCTGTCCCGGGTTCATGGCGTTGAGCGGTCGGTTGGGGGCGAACTGTTGCATCTTGGGTAGCCGCTGCTGCTGCTGCTGTAAGTGGAAAGCGTTCTGAGCGGCGTTGCTAAAGTTGCTATGCATTTGTTGGCCAGCGAGCTGACTGTTGGGCATTTGTGCGTTGTGGTTCGGGAGTTGCTGGTTTGCGAGCTGCGAGTTGGCCATTTGCTGGTTCCACGTGACGTTTTGCGGCGGTTGGTGGTTGGCGTTGAGCGCGGCGGACATGTTGGGTCCCATCTGCCCCGGAAGTCTCACCCCGAGCTGCTGCTGCTGTTTTAAAATGGCGGCATTGTTTTGCGTCTTCATCATGAGACTCTGGCGGTAGAGCTGCTGCTGCCGCTGTTGCTGCTGCTGCTGCTGCTGCTGTTGGCTCATGTTGGGGTTGCTGTACATGCCGTTCGCCGCCAGCATGTCCGGCTGAGGCTGAGGTTGTGGAGGTTGTTGGGGGTTCGTGGGCGGGGCTACTGAGGTGCCACCCATTCCCATCATGCCCTGGGGTGGAGGGAACATCCGGGAGGCAGGGTTAGAGGAGGCCAGAGAAACGACGCCTCCCATTGACGCAGATGAACCTAAAAGAGAGAAAGTGATTTAGTTTTGTTTACATTTACTTGAGTAATAATTAATAGTATTGTAATTTTTCATTTTTCATTTTTATTACTATTTTCATATTTTTACTCTTTGCTTCTGAAATATACTGTGATGTGTGAGCACCTGTGTCCAAGTAATTTCCCTTGTTTGTCCAAGTCTAAGTTACACAAGTGCCTAAAGCTGAACGTGTCTCACCGGTGAACTGCTGCTGGGTGAAGGCGTTCTGAGGGGGGGGCTGCCCGCTCTGGTCCTGGTACTGGGGAGGAGGACGTGACAGGTGCCTCTTTATCTGCTGGTCCTGCTGCTGACGCTGTTTCTCCTACAAACACACAAGTATATAACAGTTAAAGTAACATTCATACTTCCTGATAAACTATTGTGTAATTTAGACCAGAGGTCCTCAGCGGGAGAAGGTTGCAAAATCTTTGGTTGATGAGACATATTATATATATATATATATATATATATATATATATATATATATATATATATATATATATATATATATATATATATATATATATTTATTTTTTTTTTTTGAAGGATGAACAGATTTTCAGTGGGTTCTGTCTATTCGCTCCTTCATCACATCTCTCTTGTCTCAATAACAGTGTAGTTGTTTATACACGGCACTAGGCCCAACTGAATATAAAACACAATTAGATAGATATTATATATAGATATATAATATATAGATATATATAGTAGGGGGTTCCTGCTCCTTGGTCTGAAAAACATTGAAGACTTCTGCTGTAGACAGGTTTTGGCTCTTGTTTACATTATGGTTGCTAGCTAACAATTATGTAATGACTTCTGTGCATCTCAAATCTGCTGCCCACGTCCAACCACGAAGTAAAATGATAAACTTCACCAAAAGTCACCAAAAAAATAATTTATAATCTAGGTAATTCTCTGCAATTAATAAGTTTGATAAGAGTCAATAAACTAGGTCTAAAGCAGGTTTATAGTAGGTTTAAAGCAGGACTAAACCAGGTCTAAAGCAGGTCTAAACCACGACTAAACCAGAGCTGGAATCCTCTGAAGTCTGTACCTGCTCGATCATCTGTTGCCTCTGCAGGTACTGTTGCTGCTGCCTTTGCTGCTGCTGTTTGAGTGCTGCTGCCATCTGCTGGCTGTTCATGTACGCTGCAGTTCCGCCCATAGCTGCTGCGGGGTTTGCGTGGTTGGCCCCCATGGTAGCGCCGGCGCCCATCCCAGCGCCGCCAGGGCCAGGCTGCTGCTGCTGCTGGAGAGCGGAGCCACCAAAACTGTTCTGCTCCTGAAAATGTAAAAGCAGGATTATACAAACATACTGAAGAAGAGTTAGAGCGTTTGGTCAAATGGATACAGAGGTCTGGTAAAGTGTAATTATTGTCTTGACAGTAGAATAATGCAGTCACCTGTGGGTGCTGTGGGTGCTGTGGGTGCTGAGGGTGCTGTGGATGTTGTGGGTGCTGTGGGTGTGGCCTGTAGCCCAGGTTCTTCTGCTTCAGGAGCTGCTGTTGTTGTTGTTGTTGCTGCTGCTGCTGCTGTCTGAGGAGATTCATGAGCTGGTTCTTGGTCTGGTCGCTGCTCGGTGGAGCTCGGGCCTCGTAGTGGGACAGAGGCTTGGTGTTGTTGTAGCTGAGTTGAGCTCCAGGCTGCTGCTGCTGAGGAGGAGCGGGGTGACCCAGAGAGTGGCCCATCACCGGGGGACCGCCCTGGTGGAAAGTGCCCGCCTTCGGAGAGCCTTTCCCGGGCTGAGAGGGTAACAGTAGCTGGTTCTGGTTCTACGGTAAGAAAGAAAGTACAAAATTAAGATGTGCAAAATGTGAGATTTATTGCAGTGTTTAAGGCTACGTTTATATGATGATGGTCTGAACAGAAAGTGGCGTTGCATCTTCACTTTTTATTCCGAGTTTAGACGAGCGTTTTCAGGAGGAAATCTGCGTGCATTTTTAGACATATGGAACTTTTCACACCACGCAATTTTCATCAGCTACTCCTTCCGCAAAGTTGTCCCACCATCGACTGGTTCTCCAGGTCTCGTCCATATCCGTCTGACTCTCCTGCGACCAACTGGTACATCCAGAATTTGTCAGAGGTGATTGCAGATCCTTCTCTGTTCACCAATAGTATCTCTGCAGATTCTGTACCTTTGTTGGGAGCCTCCTGTAATTTTAGTAGAGCTGCCAGAGGAAATGATCCGACATGTTTGTTTCTGTGTACTGTGTATGTGACGTAAACACGTACGTGACCTGAGCAGAGTTTTGTGTCTTGGGCAGTGTAGACGGAAACACTACAGCGGAGCATTTTCAACTTTTCCACTCTGGAGGGTGGCTTCTGATTTTTGCATTTATAAGCCCCAAAAACACAGTCAGCGTCTAAACAAAGGGCCCTTCTGATAAAATATTTTGTCGTTTTTACCCACAAGCGTTCTTGTGTAAACAGGGACTAAATTAACCATGTCAGATCTGAGCCAGGACCTGGTCAGAAAACTTAAGAGTGACACTGAGACTGTACGACTATAACGCTAATAACAGCAGACGAGCTTCACAGCAAGAGTGTAAGGTTAAAATAATATTAATATAAATATATCATAACTATAAATTTGGTGCATGGAAGCAGCTTAATTCTGACACAAGTTTAGTTTTCACAGATGTTTTGAAAGAACTCAGAGCTCAATGAGACACTCACAGGGTTGTACATCATGTCCTGCTGGTACACAGAGGGGCTGGTGGGCTTGTCCATGCTGAAGGCTCCTCCGATGGGACTCTGCGCTGTGGCTCCCATCTGTGCCCAGGCCGGCGGGTGCCCGTGCTGCGTCTGCGGGGTGGAACTTGGCCCCCGGCTGGTTCTGTTTGTGCTGCAGGGCTCCGTGGAGGTGCTGCTGCCTCTGATGCGCAGCCAGCTGCTGCAGCTGCTGGGCCGGGGTCAGGTCTTTGGAGGGGAGCAGGTGGTTCTGGAGCGGCCGGGACCCCTGGGACTGAGGGTGTAACGCCGGCGAGGTGGAGGAGGGTGGGGGCGCGGAGGGGGCGGAGCTAGGCAGCGAGGAGTTAGGGAGCGAGGAGTTGGGATGTGAAGAGGAGGGAGGGACAGAGGAGCGGATGTTCACCATGGGAGAGTGAGAGTCCTGTCGAGAGAATAAACACAGTAACATTAATTCATACGCTCATGTCTGTTGCCATAGTCACTGAAACATTTCTACTAGTGCTGTCAAAAACATCACCTTATTTACAAGTTAACACAAAACAATTTTAACAGCATTAATCATAAACTTTTTTTTCATAAGCTGTGGCCACTGCTGAAACGTTAGAAAAACTACAGCATCCGTCTGTAAACAGAAAAACAATTTGTACAAAACTGAGAAGCCCTGTCAGGTGCACTGATGTTATTCATACAAGGAAAACATGAAATAAAGTCCGCTCCAAAATATACGGCGAATCCACGCTGACCTTTGATAAATACTGTAACAGAAACAAAAATTTTACAGGCTCTCTTCCAGCTGTTTTCACTGCTTCGAGCTGTTTTTATCTCCATACACTCACGGAGGAGAGTATCGCAGCAGGACTCATATCGGTCTCACTATTTAATAAATATTTCTGCCGCCGGACTTATTTTCTACACTAAAAGCGTTAGCTCTGCTGCTCCACATGTAAACAAACAGCGCCGTGTGATGACGTCATTGCCCTTAGTACAGCAGCGTTGGGGCAACAAACACGGTTACAAACACAGTTGCAATAAAAAAAAAAAAGAAAAACATTTGCACAAAGCCTATCCACTTTTCCATGTTGATAAGAGTATTTTTCAAGGGACAAAAAATGTGTGATTAATTTGCGATTAATCGTGATATTCATGAGATTAATTGTGAATAAATATTTGAATCGCTTGACAGCACTAATTTCTACAAAACAAAATCTAAAATTAAACAAAAATAAATCTAACTGATGGCAAAATAGGAATAAAACCAAACCAAACAAAATGGAAAATAAATAACTGAATAATAAATAAAATAAATAAATACCAGAGCGGCCGGAGAATACTCTGATTTGACAGTGGACAGATCCGGGGGCATCAGACCTGGACCGGCCTGTCTGCCCCCTCCTCCAGATGCCCCAGACCCCGCTCCGCCCGCACCCCCGGACAGAGCCCCCCCTGCGGCCGCCTGCGACCCCGCCCCGGCCCCTGGTCCCTGCGGGTCGGTGGAGGCTCCGGGGGTGAGCTCCAGCGGGTCCTTGCGGTCCTCGAAGTCGTCGTTGAGGATGTCCTGGATGTCCTCGTACGGCACGGAGCAGTTGAGTTCCTCCATGAGCTCGCTCCACTCCTGCTCGTTCAGGTTCAGGTCGGGGAACAGGCTGGCGGAGTGAGAGCCCGACGGGGGCATGATGGGCAGGATGTCGTCTGGCTCCTGGGCACAACACAAGAGTTTATTTAGAAGAGCTCAGAGGATTTAAAAATGTATTTGGCTTTATTTTGTTTTGATTTGATGATATCTGGACTTGACATTTACATTTTTCAAATCCACCATCTTAACAGGACTAGAGTTGGCCCAAACCAGGTTAAACCAGGACTAAACCAGGACTAAACCAGGACAACACCAGGACTAAACCAGGACTAAACCAGGACTAAACCAGGACTAAACCAGGACTAAACCAGGACTAAACCAGGACTAAACCAGGACTACAGTTGGCCCAAACCAGGACTAAACCAGGACAACAACTGGCCTAAACCAGGACAACAACTGGTCTAAACCAGGACTACACCAGGACTACAGTTGGCCTAAACCAGGATTAAACCAGGACTAAACCAGGACTACAGTTGGCCCAAACCAGGACTAAACCAGGACTACAGTTGGCCTAAACCAGGATTAAACCTGGACTAAACCAGGACTGCAGTTGGCCTAAACCTGAACTAAACCAGGACTCAACCAGGACTACAGTTGACCTAAAGCAGGACTACAAGTGGCCCAATACAGGCACTACGGCTGGTCCAAACCAGGACTACGGCTGGTCCAAACCAGGACTAAACCAGGCCTGCAGTTGGCCTAAACCTGGACTAAACCAGGACTAAACCAGGCCTACAGCTGGCCTAAACCTGGACTAAACCAGGACTAAACCAGGACTTCAGTTGGCCTAAACCAGGATTAAAACAGAACTACAGTTGGCCCTAAACCAGGACTGCAGTTGGCCTAAACCTGGACTAAACCAGGACTGCAGTTGGCCTAAAGCAAGACTACAAGTGGCCCAAACCAGGACTACAGTTGGCCCAAACCAGGACTAAACCAGGACTAAACAGTTGGCCCAAACCAAGACTAAACCAGGGACTACAGTTGGCCTAAACCAGGACTACAGTTGGCCCAAACCAGGACTAAACCAGGACTAAACGTGGACAACTTTTTCTTACCTGTTTCATCTCTTTGGGGTGGAAGTCCGCTCCTGGATCTCCATCGCTGCTCTCGTGTTTCCCGTTGGCACTTATGGACTCGATCAGGCCCAGTTTAGAGTCCAGGGGCGACCCGTTGGTGGCGCTAATGTCCAGGCACTGCTTTTTATTTGGAGGAAACCCGTCCCCAAAGCCGTTCACCTGCCCCGGAGGAGAACCAGCGCGCTCGATCTTACGCTTCACAGTCTCCTGGAGCTACGGAGAAAAACACAAAAACTCAACTTCAGACTAAAACACACAGATTATATTTGAGAATGTTCTGGGAAACTGTGTGCACTGTGTAAATAAGGTCTTAACTTGTCTCTACAACGACAATTATGATCTCTGGAAATACTGGGCCTATCCAAATTAAGCCAAAAATTGTTAGAAATAATTATTACACTCTTAGTTTATTATAGGGTAGCTCTGGTGCAAATATTGGTGTGAAGATCAGATCAAACTCCATTTTTCAGGGCTCATGATCAGCCACTTCTGTAGTTTTCAGACTGAAACTCACACTTTTTTTTTATGGTTTAGGTGTTTCCTGCGACTTATACTCAGGTGCGGCTTTTATATTAAAATATATAATTTCGTAAACCAGGACTACAGTTGGACTAAACCAGGACTAAACCAGGACTGCCCTTGGCCTAAACCAGGACTAAATCAGGACTGCACTTGGCTTAAAGCAGGACTAAAGCAGGACTAAACCAGGACTAAACCAGGACTAAACCAGGACTAAACCAGGACTAAACCAGGACTAAACCAGGACTGCCCTTGGCCTAAACCAGGACAAAACTAGGACTAAACCAGGACTAAACCAGGACTAAACCAGGACTGCGCCTGGCCTAAACCTGAACTAAACCAGGATTAAAACCAGGACTGCAGTTGGCCTAAACGAGGACTAAACTAGGACTAAACCAGGACTAAACCAGGACTTCCCTTGGCCTAAACCAGGAATAAACCAGGACTCCCCTTGGCCTAGACCAGGACTAAACCAGGACTAAACCAGGACTGCAGTTGGCCTAAACGAGGACTAAACCAGGACTAAACCAGGACTGCAGTTGGCCTAAACCAGGACTAAACCTGGACTATAGTTAGACTAAACCTGGACTGCACTTGGCCTAAACCTGGACTAAACCTGTACTAACCCAGGATTAAAGCAAATATTGGTGTGAAACTCAGATGAAGCTCCATTTTTTCAGGGCTCATTTTCAGCGACTACTCAAACCACAGATACTGTATTTTTGTAAAAATACTAAAAATGACAGAAAAGAACATTTGTGTCGCGTCTTTGGAGTGAAAGCAGAAGTTTGGTCGAATGAACTGCATAGACTGACAACATAATTGTGCATAATTGTCCATGTGCTCTGAGCTCACTGTTGATTTTATCTTTATCCACACTCGGAATGCACCGGTCTGATACTTTAGAACCGCTGGATCAGAAATCTGCTTCTAAATATCGGTTTAGCTCTTATCCTGAGTTAACTGTTCAGTCGTCTCTTCAGAAATGAATAACAGCTACATAGCACATTTAGATCAGTTTTATCATATTTTATTTTAGTTTAGAATATGTCTCTGCACTGGTATTGGCAGATCGGTATCGGAATTGAAAAATTTGTGTTACAAGACTGGTCCCTGGTTCAACAGACTGAGGCCAAGTATCAGTATCGGATCCAAAAGCAGCTCTAGTATTAAGACAGTCCAATTAATTGAATTTTGATTGAGATTTCAATTTGTGTGTCAAACGATCTCTAAACTCATATAATCGAGTTGAAACAATAAAGCTTAACAAAGTTTATTTTGGGATATTTTTTATATAAATAAGTATGTTTATTTAATTTTTCAAATATAGAGATTATAGCAGATTGACATATAGTTTATTTTGGATACATTTATATTTTTCTATGCCTTATTTCATGTTCAAAGTACAGTTGAGCGGTATTACAGTATCCCACAGTATCAAAAAGTAGCATCGGTATCAGTTTCATTGCTGTCATTAAAAAAATCTGCAGGGCATAAGGACCTGATATAATATTATAATTATATCAGGTCCTACATTTGTTTGCTCAACACAAATTAATGTGTGGTTGTATTTTTTATTTAATTCTATCCCGATTTAAGTAGTGTATTGTCTATAATGTTTCTTTTAACGGCGCAGGGAGATGATGTTCGATTAGTTTCGTTCCATTGTTACGCGATGCTCATAAGGGAGACTAAGACAAGACGGCAAGTCCGACTGCGAGCGAGTTGATCCCCAAAAAATAAATAAATAATAGTACTTTTGCAATTTGGCAGCATTTTGGTTTCAGGCGCACATTTGTTTACGTTTTACAGAAACAAAACTTAAAACCACACGGCTCATTTGCATAAACTATAAAGCACTGATAAAAAACAACTCGCTTCTTGTGCACTGATGTGGTTCAGCTTCTGTCGGACTAAAGGACATGACTCAGTGGAATATGTTTGTGTGTGTTTTTTCAGTGACAGAATGTGTAGCTGATGGTTCATGTAAAACTTATCAGAGATTATAAGTCATAAAGGTCAAGCAGCGTGGCTTTGTAGCTTACCAAAGTCGTACTAAAACATTTTGGTTATACGATAATACCATAATACTGTATACCCCGGTAAAATCCTGAGAAGATTTAACAAAAATCAAAATTTGGATACTGCCCAACCCTGGTTCAAAGTTCATTTTATTAATTTTTCAAAACTGCTCTAAGTTACATATTTTTAGCCTATATTTATTTCAAAGTGTTTTATGAGAGAGAGAAACGCTAAATAAATGCATCGTGTAACTAAAAACTAAACTACAAAATAATCATTTGAATAACTGTGATTTCAAGATTGACCAAAATAATGGTGATTAAGATTTTTCCCATAATCATGCAGCCCTATCTAGTGTATACACAACAACACAAACACAATAATTGGACAGGTGGACTCACAGCGATGAGCGTGGTGTTGCGGCTCTGCTCGGGCCCCTCCGCCCCCTCGGGCCCCCTCCCTCCGGGGGCCTCTCCCACACTGGGCTGGCTCTGCCTCTGCTTGCTGCTCCTCTTGGCTTTGGCCTGGAGGCAGCGCTGGTGCAGGGCGTAGGTCTGCTGCCGCTCCAGCTCCAGTCGCTCCAGAGACGCTCGGTCGTACCGGGACTCGCAGCTGTGATGGTGCTGCCGAAACAGCTCTATCCGCCGACGCAACCGCTCCATCACCGCACTGTGCCTGGGGGTCACACAGTCGCCCATCATAGGGACGAGCCTGAGGGAGGGACAGAGACAGGGGTCAAAGGTCACGCACACTTCAACTCATCTGACGTTTCTGTAGAAGGGACAAAACTGCACTGACATGGACCCTGATACAAGTTACAGGTGAAATAATGTTATTTCCTCGTCACAAACAGAACTGGAGTTGTGTTTTGTTTCATTCACACATGTTTAACACACAAACCCTGCAGATTTAGGTTACGTTTACACTGAAACGAATCACTGTATCAGAAATTATTTGCGTCCAAACACATCGTTTCTGTGTGCGCAATCAAAGCCTGAAACGCTAGACAAACGACTAGGCTGGCGTCATGACGTCACGTGGGTGGTAAAAACAAAACAAAAAAAAGTAAGTGGAGCAACATGTTTGAAGATGCAGCAGCCAATTTTGGGCCGAGGAAGATGGCAGGCGTGAAAACAGTCTTTTCGTGGACCAACAACGAGGTTCAAACACAGATGAATTGGAGGGAGCTGGCGGTACCAGATCATTCTGTTTCTGGAGCCGTTTTCAATTAGTTTCAATTAGAAGATTAGTGTGGACGAAAACACTGCATCTGCAAAGAAAACAACTCGAATATGTACTCGTGTGGATGGGGCCTTAGTTCTCCTCTCCAACTAAAAACACTCTGTTCCACCTTGTGATGTCATGTGGTAATACAGGAAGTTCCCTAACAGTGTTTTTAAACTACATACACCTTCTCTAGAATCATTTGGATGATTTCAGAGCAGGAATTGCCGATCTCTACTGAACTAAAGGTAAAAGGAGCTGTTAATTTGAAAACTACCACTTCATGACATCACAAGGTGGAACAGAGTATGTGAATGAATCAAAACACAATGCAGGGTCTGTTTCTGAGGAGGAAACAACAGGACTAAAAGCTCGTAAGAGTCAATTTTGTGTAATATAGGACCTTTAAGTTGTCTGCTTTTCACAGTATTTTTTATCACACAAATTTACAAGAGTAAGCCAGGACTCGACCGAGACTACGCCAGGACTCGACCGAGACTACGCCAGGACTCGACCGAGACTACGCCAGGACTCGACCGAGACTACGCCAGGACTCGACCGAGACTACGCCAGGACTCGACCGAGACTACGCCAGGACTCGACCGAGACTACGCCAGGACTCGACCGAGACTACGCCAGGACTCGACCGAGACTACGCCAGGACCCGACCGAGACTACGCCAGGACTCGACCGAGACTAACCCAAGGACTCGACCGAGACTAACCCAAGGACTCGACCGAGACTAACCCAAGGACTCGACCGAGACTACTCCAGGACTCAACCAAGACTATGCCAGGACTAAACCAAGACTACGCCAGAACTCGACCAAGACTACGCCAAGACTAAACCAAGACTAGACCAAGACTAAACCAAGACTAGACCAAGACTAAACCAAGACTAAACCAAGACTAGACCAAGACTAAACCAAGACTAAACCAAGACTAGACCAAGACTAGACCAAGACTAGACCAAGACTCGACCAAGACTCGACCAAGACTAAACCAGGACTCAACTAAGACTAAGCCAGAACTCAACTAAGATTAAGCCAGGACTAAACCAAGCCTAAACCAAGACTAAACCAAGACAAAGCCAGGACTCAGCCAAGGCTAAACCAAGACTCGACCAAGACTAATCCAGGACTCAACTAAGACTACGCCAGAACTCGACCAAGACTAAGCCAAGATTCCACCAAGACTAAGCCAAGACTCGACCAAGACTAGGGATGGGCATGATTAGTCAATTAATCGATAATTGATCATTAAGAATTTCATCGATTACATTCATTTTAATCGACAAACCGAATGTAGGTTGCTGTGCGTAGCGTAGAGTGACCAAATAGAGTCAGTACATGTAGCTCTCTGCACTCAGAAGGAGCGAGACACAAACAGTCGGTCAGTCTGCAGCGTACTGAAGTGCAAATGCGAATGATGTGCAACGATGATTTGTACAAGAAAGTCCACGCTTTCCGATTGGGACAAGTGTGAGTCCATGTGCACAGTGTATAAAGCAGCACATATGTTTCGGTGTCCAGTGGGAAAAAGCTTTGCCAGGTGAGAGTCGCTCAATGTCGATGACGAGTTCCCACCTCCCTCCCCCCGTACGGTGTCCTGGTTTTGACAAACGCAAATATGGTCACACTAACCTGTATTCACCTGAGTCATGTCTTTTAATCCAACAGAAATTGACCGCATCAGCGACACAAGAGCTGTAGTTTTATCTTCATTTAGTTTATGCAAATTAGCGATGCGGTTTTAAGTTTTGTTTCTGTGTGAGCTGCGCAAAACTGAATTAAACACATTATAATGTCAAACGGGCTGATGTGGCTCCAGAGTGGTTACGGTTTATATGTCGTAAATTTGAATTTATTTATGCAGATTAGTAGTGCAGATAGTAATAATAATGATGATCATTTTAATATAAAAACGTTAATGATTAATCGATAATCGATCGTTAATTCTTCTGACGATCGATTAAGAAAATTTCACCGAATGCCCATCCCTAACCAAGACTAAACCAAGACTCGACCAAGACTAAACCAAGACTCGACCAAGACTAAACCAAGACTCGACCAAGACTAAACCAAGACTCGACCAAGACTATGCCAGCTGACCAAGACTAAGCCAGACGACTCAACTAAGACTAAGCCAGAACTCGACCAAGACTAAGCCAGAACTCGACCAAGACTAAGCCAGAACTCGACCAAGACTAAGCCAAGGCTCAACTAAGACTAAGCCAGAACTCGACCAAGACTAAGCCAGAACTCGACTAAGACTAAGACTAAGCCAGAACTCGACTAAGACTAAGACTAAGACAAGACTCAACCAAGATTAAAACAAGACTACGCCAGGACTCGACCAAGACTACCCCAGTGCTTGTCTTCCTAATACATTTCTGGACTCATATTTCAGTCGGCCAGTACTGCAGCAGAATTGTGTTTTTATTAGTAAACTCTGTGGAAGTCTCACACAGGCCTAAACCCTTCTCAGTGAGTCTCACTTGTGCAGAGAAAAGTGAGTCTTTCAGTGAAGTCCTCGTCACGCCGTCCCTCTCACTTCGGCCCGTGTCTGCGGCTCACTTCATTTTTATGGACAACTCTATTGTTTTGCTAATGTCCCCATCTGCTGTGGACAGGACAGTATTTACAATCGCCCCACAGCGCTGGAAGAACTACTGCAGAGGACAGGAGCAGACAGGAGCAGACAGGAGCAGACAGGAGCAGAGACAGGAGCAGAGAGAGACAGAGGTAGAGACAGAGGTAGAGACAGAAGTAGAGACAGAAACAGAGGAGTAGAGACAGAAACAGAGGAGTAGAGACAGAGAGAGACAGAGAGACAGAGACAGAGAGAGACAGAGAGACAGAGAAGAGACAGAGACAGAGACAGAGGAGAAGAGACAGAGGAGACAGACAGAGAGAAGAGGACAAGAGACAGACAGAGAGAGACAGAGTAGAGACAGAGACAAGAGAAGAGAGACAGAGAGAGAGACAAGACAGAGAGAGAAGACAGAGAAGACAGAGAGAGAGACAGAACAGAGGAGTAGAGAACAGAATAAGACAGACAGAGACAGAAACAGAGGAGTAGAGACAGAAGTAGAAACAAACAGGATTAGAAACTGAGGAGTAGAGACAGAGGAGCAGAGATAGAAACAGAGAAAGAAACAGACAGAAACAGACTGAGGAGTAGAGACAGAAGAGCAGACACAGAGGAGCAGAAAAAAAAAAAATTCCAACTTCATTCTGCACACATTCTCCACACAGCGCAGAATGAAGTTGGATTTTTTTTTTGTTCTTTTTATCTTTTCTGATCCAAAGACGACAACTGGACGATACAATATAAAAACTACGACAACCCTGAAAGTCTAATAACATCAGGTCTAAACCTAAAACTATTCAAGATCTATTCTAACCAGGACTAAATCACAATCAATGGAGCTCTAAATTACATTATACACATATTCTAAACAAATTAATATAAAAAAGTAAACCATGTATATTGATTAAAAGGTATTAAGGGTTCGTCTGGTTATTAAAATTACCATTAATTATTTAAAAATCACTATCTCTGCTGTACAGAAATGACAAAGTAAAAGTCAGAGGCAGTGTTAAATGTAAATAGTCTCGACACAGAAGCCTTCAGTTCGCTTTTTCCCCTTTCTCTTGTTAAAAACAGATTAAAAAGCTGAATGTACTACGGCAATAATTGTTGGAAAATTCGACGATCCAAAAATAAAAACTAAAAAATTACTGCCTTGACAAAATAATCGTTAGTTATTTGTAGTTATGATTTTTTTTTCTGTAGTGATTAATTCTGAACCAACACAAGAACCTTTGAATCATTTTAAACAAATCTGAGCCTCGGTCATTTGTCTGTGTTGTTAAAACGAGTTCTAACGTCGGCTTCTGTCGTATAAATAAGCATAAAAGGAACCACTTTTCGAAATGAACGGATCCAGAAGATTCAGATGCCATGAAAGAGCCGAGTCACTAGTTGCTTGCATAGGCTGACCGCAATTTCAAAATAAAATCGGTAATAATAATAAAATTGTGGAACGAGCGCGTAATTAAGGAAAATTGTTACGCTCTCAGCACTAGTATGAGTCAGTATAGTCACATTTTCTTTGTGTTTTTTGTCATGTTTTGAGCAGCTTTTCTGAATTTTAACTAAACAAATGACAAGTTACTGTTGGCAGGGATCAGACTGGTCAAAAATAGGGACATTTCTTGTATAAAACTGGGACAAATCAGTGGTTTTGGATAAATCTGCTGGGACAGGGGACACAAAGATCAAAACTGGGACTGTCCCGGGTAAACAGGGACGTCTAGTCACCCTATGCTTGGTATAAATAAAATTGAAAAGAGCGTGCAAGATTGTGCATTCTCGTGTCAGTCATAATATGAGGGAGTTTTGTTGCTGCATTTTTTTGCTTTATTGTCATTCGCAAACACAGATTTAAGTATTTTGGCTAAACAAAGTACAATTTATGCTCCTTTTTAGTGTTAGTGGGGATCAGATTAGTCAAAAATTGTGATTATCCTGTTTTAGTCCTAGTTTAGACCTGATGTAGTCCTGGTTTAATCTTAGTTTAGTCCTGGTTTAGATCAAATTGGTGAAAAATAGGGACATTTCTTGTACAAAACTGGGATAAATCACTGGTTTTGGATAAATCTGCTGGGACAGGGGACACCGGGCTCAAAACTGGGACTGTCCTGGGTAAACAGGAACATCTGTTTACCCTATGCTTGGTATAAATAAAATTGAAAAGAGCGTGTAAGATTGTGCATTCCCGTGTCAGTCATAATATGAGGGAGTTTTGTTGCTGCATTTTTTTGCTTTATTGTCATTCATTCATGTCATAATCTGACTTCTGTAGCTGCATTTTTTATTACATTTTTTTGCTTTATGATCATTTGCAAACACAGATTTATGTATTTTGGCTCAACAAATTACATATTATTCTGCTCTTTACTGTTGGCAGAGATCAGATTAGTCAAAAAAATTCTGATAGTCCTATTTTAGTCCTGGTTTAGAGTTGAAGTAGTCCTGGTTTAGTCTTAGTTTAGTCCTGGTTTTCATCAAAATGGTCAAAAATAGGGACATTTCTTGTACAAAACCGGGACAAATCACTGGTTTTGGATAAATCTACTGGGACAGGGGGACACAGGGCTCAAAACTGGGACTGTCCTGAGTAAATAGGAACGTCTGTTTACCCTATGCTTGGTATAAATAAAACTGAAAAGAGCGTATAAGATTGTGTATTCTTATATTAGTCATAATCTGAGGGACTTCTGTTGCTGCATTTTTAATTTTTTTTGCTTCATGGTCATTTGCAAACACAGATTTATGTATTTTGGCTCAACAAATGACAATTTATGCTCCTCTTAACTGTTGGCAGGGATCAGATTAGTCAAAAATTGTGATAGTCCTGTTTTAGTCCTAGTTTAGAGTTGATGTAGTCCTGGTTTAGATCAAATTGGTCAAAAATAGGGACATTTCTTGTATAAAATTGGGACAAATCAGTGGTTTTGTATAAATCTGCTGGGACAGGGGACACAGGACTCAAAACTGGGACTGTCCCGGGTAAATAGGAACATCTGTTCACCCTATACTTGGTATAAATAAAATTGAAAAGAGCGTGTAAGATTGTGCATTCTCGTGTCAGTCATAATATGAGGAAGTTTTGTTGCTGCATTTTTTTTTTTTTGCTTTATTGTCATTCATTCATGTCATATATCAGTCATAATCTGACTTCTGTAGCTGCATTTTTTATTAAATTTTTTTGCTTTATGATCATTTGCAAACACAGATTTATGTATTTTGGCTCAACAAATTACATATTATTCTGCTCTTTACTGTTGGCAGAGATCAGATTAGTCAAAAAAATTTTGATAGTCCTATTTTAGTCCTGGTTTAGAGTTGAAGTAGTCCTGGTTTAGTCTTAGTTTAGTCCTGGTTTTGATCAAAATGGTCAAAAATGGGGGCATTTCTTGTACAAAACCGGGACAAATCACTGGTTTTGTATAAATCTGCTGGGACAGGGGACACAGGGCTCAAAACTGGGACTGTCAAGGGTAAACAGGGACATCTAGTCACTCTATGCTTGGTATAAATAAAATTGAAAAGAGCGTGCAAGATTGTGCATTCTCGTGTCAGTCATAATATGAGGGAGTTTTGTTGCTGCATTTTTTTGCTTTGTCATTCGCAAACACAGATTTAAGTATTTTGGCTAAACAAACTACAATTTATGCTCCTTTTTAGTGATAGTCCTGTTTTAGTCCTAGTTTAGAGTTGATGTAGTCCTGGTTTAGTCTTAGTTTAGTCCTGGTTTAGATCAAAATGGTGAAAAATAGGGACATTTCTTGCATAAAACTGGGACAAATCACTGGTTTTGTATAAATCTGCTGGGACAGGGGACACAGGGCTCAAAACTGGGACTGTCCTGGGTAAATGGGGACGTATGGTCACTCTATGCTTGCAGCCCAAATCATGAATGAACCGAATAACCAAGACTAAACCAAAAAATGCAACTTTATCAGGCGTAAACATGGACTAAACGAGACCAAAGTGAAAACAATCTCTGCCAGCAGGACTGAGACTTCCCCGTACAGATATAACAGTACTTTGATTACAAAATTAGCCCTGTGATTTGCCCTGTAATAAACGTGGGTGGAATTCTGCACTTCTTGCGGTTTATCAGCGCAACTGCACACAGTGATTCAGATTTTACGGACATAAATTTCCACTTAGTGATGGTTCACTCGTCAATATAAAAGCTTGGCGTGCGTGCAGCATCAAAACTAATAACGTGTAGGAGGTTTTTGTATGAGAAAAAACTAGAACAGCCCCATTCTTTCGCCCCCGTCCAACTCACTCAAATGCCATTGTATTGAAGCACCTTTGGCACATTCCTCTACTCTTAAATCAAACTTGCACCGTCACGAAATCCAAATAAAAACACGCGAATCCGAATGAAATATCTGGCACTCGTAATCCGATTTTGCCTCAGCTCGTATTTCATTTATAAAGATGAGAAATCCGGTGAAACTAGAGTCAAAAAGGCAGCCCAAAGTTGTCACAAAGTTTGATTCTCTTTGCACTGGTAGCATGGTTAGCGTTCTGTTGAGTTTGATCTCACTCTCATGGGTAAATCTAATGAAAAATCCACGATCGGTGACACTGTTTTAGTTGAGAATGTTTGAAAAGTTTGCAAAATGAATAAACTTACTGCGAGGCTGCGGTTGTTGCTACAGCTGATCCGCGGAGTTAGCAGTTAGCCGCCTAGCTGCTAACTGTGTTTTTGCCTTCAGACGCTTAAACAAAACATGGTACTTTCAAGCTTCCTCCGCCGAGCAGCCGCGTCGGATGGCCCCCCAGTCCGGTCAGCTCCGGGCCGGGGACGTGTGTGCTCCGGGCCCGACGGAAAACGGCGTAAAAATGCAGATATTCCCGTGTGTTTGGTTTCTATTGTTTTCAGCGAAAGAGCAGTCCTACGCCGCCATCTTGGAAACTTTCAATTTTTTTTTTTTTTTTTTTTTCCAGCCGCGACAGGGGGGAGGGGCGCCGGCGCTACGTCACCGCTGATTGACAGCCGCGCGAGCCAATAGGAAGCAAGAGATTGGAGCCAGGACAGAACGTACCCCAAAAAAAAACCGGTTTAAATAAATAAATAAATAAAAATTAATTAACGAAAACAAACAACCAAACAAAACATACAAATAAAAAATAAACAAAACATAAAATAAATAAATAATAAAAAAAATAAAAAAATATATATATAATAAAACGTCTCAAAGCACACCCTGGTTCTGCGCTACAACGTTAATTCTGGTTTATTTAATTCTAAAAAAAAAAAAAAAAAAAAAAAAAAAAAAAAAAAAAAAAAGTATGTAGGTAAATGTCAAATGTAGGTGAATGTACCCGAGTGTATGTCTGATGAGGATATTATTATCGAACAAAAATCCTGTAAGACTGTATTTTTCAAATTGTGAAATAAAAAAAAAAAAAAATAAATAAATAAAAATCTGTTAAAAATTGATTTATGTTAATTAATCTAAACAATTAAAAGTTCACTTAACATTCTGACAAGCCGTATTAAAATACTTTGACTTATAAAAAAAATTAGCTACACAGACCAAAGGGACTAAACTTGCGTTAAGAACAAGTCCAAAGTCCCGCCCCCGTCGGGATGTCGCTCTTTTTCTTTTTCCATGACAGCTTGGGCGCGTTTTACTCATAGACTGTTGCTCAGACTAATTCCACTCGTGTCACTGGATGCACGCCCACGTAGTGCTGAGTTACGTGTTTCAAAGCCATATTCACCTCTTGCCTTTCTGATTAATCAACTGAAAATGTTTATTAAAGGTGCACTACCATTTTCGGTGGAGGGTATGTCACTGGTTTGATCACTTCGCCAGCAGAAAGTTACTTGTGGCCCAAGATGACCAGATCTTCAGAATTAAAAAAAAAACTGGGGCACTCCTGGTTTGTGATGGTTGGTAATAATAAAATAGTGAATCAAGTGCGTAATTAAGGAAAACTGTTCTGCGTTCAACCTATTCATGACTAAAAAGTGAGTCAGTATAATCACATTTTCTTTGCTTTGGTCATTTTAAAGCTGATTTTCTGATAATTTATGCCTCTTTTTACTGTTGGCAGGTTTCAGATTCATATAAATAGGGACACCTGGGACATTTCTTGTATAAAACTGGGACAAATTAATGGTTTTGGATAAATCTGAGGGGACAGGGCTCAAAATTGGGGCGGTCCCGGGTAAATAGGAACATCTGGTCTACTTATTGTAGCCAAATCTCCTTTTTAAAGCCTAATTTCAGATCTCAGAAGCGAAGCAAAGGGCCGGGAATGGACTTGGATGGGAGACCACTGAGAAAATAACAGTGGTCCTTTGGCCTTTAGGCAAGACACTTCCCCCACATTGCTTAGAATGACGGTGGGTGTGAGTGTTGGTGGTTGGAGGGGCTGATGGTGCAGATTGGCAGCCTCTTTTCCGTCAGTCTGCCCCAGGCCACAATAGTATCTTACCAGCACTGAGTGTGGAGTGAATGAATAATGCATGAAATTGTAAGACTAATGCGTTATAAGTGGTAGAGCTTGTAACTATTTCCATGGAGATGAGCCACCAGACCAAGCAACAGGTCAGATCTGTGGAGAGCTGTCCCCACTTATAGTAATAAAGCACGTTTTTCAAAGTATTTTTGATCATTAAAAACATTTGTAGAGTAATTAACGCTGGATATATGTGGATAGCTGCAGTATAGACCTGTGTAATTTCCTCTGTGGATCAATAAAGTTTGTCTAATTTTAAGTATCAGGCAAAGCAAGTGTCGGACAGTGGCCGCCTTTAAAGGTCCTATATGCAGTGTTGTGAAGGTGACTTTTAAAATGCATTCCCCTACAGATTACAGATTGCATATCCCAAAATGTACTTTGTAACAGAATCTATTAAATTACTAAGTGAGTAATGTAATCTGAATACTTTGGATTACTTGATTTGCTGTAGAGAAGCAAAGACGAAGAAATCTTCACATAAGAAGTTTTGTCTGCTAAAAGAAAATGAAAAAGCCCAGACTTTACTTAACCAAATTAAACATATTATTGATAGAAGAGGAGGAAACACAGTCCATGCAGTATGATTTAGTCCTGATAAATCCTGTTTTAGACCCGTCTTAAACCTGGTTTAGTCCTAATTTAGTCCTGGTTTAGACCTGGTTTTAGTCCTACTTTAGTCCTGGTTCAGACCTGGTTCAGACCTGGTTTAGACCTGGTTTAGACCTGGTTTTAGACCTGGTTTACACCTGGTTTACACCTGGTTTACACCTGGTTTTAGACCTGGTTTAGGCCTGGTTTAGACTGTGTTCAGGCCTGGTTTAGACCTGGTTTAGACCTGGTTTAGTCCTGGTTTAGACCTTGTTTTAGACCTAGTTTAGTCCTGGTTTAGACCTGGGTTAGACCTGGATTTAGACCTGGTTTAGACCTGGTTTGGACCTGGTTTAGAGTCTGGCAATGAGTGGAATTACCGGGAAAAAAAAGGGATATAGCCCGAAATGTGAAAACAGGAAAATACCACTGTGTAATCCATTTATTTCAACAAAGTAACTGTAATCCAATTACCACTCACTGAAACAGTAACTTAATCAAATACAGTTACTCATAATTTGTACTCTGATTACATAAATCCGGTACATGTAATCTGTTACTCCCCAACACTGCCTATATATCACACAAAAACGGACTCTCATGAGCTTTAAGTCATGTTATAATGTCGTTACCGCCTCAAAAACGTACATGGAGTTGTGTTTTCTTTTGTTTACACGTCACTTATTATCAGTCTGTCGACATCTACAAAGCTCAAAATTCTGTGGTCCATGAAGTGTTAATTTTAAGGTTATCAACTTTTTTTTTTTTTTGCATCAACTGATTTGTTTTGCTTTGCATTTTTCTAGAATAACCCTCAGCTGTTGCCTTTATTTTATTTTAGAAAAGTCTCTAAAGACTGGTCTCACTGTACCTGATGCCTGGTCCACTGCTCTTAAACTTGTTTATTGAGGATTTAATGTTTTGGCAGCTATTCTGGAGGTCAAGATCGGGGTTGATCCGGATGGTTTTATTCAGTTTACAATGTAATCATGGTGCCTTTAAACAGCGCAAACGACATAAAACTCTGTCTGAAATCGCCAGCTCGTTAGATCAGCCGTTATTAGAAAGGTATAAAGCTAAAGTCGCCCCTCAGGGTTGTGAAATAGATCCCGATCTAATTCCGACTGTCCGCTTTGTTAGTTTAATCAACACTCGCTCTGTGTCCAACCTCCAGTATCACTTCATGACATCATACGTTCTTTTTTTTCATGGTTTGGGTGTTTCCTGCGACTTATATATTAAAATGTTGACACTGAAGCGGTGAGAGGTTCTAGTCTTGTGTGTCAGTATCTGCTGCTCCTGTTCCTCTTGTACCACTGTCACTTGGCTCTACTGCACATGTCTCCTGAAGAAAGAGCCTCTGTCCTGCTGCAAGTCGTGAAATATTCAGCCAAAAACAGTAATCGAGCAGCAGAAAGGAAGTTTGGAGTGAGTGAGAAACTTGTGACACCGGGAGGATGCGCCATGAAACTTTCCTGAAGTCACTGGATGAGTCGACAAAGCCTGAACTTCAGTGACACCGAAACCATCCTGTCGGGATTCAGAAGGACCAGACAGCTACACAGAAGAGGAAGCGGCGCTCTGTTTACCTCCGGAGGTCGTGGAGTTACTCAGAAGTGACGCCGAGGATGAAGAATTGAATGGATTTAGTGATTTGGAGTGAGATGGAGAGTTTGGTAAACTTATTCTGTTCTGTTGTTTATGTTATAATTATCTGAAGAACTGTTCATATGTGACGTTTTAACAGTCTGTTGTTCTCTCTTCTACTGTTTTTACTAGAGCTTGACTTTCAAAACAAACAAAATAAATAAACAAATAATCCGCCCATATATATTCACCGCATCATTGTTTAAGTCACAGTTTTCAAAATGTGAGAAAAAAAAGAAAAAAGTAGCATCTTATAGTCCAGAAATTACTAGGGATGTAACGATAATCCAAATCTCACAGTACAATATTTCCTGTGATATTTTGAAGAAGCTGATATAATTGTAGATAAGACACTTTTTTGCTTTTAAAAAACCTTGACAAGATTTTGGTGTGAATTATTTCCGTCATAATCCCAAGAATTCAAGCAAAAAAAACTATATTTCTTCATGTTGTTTGCGCTGAAATGAATCATGGGATATGTAGTTCCTGATGTTTATGAGCTGTTGCTACTATAAAAGCATGCATTTAAGCAAAGGAACTTATGATATCGATATTGTTGTGAGATTTGACAATGCGATATCACTATATTTCAGTTATTGTTACATCCCTAGAATTTACAAAACTTTATTGATCCCGACGGTGTGCATACCTGTTAGAAGAATCACACTGTTCCTTATACCTGAAGGTTTTGCTGCCACATTTGGTGTAAAAAAAAAAAATCGTGCAACATCTCAGACGTCTATAGTCAGCTCCTTAATCATCTTGACATTTGGAGCTGGTGAATTTTGACCTGGTTCAGTATCAGGATAAATAAAAAAGGAGCCGTACCTTCCCAGTGCAGCAGAAAACTTGACTTTCGAGATAAACTCAGAGACCAGGAACTGACATTTTATGTTTTTTTTCTGCTTCATTACACTTTTTCTTTTGGCTGGTGTGACTTATAATCCGGGGTGTTATAGTCCAAAAAAAAGACAGTAATAATAAAGGATTACTCAAACATGTGAATGAAACTAAACACAAATCCGGGTATGTTTTTGGTGAGGTAACACAAGCCAATTTTGCGTAATATAGGACCTTTGATGACACAAGAAGGAACAGAGTGTTTTCAGTTTGAGATAAGAACTCAGTCTAAATCCGCGTTAAACGTGTAAATGAAACAAAAACACAACTCCAGGTCTGTTTGTGATGAGGAAACAACATTATAACATAGACACAAAATAGTGTAATATGAGCTCTTTAACGCAAAGTCGGTGTTTACAAGAATACACACCTGAATGCAGATTTCGTTTAGTATTTTTATTCATCAAACATCTGTTCCATGCACACTCAGCCTCGGTCACAGTATCTCAGCGTCACGCCTGTCTCTACAAACAACATTGCAGGAAAAAAAATATTACAAATAAAATACAAAATTTAGAAAAGATGACAGCAATCGACAGCAGAAGTCAGACTAGAGTTAGACTAGGCAGATCTAGGCCTGTTACATGTGCAGGGAATAGTTTTAAAATTCCAACTTTTCTGTTCAGACGAGAGGAAATCTCCAAAAAAATTCAAAATTATTAAACATAAATACTGAGAAAATATGGAAAATTATCCGTGTACATGTAACTGGACCTACCTAATTTAAAAAAGAAAAAAAAAAAAAAAAAAGGGAAAAATACCAAAAAACGTGAATGTATCAAGACAAGACAAAAAAAGTGTTAAAAAAAGAAAACATGGAGCTTTGAGGCTAAAAAAAAAAAAAAAAAAAAAAAAAAAAAATCGTCCAAACAATTTTATTAATAATTATTTTATTTAAACAAACCTACTACAAACCTACCCACCGCCCGCCAACCATTCAGTGCACAGTATTCGGAGTAAAAATTTAAAATAAAAATTGAAAAGTTGCTTGCTTAAAGTATAAAGCCAACAGAGCCAAAAGAAAAAAAAATGATTTAATTTGAATTCTGGGAAATTTTAAATAAAAGTTTGAATCATTATTAGATTTGGAATTCACTTTTGAAAATACTAATGACTTGCTGATTAGTTCATGATTCAAAATAGAGCAGATTTTTAAGTTGAAATTGTTAAACTGAAACCATAGGCTGTAGTGTTCGGCTCCAGTCAAATGAAGCTCATCAAGGCTTGCGGTTATAGAAGCGAATTTGGAGTCGGGTTTCATGTCAGGCGTCGATTTACGGTCAAAATACAAAATAAAAACCCTCTGTACGTGATCCTGGTGTTAATATGAACATTTTAACCATGCTCACTTCCTGTTTACAATGATGCGGCTATGGGTTGGCTATGTCCATTTATATATGTGCAGTCTACGATTAAAACAGAACACAGGTTACAAGCTAAATATCGGCGCCAAGAAATTTCGTTTTTAGTAAATTTTTGTCAATTCTTCAGTTTATTTTAGTATAAAAATTGAAAGTACAGCTTCAAAATTACACAAAATTGATTATTAAAAGTTGCACTATGTAACTTTTTGGTTGGCGATCAGTCGAAATGTTCCACAGTGTGACATTAAACAGCTCTATTTTACATTTATTCAGTTACAGGTGGTTTTATAGCTCAAAATTACCTACAAAAACAGGCATTCTGACTGTGTGCGGCATCGCCTCTCCACAGATCTGACCTGTAACTTCATCTGAATTGAGTCTCCATACAGATAAACGTTTAATGCCATACTGCGAAACATTCCAGACTGAGCAATAAAATTTTACGGACTCTCCACTGGAAAAGTTTCAATGCACCTTCAAGCTACTTTTTCCTAGTTTACGCTATTTAAACACTTTTTTTTTTGCTTTTTAAATTTCTTTACAAAGTTGGGCATGGTCTATAAACATTTTAAAAATCGAATATTTTCAGAGCGGGGTAAAAGTGCCATGCCGATAAAACCGTGGGACAGATTTGGCAGTGGGTTTTTGGGGTAAACAGGCGAACAGTGAATAAGCGCTGGAGTTAGTGCCGGTATCTTTACAAATGGGGTCGTTTCAAAAAAAAAAAAAAGGGGGGGATCGTTCACCTGTCACAAACTAATTTAGATTTTAAAAAAAAAAAGGTGCATTGTGGAACTTTCCAGGTAGAGGGTCCGCTCATGCGACTGCTCGTCTCCACGGTGATGGTATTCCTACGTCTGAAATGATTCACAGCGCGGCATTAAACTCATCCAGCTTCAATTCGTGAAATTGTTGGACAGTCAGCGGGCCGTCTTCTCCACAGATCTGACCCGTAACTTGGTTTGGTGGCTCGTTTCCATGGCGATAGTTAAGTTTACATCGTCACGGAGACAAAAATGTAAGCAGATCCTCCACCCCAAAAGTTACACAGCGCACTTTTAAACAACTGAAATTAATTTTAGCCGAAATAAACCTTAAACATTTTGCATTATTTCTAAACTCGTACATATGTAAGTGGGTTTAGTTATGTTTAGTCATAAAATAAATATGACTTCACATTTTTAATAGATTTGATATTTTATTAAGTATTTTTCCATTTTATTTTGACTTGTACCTTTACATTTACATAATTATTTCTTATTTGACACCTGTCTCTTGCTCTTTTTTGCTGCTTATTTAGAATTTATTATTACCATTTTTATTTTTTACTCTTTGTTTTTATATTATATTGTGATTTGTGGGCATCTGTGTCCAAATAATTTCCCTTGTGGATCAATAAAATTTGTCTAATTCTAATCCTTGGCTCTTTTAGCTTAACCTACTGAGACTGATCAGGATTTAATTTGTCGCAAAAATATTCTGTTTTAGATTAGAGATGGTTTATCAATGGTTTTTAATCGGTTCTATTTCTAAATCAACAGATATCTGTATCAGCTAGAGACTGTATAAAAACATACCCATAGCATTTGGCTCCAGTCAAATGAAGCTCATCGAGGCTTGCAGTTATACGAGCAAATTTGGAGCAAGTTCCGTGTTAGGAGTATGAATTTATTTATTTACGGAAAAATTTTGTGACTGAGTGAGCACTAGGATCATGTAGAGCGGGTTAATACGAACATTTCAAGACCAAAATGGTGAGGCTCACACCAGCAGTTCCAGAAAGAGGGGTGATGATTTTTCAATAGAAAGTCAACTGGAGCCAGAGTCGATGGAGCCGGAATCGTGCCCACACTCACTTCCTATTTGGAGCGCGGCGGCTACCGGGTTACCCGGGTCCATTTATATTTACAGTCTATGGTATCAGCCCGATATTGAAAAATTTGCAGGTATTTGAACCGATTTTTTTTTTTTGCACTGTATGAGTTTTGGTGTGTCCAAAAATTAAGCGAAAATTCAGACCTTCCTTCAGATTTTAAAAGCTTAATATCAGTATCTGTGAATATCGGTACCGGTGAATTTCGGCATCGGCCCATATCGGTATTGACAAAAATCACAATCAGTGGATATCTGTATCCACAAATACTGGCATCGACAAATACCGATATTGGTGAATATCGGTATCCACAAATATTGAATCGACAAATATCAGTATCAACGAACATCGCAATCAGTGAATATCAGTATCCACATATATTGACAGTGACAAATATCAGTAAAGACGAATATCGGTATCGGTGAATATCGATATCGACACATATCGCAGTAAGTGAATATCAGTATCCACATATATTGACATTGACAAATATCAGTACAGACAAATATAGGTATCGGTGAATATCGATATCGACGAATATCGCAATAAGTGAAAATCGGTATCGGTGAATATCGGTGACCCGCCACAACAGATCAGATCCTCCCTAATTTGAAAAACAAATAGTTTAATAATGAAAATCTTGAGTCTGTTCCCAAGACCATTTTAATCTATTCAAACATTTTAGCAAGTCATTAGCATTAGCGTTAGCATTAGCCTAGCATACATTACTGTTGACATGACATTTTCACGAAAGTATAGATTAATTTAGTTTAATATTTGGTTATAGAACATAATAACAGATTTATTTTTATTTGACTGTGGCTGTTTTTTTTTTCTTTTTTCTTTCTAACTTTATTAGCTTTAGCATATTAGCTTTAGCATATTAGCTTGTCTCGTGTTAGCTTAGTGACGGACGGCGGTTCTCGATGTTTTTTTTTATGGAATGATACAGTTTCTGAAAATTCTCTTAGTCCCAGGCTTTTCGTCCAATCAGATTCTTCCTCAGGGCGGAGGGGGAGGGGCTTCCGGCGGCTGTTATCCAATGCCCTCAGAGAGAAGGGGCGGGTTTAGGTTGTTGTTGTTTTTTTGTTTGTTTTGTTTTATTTTAGGGGCAGAGGAGTTCGTTTAGTCCTTTCGAGGTCTCCTGTTTCTGGGAGATCTGCGCAGAATGTCCTCCTCCAGTTTCTACAAAAAAAAGAGAAAAAAAATATAAAAAATTATAATTACAAATAGTGCGTTAACAATCACATAAGACACCGTTTTCTGATCCATGTTGTGTTGTTTCCTCGTCAAAAACAGACCTGGAGTTGTGTTTTGTTTCATTCACATGCCGAGTTTTTCTCTCAAACTGAAAAAACACTCGTACCACCTCGTGATGTCATGTGGTAATTATGGATGTAACGATATCCAAATTTCTCGGTACGATATTATCACGATACGCATCTCACGTTACGATATTTATTACGATATTTTGAAGAGGCTAATATAATTGCAGATAAGACACGTTTTTGCTTTTTAAATACCTTGACAAGATTTTGGTGTGAATTATTTCAAAATCCCAAGAATTCAAGTAAAAAAAACACATTTCTTCATGTTGTCTGCGCTGAAATGCATCATGGGATATGTAGTTTCTGATGTTTATAAGCCGTTACTACTATAAAACTAAACATTTAAGCAAAGAAACTTGTAATTCAATATATTGTGATGGTCCACGATATTACTGTGAGACTTTCGACGATACGATATCACGATATTTACGTTACTGTTACATCCCTAGAAGAGCTCTACTGCGTTTTTAAACTCCACACACCTTCACTAAATAGTAAATGGTCATGTCTTTCTATTTTTTTCCACCTTCAAGGCCCTCAAAGCGCTTTTACAACAAGGAACTACTCACTCATTCACACACACACACACACACGTTCATACACATGGGGGCGAGGTGGGTAAAGTGCCTTGCCCAAGGACACAAAAACAGCATTAATCTGTGGGAGCTGAAATCGCACCACGCTCTACCAACTGAGCTCCTGTCGCCCTGTCACTAGAATCATTTGGATAATTTCAGTCCAGGAACGGCCAATCTCTACAAAACTAAAGGTAAAAACGAAGCTGTTAACTTGAAAACAACCACTACATGACATCACAAGGTGCAACAGAGCATTTTGAGCTTTGGAAATGTAGACAAACATGTACGAATGAAACAAAACACAACTCCAGGTCTGTTTTGGATGAGAAAACAACATTATAACACGACTTAGAGCTCTAAAGAGTCGAGTAAATTGCAAAGATGATTCAAATACAAAGTGCAGCTGTAGAAGTAAAACGTCCCATTTTTTTCAAAAGACCCATCACATAAATATATTTAAAGGTACAGTATGTAACTTTCTGAAGGACAGAGGAAGATTATAGCCAAAGGGAACAACATTTCCATGGAGACAAGCCCGCTCAGAGTAAGTAAGCTTGTTTTTTAGTTCAATAAACACAACCAAAATGAAATAAAAGAAAAAAAAAAACATGCTTCATTTTAGTGTATTTCTTGGCTAAAAAGTTACATACTGTGGCTTTAAATCCTTGTTTAGTCCCGTTTAAGTGTGTGTTGAGTCTTAGTTTAAGCCTACGTGTTTTGAACGATCCAGAGCAGGTTAAACGTTTAAAGTTAAGGTTATGTTTCCATGGAGATAAACCACAAAAATCCAAATTAAATTAACCCTCTTTGGTTTAGTTCGAAGTTCAAACCTGTCCTGGATTAGTCCTGGGGTTCGTTTAAGGAAGAGACAGAAATGTTGAGCTTTAGAGGAACCAACACCTTGAAATTTAGCACAAAAGAAGTCCTATTTTCAACTACCCCCTAGCCCCGCCCCCAACGGCGTCACAGAAAAAGAAAAAAAATCAACAGAATTGTCTAAAGATTTGAAGATCTCGAAGGACAAAAAGCACCAAAGATGATCTGAACATTTTTAAAGAGAGCTGGAAATCAACAAATGACTGATTTTATTAATTTATTTTTGTTTACCTCTTTGTAACATCCAAAATTATTTTTTCTGCAAAAAATAAACAATAACATTTGATCAATTAAAGGTTTCCTCACAGTTCCCTTAACAATGGAAAATATTATACGATTAAAACACTACTAGGCTTGTCACAGCAATTACTATACTGATTTAAAGGTGCATTGTGTAACTTTTCTGGTGGAGGGTCCGTCACTTGTTTGTTTCTACGGATATGTGATCAATCTGCCTGAAATGTTCCGCAGTGTGACATTAAAACTGCTCTACATCACATTTATTCAATTACAGGTGGTTTTATTGGGGCGAAAATATGAATAAAAACAGACTTTCTGACTGTGAGCAGGGTCGCCTCTCCACAGATCTTACCCGTAACTTGGTCTGGTGGTCAGTATTTATGGTTTGTATGTTTTCTTTGTGAAATTGTGGAGATTTGTGGTATTTTTTTTTTGTAATACGATAAGATTTGAGCTGTAGAGGATTGAATAAATCACTTCTCTGGCAAATTTTTGGTTCATTCTGGTATTTATTTGTTGCAGGATTTTAACGATACTTAAAGGTGCGTTGTGGAACTTTTCTGGTGGATTGTCCGTATTTTTCTGCAGAGTTTATGTTTATTTGTTTTAGTTTGGTTAATTTATGTTTTCCTAGGTTTAGTTTGTTTAGGGTTTTCCTTTTTCTCCTGGTTTAGTCCTCCTCTTAAGTTTAGTCAAGATTAGTCCTGGTTAGTCCTGGTCTAGACCTCCTGGTTCAGTCCTGGTCTAGACCTCCTGGTTCAGTCCTGGTCTAGACCTCCTGGTTCAGTCCTGGTTTAGAGCTAGTTTAATTCTGGTTTAGTCCTGATTTAGTCCTGGTTTAGTCCTGGTTTAGAGCTGGTACTGCCTTGGTTCAGACCTCCTGGTTCAGTCCTGGTTTAGAGCTAGTTTAGTCCCGGTTTAGTCCTGATTTAGTCCTGGTTCAGTCCTGGTTTAGAGCTAGTTCAAGTCTTGGTTTAGTCCTCCTTTTTCAAGTCTTGGTTTAGTCCTCCTTTTTCAAGTCTTGGTTTAGTCCTCCTTTTTCAAGTCTTGGTTTAGTCCTCCTTTTTCAAGTCTTGGTTTAGTCCTCCTTTTTCAAGTCTTGGGTTCAGTCCTCCTTTTTCAAGTCTTGGTTCAGTCCTCCTGGTTCAAGTCTTGGTTCAGTCCTCCTGGTTCAAGTCTTGGTTCAGTCCTCCTGGTTCAAGTCTTGGTTCAGTCCTCCTGGTTCAGTCCTGTAGATTTTCTTTTCCTGGGAATTTCTGAGCTATAAAACCACCTGTAATTGAATAAATGTAAAGTAGAGCTGTTTCATGTCACACTGTGGAACATTCCAGGCCGAGCAGTGACGTATCCATAGAAACAAGCACAACACGACAACCCCAAACGAAAAGCCACACAACGCAAAAGTTACAGAGTCAAAATGGTTTATCACGACGGGCCAAACTACTACTCATGATCAGGGCTGTTTTGATCCGATATCACTCTGGATTTTTCTAAAGTTCACGTAGTTCAGAGCTTGTGTTTGTTGTTCGCCGTTTGTGGCCGACACGAACGCCCAGAGCGGTTTACACACTGTAGACTGTAGTGGTTTTGCAGACTCGAAAAAAAAAAAAACACAAACAATGACAAAAAAGAACATTCCGATTTAGTCGTAGGAGTAGAAACAGAACTTTGGTCAAACGAACTGCGCGGACAACAGCTCACGTGGACTTTGTTTATTCTGCCATTCGCTCCACAGGTGACAAAAGTAGTAAAGTGGATGTAAATAAAAGATGTATTGTGTAACTTTCCGCTTGTCTTTATGGAGATTTTACAGTTTTGCCTTGAATATTACAGTACGGAAATAAACTTGGTCATAAAAATGGAGACTAGGAGTGTGCAAAAATACTGAAATATCAATTTATCGACTCGTTTAATGTGATGATACTGCTGCTGTATCAATATATTCCCAAGAGTATTTTTCGATTTTGTTAAATTAAGTGATTTTTGCTAAATAAAACTAAATGATTTTCGTTTGTTTTGTTTAATTTGCAGGCTGAACAAATCGGACAATGAAATAAAAATGTCACACAAATATGAGATTCAGTGCAATAAGATGTCAGGTCAATACGCGGAGACACTGGTGTGGTTGTCTTTTTAAAAACATAAATGTTTGTTGTTTTGTAATGTCACGGTTCTTGTATGTTTTTAAGAATGGATCATGAGTCCGGAATAAAGATAAAGATGATGATGATTACAGAGCTACAGTTTTGTTGTTTGTTCAGAGGAAGGAAACTCGACACATTTGACATTTTCACTGTTTTGATGAGTAAAATTGGTGGTTTTTTTTCATATTAAATTTGCACAAGAAGTGACTTTTAGAATCACAGCCATGATTTAGCCTTTATTTTCATTAAACCATATTGAATCGATTTGAAATATATCGTACTGAATCGAAAAGTCAGTGTATCAAGTAGGGATGGGCATGATTAGTCGATTAATCGATAATTGATCATTAAGAATTTCATCGATTACGTTCATTTTAATCGATAAACCGAATGTAGGTTGCTGTGCGTAGCGTAGAGTGACCAAACAGGGGTCCGTACATGTAGCTCTCTGCGCTCAGAAGGAGCGAGACACAAACAGTCGGTCAGTCTGCAGCGTACTGAAGTGCAAATGCGAATGATGTGCAACGATGACTTGTACAAGAAAGTCCACGCTTTCCGTTCGGGACAAGTGTGAGTCCATGTGCACAGTGTATAAAGCAGCACATGATTACGTTAATTTTAATCGACAAACCAAATGTAGGTTGCTGTGTGTAGCGTGACTAAACAGGGGTCCATACATGTGTCTCTCTGCACTCAGAAGGAGCGAGCAAACACAAACAGTGGGTCAGTCTGCAATGTACCGAAGCACAAATGCGTATTTAACAATGACTTGTACAAGAAATTCCATGCTTTCCGTTGCGTTCGGGACAAGTGTGAGTTCATGTGCACAGTGTACAAAGCAGCACATATGTTTCGGTGTCCAGTGGGAAAAAGTTTTGCCAGGTGAGAGTCGCGCAATGTCGATGACGAGTCCCCACCTCCCTCCCCCCGTACGCTGTCCTGGTTTTGACAAACGCAAATCTGGTCACACTAACCTGTATTCACCTGAGTCATGTCTTTTAATCTGACAGAATTGAACCGCATCAGCGACACAAGAGCTGTAGTTTTATCTTCGCTTAGTTTATGCAAATTAGCGATGAGGTTTTAAGTTTCGTTTCTGTGAGAGTTGCGCAAAACTCAATTAAACACATTATAATGTCAAACGGGCTGATGTGGCTCTAGAGTCGTTACGGTTTATATGTCGTAAAGTTGAATTTATTTATGCAGATTAGTAGTGCAGATAGTAATAATATGATGATCATTTTAATATAAAAACGTTAATGATTAATCGATAATCGATCGTTAATTCTTCCGACGATCGATTAAGAAAATTTCACCGAATGCCCATCCCTAGTATCAAGATACGCATCGTATCATGGCCTATGTATTGAGGTATGTATCGTATCAGCAACTTCTTAATGACACCCAGCTCTAATGGAGACAGGTTTTTTTTTTTTTTTAGCTATTTATGTTATTTATTTTATTTAAAACAAGGACAGAGCGCAGGAAACATTAATCTCAGACAGAAAAAACGCTCTGTGTCAGATTTAGCTACAAGCTTCTTTCCATGTGTAGTTACCAGGCGTGACAAATGTGAGAGAGATATGTTTAATGCCCTACTACGGAACATTCCAGGCAAAGAAATAGCATCTCCATGAAGACAAGCAAGTAGAAGCTATACAGTCAGTGCACCTTTAAGTATAAATTTTCAGTATCTGTACTTTACGTAAGTGCGTTATAAGTGGATACTTTTTTACTTTTCCTTCACTACATTTGAGCGCAGGCGTCTGAACTTTTCTACTTTCTACACAACATTTTTGAACTGGACGAAAAAGTAAACAGATTTTTTTTAATATTGTTTGAGGTCTGCTGAAAAGTCTGAGGGTTTATTTTTAACTTATTTATAATTGAAGCAAATTAAAATATACAAATAAAAACAGCTACAGGAAAAAAAATCAGCACAAATCTCTCAAAATATGCACAAAATACTTTAAATATTTACTCCTGTTACTTACTTTTAATACTTTTTTTTAGATTTTTTACTTTTGCTTGAGTATTTTTTGCTCTGGTATCTGCACTTTTACTTCATCTTCCCTAAGGTCAAGTATCAGAATTGGATCAAATTTTAAAAACTGGTATCAGAACGAGTCTGGAGATGTGCAGTCCCGTGATTTACCTCATCACCCTCTGTGTCCTTCTCTGGCTCTTCGGCCTTTTCCTCCTCGTCTTCTCCTTCATCTCCTTCTCCTTCTCCTTCTTCTGCTTCTCTGCTTCAGCTGCGTCCTCCTCCGCCTCTTCAGTCTCCTCTGCTGAAAAAACCAACAAACACACACAATATAATTCACCATCACATCTCAAAAAAATTATAGAGACAGAATGAACCGCAGTCTGGAGGATTAAACTAATGTGTAAATCTGGTGGAGGATCCGTCAAATTCTTTTCTCTGTGGAGATTATTATTTATTGCTTTGTCTGGAATGTTTCGCAGTGTGGCATTAAACCTTTCTATCTTCACGGAGACCAAACCAGACCAAGTTACAGGTCAGATCTGTGGATAGGAGACCCCGCTCACAGTCAGAATGAATGTTTTTCTAAGTATTTCTGAGCTGTAAAACAACCTGTAATTGAATAAAATGTAAAGTAGAGCTGTTTAATGTCACACTGTGGAACATTTCAGGCAGAGGAATGACATCTCCATAGAAACAAGAAGGTGACGAACCCCCACCCAAAAAGTTACATAGTGCACCCTTGTCAGTAGAGGTGTGCAAAAATATTGAAATATCGATATATCGTCTCATTTAATGTGATGATACAGTATCGATATTGTGAGCTGCTGTATCGATAAGTCTCCAAGAGTATTTTTTGGAATATTTTACTAAATTATTTTGTTACAGAGCTACGGTTTTGTTGTTTGTTCAGTGGGAGGAAACTTGTTTGTGCAGCACATTTGACATTTTCACTGTTTTGATGATTAAAATGGCCGTCTTTCATATGAATTTGTAAAGAAGTGGTTTAACAAAGACTTAGCATCACAGCCATGATTTAGGATTTATTTTTTAAGGAACCGTATCGAATCGATTTGAAATATATCGTATCGAAATGAAGGCTCACTGTATCAAGATATGTATTATATCATGGCGCATGTATCAAGGTATGCATCGAATACCGGCTCGAGTGTCAGACTGGCTTGAAAGTCCCAGTTTGACGGGCGCCCCCTTCCTCTTGGGCAGCACACAGGTGACTGCTGTGCCCGGGAGAGGGGGGACATTCTCGCCGTGTCATGCACTGTGATGTATTGAGTTAGAAAATCAGCTTCTATATCATAATAAAATGAAATGTGAATATAGCGATACCAAATGTCTGACCTCGTTTATGTCATATTACCGATCTTCCTGAAGCGACACACATTTTTTCAGTCTGTAATATCAATATAATCCTCATTTGCTCACAGAAGTTTGCTATGAAATCGTATTTTACTATTTTGTTCTTGTTCCCCGTGTCCTACAGCAGGGGTGTCGAACTCATTTTGGTCCGGGGGCCGTATCCAACCTACTTTGATCCCAAAGGGGCCGGATCAGAAAACTCATGTCATATAAACCCCAAAAATAACAATAAGTTCAAATATTTGTGCAGAGAAACGCAGATCTATTACAGATTTTTTTTTTAAATTGATGAACTCTTTCTTATTATGAACAACCTGAAACTGTAAGAAAAATTCAATTTCAACACAATGTTTTAACATTAAATTGTATGCAAACAGGAATAGGTCATTTTTTCTTGGAAAATCCTGCACTCTGTGTTCACTTTTCTCATTTTTGACATTTTTCTGATGAGTGTGTCACGGTCAATAGTCAAAACGATCGTCCTTTAAGAGCGTTTGGAAAGAGACAAGTCTTAATTTGTGCTGCTCTGGTGGGAGGGGCCACGTACAGAGACACTGGAGACGCTGCTGTGATAAACACCACAGAAAATTACTAATATTTTAATAGAAAATATAATTTAAATATTTTAGTAGAAAATCACCCAAGGGCCACATTAAAGGTCTTGGAGGGCCGGATCTGGCCCCCGGGCCGTTTGACACCTGTGTCCTACAGCATCTGTAACTGTTGATTTGGGAAGAAACATTATTTCCTTACCTGCTTGTCATGAACATAATCAACTCATGTCAGGTGTCATGTCATGCAACAGAGGATAAAAGCAGGGTGCTCATCTTTGCTCAACATGAACAAATGTGTTGAGATATATTATAACTTGCGCGTGTAATTAATAGAAATATATAATCAAAGAAATGTTTTTTTTTTATTTATATGTATACTGTACAGATGAACTTAGTTTCAAAAAGGGTACAATTCAGGGGACTTTCCAGCTGATTTCCTATGTATCATATCGGCAATGACAGCCAGCCCTTGTGGTCAGGTGACTTGCTTAACACCAGTCGCCATATTTATGAAGAGGAAAACTTCACTCTCCCCTTTAGTCCTCCATCTCACAGACTTGGTTTTGCACAAAATCAGAATCACATTTGTCGCAGTTAGTCAGACTTGAATGGTTTGAATGCATTTGAAACACTGCCCCCCACAGTTTTAGCAGAGTATCGCAGCCGTAGTACCTGCTGGGCTGGCCTTGTCTTCCTCCTGGCCCTCCTCCTCTTCCTCCTTCACGTCCGGCTGTGGCTCATCTGTTTTCTTATACTCCGCAGCTGGGGTCTTTTTCTGTTAAACACACAAAAACACAACAGTTATTATCGGTAAAGAAACACACAAAATGACGGTTTACAGGTTTAAACAGCCAACACAAGCGTTACTGTCACCACCAAAGCTGCAAGGTTTATTTAAGATATAAAAAGACCAAAACAAAAACAGCCACTGATATTCTGGACTAAAGCACAACACGACAAGTTAAGCTTAAAGGTGAACTGCACTTTTAAAAGAACAACAAGCTGTACTCCAGATTCCCCAACCAAAAAAATAAAATAAAGTAAAATTTCGTATTTAATCTAGGGGAAGGTGATATCTGAATAAAATGTGTTTTACAAAATTCACGAGACAAAAGGCTGTACGTTAATCCATGTATTATTTGTTCATTCGTTTTTAAAAATAAAACCAAAAATAAGAAAATGAAAAAACAATTTTCTTCATTATTTGTCTCCAAAAACAAAATGAAAAAACGGATAATGATTCATTTTTTCAGTTTTCGATTTTGTGTTTAAATCAATAATGGAAAAAACGGATAAGGGATGTTTCCTGTTTCTGAAATTTAAACTGCAATGCCGGACTGAACCAGGACTAAACCAGGACTAAACCAGGACTAAACCAGGACTAAAACAGACTAAAACAGGACTAAAACAGGACTAAAACAGGACTAAACCAGGACTAAACCAGGACCAGAACCAGACTGGGACTGAGACCGGTACCGGGACTAGGGACCGGGAGCAGGACCAAACTGGGACTGAGACCGGGACCAGGACCAGACCGGGACTGAGACCTGGACTAGGGACCCGGGAACCAGGACCGGACTAGGGACCGGAACCAGGACCAGACCGGGAACAGGAACGGGACCAGGACCAGACCGGGACCGGGACCAGGACCAGACCGGGACCGAGACCGGGACCGAGACCGGTTTAGTCCTGTTTTAGTCCGGCATCGCGGTTTAAGTCTCAGAAATGGGAAACGGCCGTTATCCATTATTATTTCCATTATTCATTTAAACACCAGAATCGAAAACTGAAAAAACTAATAATTATCAGTTTTTTCATTTTGGTTTTGGAGACAAATAATAAAGAAAATAGTTGTTTTTTCACACTGTTTTTAGCAGCATATCACCGAGCCCTAGTGTGATCTACTCTACGGCTTAGACTGGTCACCGAGTCCTGGTGCTCCTCCTGCAGACCGGGCAGACTGAGCTGGGACTGAGCGCTGGACTTCTGTGGACAACAGTCATGGATCACTACAGGGAGACTACTACTACTACTACTACTACTACTACTACTACTACATCAACCAGATGAGAGGATGGATGGAGAGATGAGAGATACCGTAATTTTCAGACTATTGAGTGCACCTGAATATAAACTGCATCAACTAAATTTTAAAAGAAAAATAAATTGTACATATATAGGCCACACTTGTCTATAAGCGACAGATGTCCACGTTGTAACTTGAGATATTTACCGTATTTTTTGGACTATAAGCCACACTTTTTTTTCATGGTTTGGGTGTTTTCTGTGACTTATATGTTAAAATGTTGACAGTGAAGTAGTGAGAGGTTCTAGTCTTGTGTGTGAGTATCTGCTGCTCCTGTTCCTCCTGTACCACTGTCACTTGGCTCTACTGCGCATGTCTCCTTCAGAAAGAGCCTCTGTCCTGTCTGTATCATGTCAGTCAATCTCAACATACACAAATGCCTCCAAAAAGAAAATCTGATTTTGCGGATTACAAACGGCAAGTCGTGAAATCTGCAGCTGAAAACGGTAATCGAGCAGCAGAAAGAAAGTTTGGAGTGAGAGAGAAACTTGTGAGGGACTGGCAGGAAACGAGGATGCATGAAACGTTCCTGAAGTCACTGGATGGATGGACAAAGCCTGGACTTCACTGACACTGAAACCATCCTGTCGGGATTCAGAAAGACCCGAATAATTCTAACTGGAACTGATGCTGAGTCTGACGACAGCGACACAGAAGATAATAGGAAGTGTTTACATCTGTTTACCTCCGGAGGTCAAGGCCGAGTTGCTCAGAAGTGACACCGAGGACGAAGAATTGAATGGATTTAAGTGATTTGGAGTGAGATGGAGAGTTTGTTAAACTTGTTCTGTTCTGTTGTTTATGTTATAGTTTATCTGAAGAACTGTTCATATGTGACGTTTTAACAGTCTGTTGTTCTCTCTTCTGTTGTTTTTACTAGAACTTGACTTTCAAAACAAACAAAATAAATAAACAAATAATCCGCCCATATATATTCACCGCATCATTGTTTAAGTCGCAGGTTTCAAAGTGTGAGAAAAAAGTAGCGGCTTATAGTCCAGAAATTACTAGGGATGTAACCATATCTAAATCTCTCAGTACGATATTATCACGATATGCATCTCACGGTACGATATTTACTGCGATATTTTGAAGAAGCTGATGTAATTGTAGATAAGACACTTTTTTGCTTCTAAAATACCTTCACAAGATTTTGGTGTGAATTATTTCCATCATAATCCCAAGAATTCAAGTAAAAAACATATTTCTTCATGTTGTCTGCGCTGAAATGAATCATGGGATATGTAGTTCCTGATGTTTATGAGCTGTTGCTACTATAAAACCATGTATTTAAGCAAAGGAACTTATGATATCGATATTATTGTGAGACTTGACGATGCGATATCACGATATTTCAGTTATTGTTACATCCCTAGAATTTACAAAACTTTATTGATCCCGACGGTGTGGATACCTGTTAGAAGAATCACACTGTTCCTTATACCTGAAGGTTTTGCTGCCACATTTGGTGTAAAAAAAAAAAATCGTGCAACATCTCAGACGTCTATAGTCAGCTCCTTAAACATCTTGACATTTGGAGCTGGTGAATTTTGGCCTGGTTCAGTATCAGGATAAATAAAAAAAGGAGCCGTACCTTCCCAGTGCAGCAGAAAACGATGATGAGGACGAGAGGAAGAGCCACTGTCAGGACGTACACGATCCACAGCCACGGGCGCTCCTCCGCCGCAGACAGCATCTGAGTGGCCAAACCAGGCTGGAAACACAAGAGACGGGTCAATGACAGGAGCAGACAGGAGCAGACAGGAGCAGACAGGAGCAGACAGGAGCAGGAGAAGAACCAAAGGAGAAGAGTCAGAGGAGAAGAGTCAGAGGAGAAGAGTCAGAGGAGAAGAGTGAGAGGAGAAGAGTCAGAGGAGAAGAGTCAGAGGAGAAGAGAGTCAGAAGAGGAGAGAGTCAGAGGAGGAGAGAGCCACAGGAGGAGAGAGCCACAGGAGGAGAGAGCCACAGGAGGAGAGAGCCAGAGGAGAAGAGAGCCACAGGAGAAGAGAGCCACAGGAGAAGAGAGCCACAGGAGAAGAGAGCCACAGGAAGAGAGTCAGAGGAGAAGAACCAAAGGAGAAGAGTCAGAGGAGAAGAGAGTCAGAGGAGAAGAGTCAGAGGAGAAAAGAGTCAGAAGAGGAGAGAGTCAGAGGAGGAGAGAGCCACAGGAGGAGAGAGCCAGAGGAGAAGAGAGCCACAGGAGAAGAGAGCCACAGGAGAAGAGAGCCACAGGAGAAGAGAGCCACAGGAGAAGAGAGCCACAGGAAGAGAGTCAGAGGAGAAGAGTCAGAGGAGAAGAGAGCCACAGGAGAAGAGAACCAAAGGAGAAGAGCCAGAGGAGAAAAGAGTCAGAGGAGGAGAGTCAGAAGAGGAGAGAGTCAGAAGAGGAGAGAGTCAGAAGAGAGTCAGAAGAGGAAAGAGTCAGAAGAGGAGAGAGTCAGAGGAGGAGAGAGTCAGAGGAGGAGAGAGCCACAGGAGAAGAGAGCCACAGGAGGAGAGCCAGAGGCGAAGACCTGGAGCAGAGCCAGAGGAGAAGAGAGCCAGAGGAGGAGAGAGCCACAGGAGGAGAGAGCCACAGGAGAAGAGCCAGAGGCGAAGACCTGGAGCAGAGCCAGAGGAAAAGAGAGCCAGAGGAGAAGAGAGCCAGAGGAGGAGAGAGCCACAGGAGGAGAGAGCCACAGGAGGAGAGCCAGAGGCGAAGACCTGGAGAGCCCAAGGAGAAGAGAGCCAGAGGAGAGAGCCAGAGGAGAAGAGAGCCAGAGGAGAGAGAGCCAGAGGAGAAGAGAGCCAGAGGAGAGAGAGCCACAGGAGGAGAGAGCCACAGGAGGAGAGAGCCACAGGAGGAGAGAGCCACAGGAGGAGAGAGCCACAGGAGGAGAGCCAGAGGCGAAGACCTGGAGCAGTGCCAGAGGAGAAGAGAGTCAGAGGAGAAGAGCCATCGAGAGGAGCAGAGAGCCAGAAGCGGAGTGTAAGGCGAGGCAAATTTGTAGCACAATTTATACACAAAGTGATTCAAAGTGCTTTACAGAACACGAACGACATTAAAATCACAATACAAACAAATCAAAACATATAATTAATCATCATAAAACGTCCTCACCTCGGCGGCGCTCTCAGCAGTCTTCTTCAGGGCCCATCCTTCTGACGCCCACCTCTCTGCAACGTTCCTGTCGTCGGTGATGAAGAAGTTGTCGAAGAAGATGTCCGAGGACATGGACCACAGCTCCAGACCCACTGCGCTGAAGGCACTCATCTTAAACGGCTCCAAGTCCTCGAAGAAGGCCGGGTTCGGGATCTTACGCGGTTTCCACACCCCCTGGGGAGAAAGCAGGACCACAGAGGGTTCAAACTGTGCTCAAGAACAATTTAGGTAGACTTTAACAAGGCATATGCTTCGTTTGTTTATCCATCAACTATTTTATTATGTTTTGTTTGTGTGACTTGGAGAAAAACATGAACACTAACTGGAAAGCTGTTGTTGCTTTTGCATTGGGCGAGTACCAGGCGCTCCAAAATAAGTCTGTGCTTCAACTACACAACCTCAAGGAAGAATTCAGTATATTAGTGTATTAGTGAAGTTAAGTGTTGGTGTCGCATGTTAGTAGATCATTTTGGCACTTGGCAAGCAGGAAATGGGCTAAAAACATGAGCGATACCGACAACCAGACCCATAGGCAGTTATATCGGACGCAGTAAAGTCCTGCAGTAATAAGACTGACTGAAATGATCATTTAAACCACCAAAGCGTCCAAACATAATGACAACAGTTCATTCTAAAAGTGACACTGGGCACATCTTGGATTCTATCTCGGAATCCTTGCTCGGTCTCCTCCGAGTTTGGAGGTTTGCTGTCCGAGGAAAAAGGATGTGTCAGTGTGTGTCACTCAGCAACGTCCTCGAATCTCTGAGTCGGACGGATAAACGAACGCACAATTAGCAAGGTCTTGGGAACACTCATAGAGCTACAATAAAAGCTGTAAGATGAACCCAAGATGGCGTTGTATTGATTTTAGAGGCGCCAATGAGCACTCACTGGCTAATCACGGCAAGAACGATTTTTACTTTTGCTTTACTTCCTGAACACTGGTCTTATGCTGCAAAACGTGATGTCAGAAACGTGCAGTTCGGACCAATCAGAGCAAAAGCTACTAGAGTGGAGCTAGGTTAAGTCTTACAAAGCAAACTTGAAGGCACATTGACGATTTCAACATTTTTTTTAAGTTCATATTACAAAACTACCTACAAAATCCGACCTTTATGAAAGCTGTTGATGCCCTGTCAGCCAAACATGGGCAGTTTGCTTTCATAAAAAATGCATTGCGCTCTACAGGACAATTCTTTCTGGGCTGGAGCTGCAGTACCCGGAGCGGCCACTAATCAATTTCAGACAGAGGGGACGTCTCTTATCCAGTTCTTATTACAAATCGATGACAACACCTAACAAAAAGCCTTAATTTAGCAATGTTTCTACATGCTTCTTGCCATATCTGTGCCACAGTTACTAAAGCAACCACTCTAAACATCCAGGACACTCTGATTGCGCATGTACAGAGGGTTGTAAGTATCCAATTTCTCTGAGCACTCTGAGAGATAAGGCTAATAACAAGGATACTGTAGGTGAACCTGTGACCTTCTGGCCTTAGGGTGAACACTTACAAATTACACCACCGTTTGTAGTGTCCTTTGTGCACAGATCTGAGTTAAATCTGCTCTTCTCCGCGGGGTCTCACCTGGTAGTTGGGGTTGTCGATCATGGGGGGCTTCCACTTGCCCTTGTAGCTGGGGTTATCCACCATGGGCCTCTTCCACTCGCCGCACCCGGGAGCAGTCTCACATTTGGGGTTAGGGACCTGGGGAGCCTCCCACTCGCCGTCCATGTCCTCGTCCCTGAACACACACACAAACACACACACGTCAGCTCACTATAGCAGTTACATTGAAAACAAATCGGTATTTTTATACAGACACAGAACAGATATTTATTCACATTTCTGTTGTATTTATAACGGAACTAGATGAGCAACAAACCTAAAAATGCGGCTCTATGTTTCTCAGATACTGTACATGTGTTGTACTTTTTATAACATAACAAAAACATCCTGTTATTTTCCACAAAAGTACCGTATTTTCCACATTATAGGGCGCACTTAAAAGCCTTTAATCTCATCAAAAAACGACTGCACTCTTATAATCCAGAGCGCCTTATATATGAATTTATTGAGGTGTCTTAGTACGACTTTAGTAAACTACAAAGCCGCACCACTTTAGCATTATGGCTCCGTAGTCAGGAGCATCGCGGAGTAATACATACTATGATTCTTTTTAATATCAAAATTAGGGATGGGCATGATTAATCGATAATTGATCATTAAGAATTTCATTGATTACGTTAATTTTAATCGACAAACCGAATGTAGGTTGCTGTGTGTAGCGTGACTAAACAGGGGTCCATACATGTGTCTCTCTGCACTCAGAAGGAGCGAGCAAACAGAAACATTCAGTCGTACCGAAGCACAAATGCGTATTTAACAATGACTTGAACAAGAAATTCCACGCTTTCCGTTGTGTTCGGGACAAGTGTGAGTCCATGTGCACAGTGTACAAAGCAGCACATATGTTTCGGTGTCCAGTGGGAAAAAGTTTTGCCAGGTGAGAGTCGCTCAATGTCGATGACGAGTCCCCACCTCCCTCCCCCCGTACGGTGTCCTGGTTTTGACAAACGCAAATCTGGTCACACTAACCTGTATTCACCTGAGTCATGTCTTTTAATCTGACAGAAGTTGAACCGCATCAGCGACACAAGAGCTGGAGTTTTATCTTCGCTTAGTTTATGCAAATTAGCGATGCGGTTTTAAGTTTTGTTTCTGTGAGAGTTGAACAAAACTGAATTAAACACATTATAATGTCAAACGGGCTGATGTGGCTCTAGAGTCGTTACGGTTTATATGTCGTAAAGTTGAATTTATTTATGCAGATTAGTAGTGCAGATAGTAATAATAATGATGATCATTTTAATATAAAACATTAATGATTAATCGATAATCGATCGTTAATTCTTCCGACGATCGATTAAGAAATTTTCATCGAATGCCCATCCCTATTGAAAACATAAAATAGAATCTATATTGAAACGATGTTGTTATTTTTTAGTGTAAATGAGACCTTGAAGTGTCGTTCGAGACTAGATTTAAAATCACAGGATGAGAAGTGTTTGGTCTTATCGTTACCAGTCGTCAGGTTTGAGAGCGTCGGGGTCTCCAATGTACTCGGGCTCATCGTCCAACCAGCCCTCAGGTTTAACAGCAGAGTCATCAGGGACCTGGGCAGGAGCGTCCTCGTCCCTACAGAGACACAGAGACACACACAGAGACACAGACACACACACAGAGACACAGACACACAGACACACACAGACACACACACAGAGACACACACAGACACACACACAGAGACACACACACACAGAGACACACACACAGACACACACACACAGAGACACACACAGAGACACACACAGAGACACACAGAGACACACACAGACACACACAGACACACACACACAGAGACACAGACAGACACACACACAGACACAGACAGACACACACACAGACACAGAGACACACACAGAGACACAGACACACACAGAGACACACACAGAGACACACACAGAGACACACACACAGACACACAGAGACACACACACACACACACACAGAGACACACCACAGACACACACAGACACACACACAGAGACACACACACACAGAGACAGAGACACACACACACAGAGACAGAGACACACACACACAGACACACACCACACAGAGACAGAGACACACACAGACACACACACAGACACACACACACAGACACACAGACACACAGACACACACAGAGACATACACACACAGAGACACACACAGACACAGACACACACAGACACAGACACACACAGACACAGAGACACACAGAGACACACACACAGACACACACAGAGACACAGACACACACACAGAGACACACACAGAGACACACACAGAGACACACACACAGAGACATACACACAGAGACACACACACACAGAGACACACACAGACACACACACAGACACACACACAGACACACACACAGAGACACAGGGTTTGGGTTAGGGGCAGTGTTGCTCAAATTACTTTACAAAAGACTACTCATCACTCCTTCTAAAAGTAATCCAATTACTACTCTGATTACTTTATTACATAAAGTTACTATAAGAAAACAGCCCAGGAGCAAATTTGTTCTTATCTCTAATGACACTTTCTGTAATAGAGTCTCATTTCTCCAGACAGGCTGGCACCACCTAGTGCCTCTGCTCAATTTAATTTCTCTCTAGTGACAAGGTCAGGAATCGGAAGACACTAGACGGTTTGCAAGAATACTGGAAGTGCGAGTTCGGGCACCGGCCAATCAGCGAAGAGCCATACATTCTGTGTTCCCAAGATCAAATCTTTAAAGCCGGAACAAAGAGAATGTTTGGTGAATTTTATCAAGGGGAAAGACGTTATTGCCCTTCTTCCTACGGGATTTGGAAAAAGCTTAATCAACCAATTAGCCCCACTATTGGCGCGTCACAACCAAATAGCAGCGACTGGTTAAATTAAAAAAGTACCTGCCTACCGTCGAGTAAACAAACCCTAATGCTGCGAGGTCAGACGGTTTCCACGAAGTGAATCCGGCTGATGAATCAGGCTACCATTTCGCACCACTGTCTCCATAAACCAGTATTTGTGATGTTTTGATTCACATCTGATCTGCGTCAGACTCCACAAGAGGACGTCCTGTGCTCCTGTTTATATCTTTACTGTTTTATGACACTATTGTTATGGATAATACACATTTTGACCAGAAAATAGTGACTAACTAGTAACTAATCTACTAATTATTCACTTTGCAGTTGTAACTAGTTACGACAGATAGATACTAGACCATTTGTGTTGAGTGTTTTCAGTTTGTCAGAGGGGCTGTGCTTGTCTCACCAGTCCTCGGGTTTGGTGGCGTCTGGGTCCTGGATCTTGGCCCTCTCGTCCCAGTCCTCGGGTTTCTGGTCGTCGGGGTCTTCGATCTCGGCGGGGGGGTTCACTGGGGGGGTCACGTCTGTGAGCAGGTTCCCGCTGTTCACCACGGTCTGATCCACCAGCACCTCGAAGGAGTTATCAGGGTTTATCACTGGAGACGAGACGGGAGACAAGGAGACAGGAGACAGAAGGTCAGGGACAGAGCTCTTCTCACACAGTCATTTGGTTATAGTTAATATTTACTTAAAGGGACAACATGTACCGTTTTTATTTTAAATTACATAAACACGTCCTAACTGGTCATAACTCACATGACTCATTTGTGTTGCCAGTTTTGATGCTGAAATCCAGTTGATTTAAACCTAAAAACCCAAATCAGGTCTGAACCAGGTCTGAAGCAAGTCTACACCAAGACTAAACCAGGACTATACCAGAACTAAACCAGAACTAAACCAGGACTGAACCAGATCTGAACCAGGTCCGAACCAGGTCCGAACCAGGTCCAAACCAGGTCTACACTAGGTCTACACCAGGTCTGAAGCAAGTCTGAAGCAGGTCTAAACCATGACTAAACCAAGACTAAACCAAGACTAAACCAAGACTAAACCAGGACTACACCAGGACTACACCAGGACTGAACCAGATCTGAACTAGGTCTACACACCAGGTCTGAACCAGGTCTGAACCAGGTCTGAACCAGGTCTGAACCAGGTCTGAACCAGGTCTAAACCAGGTCCAAACCAGGTCCAAACCAGGTCTACACCAGGTCTACACCAGGTCTGAAGCAAGTCTGAAGCAGGTCTAAACCATGACTAAACCAAGACTAAACCAAGACTAAACCAAGACTAAACCAGGACTACACCAGGACTACACCAGGACTACACCAGGACTACACCAGGACTACACCAGGACTACACCAGGTCTGAACCAGGTCTGAACCAGGTCTGAACCAAGTCTAAACCAGGTCCAAACCAGGTCTACACCAGGTCTAAAGCAAGTCTGAAGGTCTAAACAAGGACTAAACCAGGTCTGAACCAGGACTAAACCGAAGTCTAAACCTAGTCTATACCAGGACTAAACCAGGAGTAAACCAGGACTAAACCAGGACTAAACCAGGTCCTTTACCCAGAGTGTAGAGGTGGGTCTTCTTGTCAGTGTAGTACGTTCTGAGGTCTGCGTCTGGTTTCTTGGCGTGTTTCTCTTCATATTCTCCGGTTTTGGGGTTCTTGTGTCTGAAGATGAAGTGCAGCTTGTAGTCCTCTCCACATTTGTCTGGTCCGAACATGATGGTGTACGGGGTCTTGTCCACAAACTGGGCCTGGGGACACACAAGGAGGACTACATTACCCACAATTCAGCACAACAAAGCTACACCTTCTGCCTGGTTTTTATTAGTGGGCACAGAGTATAGTGAGTAATATTAGCTGTAGCAGTAGTAGTAGTAATGGTGTCTGTGTCTTTTATGTATTTTAACCAACTTTAACAATAATATTTTAATTTTTTGTTAGTATTGTTTTTATCCAGTTCTGTGCAGCACTTTGGAAACTGTTCATAGCCTGTGCTCTATAAATGAAGTGGTTTGGATTAATAGTAGCAGCAGAAACGGTAACAGCAGTAGCAGCAGTAGTAGAAGTAGTAAGTAGGGCTGTCGCGGTGAGGGAATTTCTCCTGCTGTGCGGTGTAGCGGCTCAACAGCGCAGTATGCACTGACATCGCCCCCCCACCCCACATTCCCCGAAGTTTCAATATTTCCGGCGCCACTGAAAACTCTCTCCAATGATGCCCTTGTTGCAGATGCACATGTGTCCTGGTTGTCGTGTGGATATAGAGGCTTTGCACCGTCACGTGACCCGTAAAGCAACAGTACCTACGCCGCCATGACACCGGGCACGATATGTCATTGACTTCAGTAGCATTGGAGAAACATGGGCAGGTTTTGTTGTGTATTTGGTTGTTCTAGACGCTCTGAAAAGGATAAAACGAATCGTTTCTTCACTGTTCCTCTGGAAATTACTCATCAGGAGATCAAACAAGGGAATTATCGAAAAAAAGACGCGGATTATAGCCAGCAAAAATAAACCGCAAAGAGATTTCCAATGTTACCATCAAGACACCTGAAGTTTCATCAAGGTATTTGCTATTTAAATTGTTTCATAGCTCATTTAATGAAAGAAGCACATTTACTGAACTAAAATTTCATTAATTTATCCAGGAAAACCCGCACTAGTTTATGATTCAACGAAAACACACTGAGCTCCTGTGATCAACATGTCACACGAGTCGAAGAGTCTGTGAGCCGAACCTCGAAAGAATCGGCCATGAAAAGATCCTTGTGAACGTTAGAAAGATCTGCTCACAAAAAGAGATTAATTCTAGAAGACATAGTTGTGGATAAGCAAGGCAATAAAGAAAACATGGGTCCTACGACAAGTGACATGTTTTATATGTGCGCTGGAAGATACAGTTTCTACTGCCACTCACACTGCAAATGTTTTCTTTTTAAATTTTAGTTCAGTAAATGTGCTTCTCTCATTAAATAAACTATGAAACAATTTAAATAGCAAATATCTTGATGAAAGTGACGTGAGTGTGTCTTGATGGTACCATAGGAAATCTCTTCGCAGTTTATGTTCTCGAGCCATAATTTCCTTTTTTTTTTTCGGATAATTCCCTTGTTTGATCCTGATGAGTAATTTCCAGAGGAACAGTGAAGAAACGAATCATTTTATCCCGTTCAGAGCGTCTAGAACAACCAAATACACAAAAAAACCTGCCCATGTTTCTCCGATGCTGCTGAAGTCAATGACATAGTGTGCCGGTGTCATGGCGGCGTAGGTACCGTTGCTATAGGAATCACGTGACGGTGCAAAGCCTCTATAGTGTGTGTAGCAGGAGAAGTAATATTTGGCTTTGGAACAAGTGCCTGTGGTCACTAGACGGTCTACGCGGGCACACCTTAGTCCGGGGTTAGTCCGGGGTTAGTCCGGGGTTAGTCCGGGGTTAGTCCGGGGTTAGTCCGGGGTTAGTCCGGGGTTAGTCCGGGGTTAGTCCGGGGTTAGTCCGGGCAGTAACAGGTGGAATGTTAACAGGTTCGGGTGAGCATGGGCCTCTAAAAATGAACCCGTGCAGGACTCTGGGTCGGGTCACGCTGGTCACGTGCGGTGATCGCGGTGGCCCAGCCTCTTAGTACTGCGATGATTCATTTGTGTGGTTATTGCAACAGCCCTAGTAGTAAGGGTGGTTTTTAGCTGTAACAGTACATTATATAGATAAAAGCTGTATCAGTGGTTTTAGTGGTAATAGTAAACACAGTAATAGTAGTAGCGGTTTTAACAGTAGTAGTAAGTATAATGTTAGAAGTTGTAGTAACAGAAGTAGTACTAGCAGCAATAGTAGTAGTAGTAATAACAGTAGAAGTAACAATAGTAGTACTAACAGTAGTTGTAGTAACATTAGTAGAAAACAGTAATTGTAGTAATAGCATAGTGTATAAATAAATATTTTAAATGTACAAGCGGTAATAGTAATAGGTTTATAGACTTTATACTATTTTAATCTTCTGAGTGGCAGTAACAGCAGTAGTAATAGTAGCAGTCACAGCAATAGCAGTAGTGGTGGCTTTAACAGTAACAGTAGTAGTCGTAGTAATGGTAACAGTAATGGCAATAACAGTAGCAGCAGTAGTAAGTAGTAGTAGTAGCAGTAGTAGCAGTAATAGCAGTACCAGGTCCAGATCTGGAGTCTGGGTGAGCAGTTTGACGTAGGCTCCTCCGCAGTCGATCCCAGACTGGAAGTTCACTTCATACCTGGAAAAATCGTTAGGATGTCGTTAGAACCAAGGTACAAATGACAATACCAGTTTTTCCCATTAACTGGGGAGACTACGAAGGCCCCCCAGAGTCTAAAAACAACCTGAGCAAAAAAAAAACAAAAACGGGAAAACAAATTATCTGTGATCGGTGCATTTGCGTTCAGCAGAGGCAATAAGTGACAACAAAACAACAAAATACTGAATAAAATGATTCAAATTTGTGTCACTTGTGCCACCATAGTCTTAAATAAACCTCAGGAAACACTGCAGTACATGTATAACTTTTTTACTTTTTAAACCTTTTTAATTTAACCATCATGGAGATAAGCAGCAACATGACCAGGCCAAGTTACAGGTCAGATCTGTGGAGAAGTGGACCCACTCACAGTAAGAATTCAGGTTTTTGTGGTCGTTTTGAGAAATAAAACCTTCTATAATTGTATAAATGCAAGATATATTTGTGTAATGGTATACTATGGAACATCCCAGGTGGCAGCAAGCAGGCAAGGAAATTTAGGTTTGATTACATAAAAACATAAGTATAGGTACGAGGACTTACTGCACGATCAGGGGTTTGTTGGTGAAGGTGAAGGGGCGGAGCAGCTGGGCGGAGATGGCGTGATGTTTGGCTTTGGACTTCAGCACCAGGCCTTTGTCTCCTGAAAGTTTAGTGTCCTTCATCTCTTCAACGGCCCATTTACCTGAAAAGAAACAATATCACAGATCAGAGAGGAAACAGAGACTCAAACTTTGGTCCAGAGTCCACAAACACCAGGAAGTCCAGGGTGAAACCTTTTAATGGCGTTTTAATATCCCACTTACCGTCGTATTTGGCGATGTCTTCATCTGCATCTTCCTTCTTGGCGCTGGACAGGACCCATCTGTGAAACACACATTTGGATCAGTAATGAGACACAAAATAAAAATAAATACATAAATAAACAAAAACTAAAGTAAACCATAAGCCAAAACATAAAAGAAAAAAAAGAAGAAAAAAGAAGAAAAAAAAATGAACACAAAAAAAACTAAACAAAAAAATAAAATAAACAATTTAAAAACTAAACCAAAAAATAAAATCTAAAAACTAAAAAAAAAAAAACAACACTAAACTTAAAAACTAAAACAAAAAAACTAAAAGTAAACTTTAAAAAATTAAGTAAACCAAAAACAAAGATCTAAACTAAAAAAAAAAAAAAAAAACAAAAATCTAAACAAAACTAAAAAGTAATAAATAAAAAAATAAAAAAAACTTAAAAACTAAACTAAAAACAAAGATCTAAACAAAGCTAAAAACTTAAAATAAATTATAAAATCAAAACAAAAAACTAAACTGACCTAAAACTAACTAACACAGTGCCTATGACAGATCAGATTATGTATTTTATCAAAACACAGTTAAAATCATGACATTTAAGATTTAAGATGAAATTTCACTCTATTGTTCCCAGTTTGGCAAATTTGTAGGTTTTAAAATTTAATTTTCTTCATCACATCACGCTCAGTAATCCCATAACTGTTACCTGCAAACATGACGTACTCTGAGCCAAAACTCCTCATGTACACAGACATTTTTATTCGACAAATAAAAATACAAGAAAACACCTTTATTTTATTTAAATAATGCTCAAAGTTTAAGAAAAATTTGTTTCTTGCGTGTAAATAGTGACAGAATTCAGAACTATCGACGTCCTGTCATTTAAAAAAAAAAAATTATGTTTTTCTTCACAAATTGCTTCTTTTTGGTGAAAACTATAATGTAAAATAAAAATAATAGTTAATAATATTATATATAATCCCGCCAGATTCAAAATTAGATAATCTTAAAAAACTGTCATTTGCGCTTTTTAAACCTAAACCAACCCTAAAACTAAACGTATCCTGGACTTTCCAAATACTGTGTGTGTCCTCACCCGTCCAGCGTGTCCCTGTCAAAGGACTCGGCGAAGTAGTGTTCTCCTCTGGGCTCTGGAGCTTTGTACGTCACCTGCACAAACACAAACACAGGAGCAGGGAGGCAGTTAGTATATTTAGCAGGTAGAAAAAAAGGATACGCAGCACTTTATATTTACTTCAACTTTAACTAACTTTAGCCGCCTTGACAACAAGTTGCCCTCGTCTTGACTACGTCCCTCCAAACCACGTGAATCCTCACAAAACTGCGGCCGTCGCACAGAATCTCCGCGCACGCACCCCCCTGCTCCTCACCAATATTCTATGGGAAACACTGATGCTGTCTTTTCTAATGTTTATGTAAAGACAGCTTAGTGAGAGGTTTGCTTTGGCCCGAGGAACGGACATTTTGTACATTTTTATTCTAAGGATGTATTTCATTTCAAAAGGAGTTGGCAGCAGATCTGTCAATATTTATCATGGAGATTTTTTCTTTTTTCTTTGTACTAGTGGGAATTTTTTCTTATCTTTCTGTACTGCGATAAGATTTGAGCTGTAACGGCTGAATAACTGAATTTGATTACCAATTATAAGTACAGGCTAATTAAGTGTTTCATTCTGCTGTTTAACTAAAGCAGGTTATGTTTTAAAAAATAAATATATTGTACATTTAGGATTGTTTTTTAAGGATAATCCTGCTTTAGGGTCATTTTTCAGTGGCATACATTAGTTTCAATATTACAGTTTTTCGTCTATATTTAATTTATTAAGATAATTTATTCCATTAGATTTTGAATTTTACATCCTGCTGAATTTCTCAGTTTGAATTTTTTAACTCTGTAAAAAAAAGTTTAGTAAAAGTAAACATTTTGTAAAAAGTTTAGTAGTGCTGAAATGTTTACTATACTTTTTCAATATGCTTCAAATTAAAAATAAAAAATTCCAAATGTTCAATAGTAAACCAGTAGTAAACAAATAGAAAAAAAAAAACACTGAATGAGTTTATATATTTAAAAAAAAGATTCAAATAAATGGACATAGCAGGAACAAAATCTGCAAAAAATCCCTGGCTGCGTCTCATTTCTCTTTCCTCACTTCCTTCTCCTCGATTCCTCTCCTCGGTTCTGCAGGAAATGGGTGAGGAAGTCCCGCCCACAAAGGAGACAAAGCGAGTAGAGAGGATATAAACTCCTCACTGGGACCAATAAAGTTTGATTCTTTTTCTCTGACGTGTGCTCCTGAAGCCTCCCTCAGGTTTACTCCTGGTGGTTTTCTCTGGGATAAAACTTAATATGACACATTTGACTGACAGCTGAAACATGAAGGATCAAGGAGAAGGAAGCGAGGAAAGAGAAATGAGACGCGGCCCTTCTGAGCCACTAGTGCTCTGATTGGCCACTCTGAACTGCTGCGTGGATCTTACTTTGGGAGCGGGCGGAGCTTTGGTCTCGGGAGGACCCGAGTCTTCGTCCTGGTCCAGATCCAGATCCTGGTCCGGGGCCAGTTCCAGGTCTTCGTCGTCTACGTCCACATCGTTGAGGTCCTCCAGGTCCTCGTCCTCCTCGGTCTGAGCGGAGACTTCGACGGACAGAGAGAGAAACAGGAGCCCCAGAGACAGGAGCAGGGCCACACGACCAAGAGACATTTCTGTAGGAGACAAAGAAAGAGAAAGTTATAAAAAATATATATTTCTAATGTACTGCATTCTTGTCTTGATAATGAGTCACAAAGTTACTTTTTTCACTCTCTACAGATCAAATCTTTTTATTAGGAATGTAACTATGGTTGAGTATCATTAAGAAGTTACCAATGCAGTACTAGGGGTGTGCAAAAAATTTTTAAAAAATCAATATATCGTACGGTTTAATGTGGGGATACAGTATCGACATCGTGGACTGCTGTATCAATATATCAATATATATTTTACTAAATTATTTTGTTACAGAGCTACAGTTTTGCTGTTTAGTACAGAAACCAAAAACAGCATTTATTTCCTTGATACAAAAATAAAATGAGACAAATACATTACGTAGCTGCTATTCACCTCTCAAGTAAAAATAAAAGCTGTGTAGAAATAAAAGTTAAACATTCTGAGACTTTCTGGAACAACTACAATCAACTCACTCATTTATAACAGACGACCCTATGTCCTGTCAATCATCAACTCATTTTTGCACCGTTTTCCTTATGACCTCCTGTATACTAGGGGTGTGCAAAAATATTGAAATATCGATATATCGTTTAATGTGATGATACAGTATCGATATCGTGGGCTGCTGTATCGATATATCGTCAAGAGCATTTTTTTGGTATATTTTACAAAATTATTTGGTTACAGAGCTACAGTTTTGTTGCTTGATCAAAGGAAGGAAACTCATTTATTCGACGCATTTGACATTTTCACCGTTTTTGATTATTAAAATGTTTGTTTTATATTAACTTTGTAGAAGAAGTGGTTTGACAAAGACTTTTAGTATCACAGAAATGATCTAACCTTTATTTTTTTTATTGAACCGTATTGAATCGTTTTGAAATATATCGTACTGAATCGTATCGAAAAAACACTGTATCGAGATATGTATCGTATCGTGGCCTATGTATCGAGGTATGTATCGTATCGGCAACTTCTTAACGATACCCAGCCCTACTGTATACAGCTGAGATTTATTATTCATTTTATTTTGACTTGTGCATCTACATTTATATAATTACGCCTTATTTGACACCTGCTATCGTTTTTTGCTGCTTATTTAGAATTTATTATTACCATTTATATTTTTTATCTTTTTGTTATTATATTATACTGTGATGTGCGAGCTACTGTGTCCAAATAATTTCCCTTGTGGATCAATAAAGTTTGTCTAAATCTAATCAGTAAATCGTTTTATTACATCAATTTATCTGGAAGGAGGATTTAACCAATCGCAGTAAAACGTAAACTCTCAGAAGACGGAAACTACGATTAAAACACCACAACAAGGCTCAATTTTATTTTATTCGTTTTCTTTTTTCTCCATATGACGCAAATAAAATAAATTCTCAAACTAAGAGATGGTTCTGAAGGACTGTGGGTCTCCGGGTGTCTTCCCAGTCCCCGGTCTGGCCCCCCGGTTTAGTTAGTCTCGGTCCCTGTTTGTTTCCAGACGGCTCCCAGAGGCCCCGCTCTTTCACGGCAAGCGTTGGTTTGTCGCCAGGGCAACGTCGGCCTCAAGGGGGCGCTGTTTTAATGAGATTACACTGGGGTAATCCCTCATTTAGCACCTCTTTACCCGCACACAACACGCAGGACAAAAGAGATAAGTGTGGAGAGGTGAGAGGGCAGGAGGGAGATTTCAGAAAATAGTTAATGGTCAGATGGTCTAAAACTCGGGATGTAACGATATCCAAATCTCTCTTTATGATATTTATTGCGATATTTTAATTGTAGATAGGACACTTTTTACTTTTAAAATACCTTGACAAGATTTTGGTGTGAATTATTTCCGTCATAATCCTAAAAAATCAAGTAAAAAACATATTTCTTCATGTTGTCTGCGCTGAAATGCATCATGGGAAATGTAGTTCCCGATGTTTATAAGCTGTTGCTGCTATAAAACAACGCATTTAAGCAAAGGAACTTGTAATTCGATATATTGTGAGACTTGACGATAAGATATCACGACGTTTCGGTTATTGTTACATCCATATCTAAAACTATTTCAATACCGATTCCGATACCATGATCATAGGGGTGGAACGATATCCAAGTCTCACGATACGATATCGTCACGGTATGAGCCTCACGGTACGATATTTATTGCGATATCGTGTTAAAGCTCACGATTAGAGATGTAATAATATCCAAATCTTTCTGTACGATATTTTCACGATATACATCTCACGGTACGATATTTATTGCGATATTTCGTGGAGACTAACAAAATTCATTAATATGCTACTTTTTCCTCTTAAAATGCCTTGACAAGACTTAATCCAAAGACTTAAAAGTGTTTAGAACTGTTATTTCTTCCTGTAGTCTGGACTGAAATGGAGCAAAGGATCATGGTCTATGTAGTTCCCTACCATAAAAGGATTCTGACCCCGGGGTCACCTCACCGTAGGGTCAAAATCGTATATCACACCGGTACAATATCTAGAATCTAAGGGCCGCTGTGGATTAAACCTACACTTCCCGATGATCCATGCAACGTTTTCCTCCACTCTACTGATTGTTTACTCATTGCCGCCGGCATCAGAAACCAAAGTATTGTGATTTCACGTTGTTTTTTCCCCCTCCTTCCATTTAACGTCGCACCGAAGCCCGACTGAGTTCACACAAAAAAATAGGCTATGAAATTTAAAACCTGTGTGAAAAAAATAAGACTTTGACAGTGTAATTTAAGATTTTTTGAGGTCTTATTTCAGGAACATGAAATTTAAGACCTTTTTAAGACTCTGCAGCTACCCTGGTCTCGTCTCGATCTCGTGGAATGAATCTCGACGCATTTCTCGTTGCAGAAAATGTGCGTTGTCCCATACCTACTGAACAGCTTCGTATTTATAAAAGTTTAAACATTATAAAACGTTCACGACCAAAATCAGTCTGTAAATAGTCTTATTACATCCAGTTAAAGGCCCAACAAAGATAAAAGCTGAACAGATGTAAGGGAACCAAAACACAATCCAGCAAATTTTCATTTTCCGATATTTGTTAAAAGTATCAGTATAGGTGAATCTCTATGAAAAACGACTAAAATAATTGACTAAAATTACAGCGTTTTTTTCCAAACAACCTTAAAAATACTAAAAGAAGAAGAGATGGGTGGTGGAAAAACAAGTGTTAGGGTAAAAAAAAAAAAAAAAAAACTAAATAGCTGGTGTCAAATGAACAGATCCATTTGTTAAACGAAGATCCCAGAAGAAAGCCGGACTTAATCAGATTAAGTCCGGATTACAGTTCTGACAGACGCCTGTAGCTCAGTGTGAGTAAATATAAGTCCACTTCACACTTCAGACAATTTATTCAGTAATATTGTCATAAAAAAAAAAAAAAAAGGAATACTCAGACGCTCGGGCTGTAAAAAAATTCGACTAATCATGACTAGAAGGTTCAAAAATAATCATAGTTGTATTTAGGGATGGGACAATAAACAATAATAGTTTATCGCGATAAAAATGGTAGATGATAATGGTTGGTGGGACGTTTTATATAGTCGTGATAATCGTCAACACAAATAAAGTTTAATTATTTTTATGCTTTTTTTTTATTTCTATTGGATAGGGGTGTAACAACATCCAAGTCTCATGATACGATCTAGTCAACCTCACGATATGATATTTATTGCGATATTGTGGGAAAGCTCACGATACAGTGGGGGGGTACGATATTTATTGAGATATAAACTTAAAATGCCTCGACAAGACTTAATCCAAAGAACTAAGACTTAAAATTGCTTAGAACTGTTATTTCTTCTTGTAGTCTGCACTCAAATGGAGCAAAGGATCATGGTCTATGTAGTTCCCGCTGTCTTTTTTTTATAAACTTTTTTTTGTAAACGGTTTTGTTTATGAACTGAGCTATAAAACAAGTGGACTGGATGTTTTGGAAGTACAATACATTTTCATTTTATCACCAGAATACGCAGGAAAAAAAGCTTAACCATAAAAGTTACCTGCTGGATCATTGCTGTTATATAATACTAAAATTATAATTATTCACATCCATAATCATCTTTGGATGGTCAGAAACTTTAATAATGATCATGATGTTGTCGTTAATCACAATCCATTAGGACAGGGGTGTCAAACTCATTTTGGTCCGGGGGCCGTGTCCAACTTACTTTGATCCCAAAGGGGCCGGATCAGAAAACTCCTGGCATATAAACGCCAAAAATAACAATAAGTTTAAATACTTGTGCAGAGAAACGCAAATCTATTACAGAAATCTTTTTTAATTGATGAACTCTTTCTTTTACAAAATATTATAATATTATTTACAACCTGAAACTTTAAGAAAAATACTATTTCAACACAATGTTTTAACATGAACTTGTATGTAAACAGGATTAAGTCAATTTTTCTTGGAAAATCCTGCACTCTGTGTTCACTTTTCTCATTTTTGACATTTTGCTGATGAGGGTGTCACGGTCAACAGTCAAAACGATCGTCCTTTAAGAGCGTTTGGAAAGAGACAAGTCTTCATTTGTGCTGCTCTGGTGGGAGGGGCCACGTACAGAGACGCTGGAGACGCTGCTGTGATAAACACCACAGAAAATTAACAAGATCTGAATAGAAAATATAATTACAACACCTTTAATCTGGCCCTCAGATGACTTTCTACTAAAATAGAAAGTCAGCTGAGGGCCAGATTAAAGGTCTTGGAGGGCCGGATCTGGCCCCCGGGCCTTATGTTTGACACCTGTGCATTAGGACGTGATAAAAATCGTGACACGAAATTGCAATATTGTCCCATATCTAGTTGTATTTTGATCAAGTTTATCTGGACTATTTAGTAGAGATGTCACAATAACCGAAATATCGTGATATATTCTTAGCTATTGCTGCACAATAACAATTAATTGAAGCAGAGAGACTTGTAATTCGATATATTATGATGGCCCACGATATTATTGAGAGACTTTTGACGATATGATATCACAATATTTTTTGGTTATTGTTACACCCTACATTAAACGATACGATATTTTGATATTTTTATACACCCCTGTTGCTGGTTGCTTGGATGAGCTGCAAGACTCCTTCCACGCAAGAAAACTTTGTCCAGTTTTGTCCACAGAATTGATTTTTTTTCTTTTGTTAAAGCAGACTACTAAGTAATCAGTAGTTGCAGTCGTGGCAGATTCTAAAACTAGTATAAAAACAAGGGTTAAAAGGTCAATCTCCGAATGCCTCCACTCGACCATCTCAGATTTGACTGAAAAATTTCTAGGAGGGTCACACTTTAAAGATCACAACAAATACACATTTTTCATTTTTAATACTTAATATCTTTTACAGCTTTTATCACAGAGGGTGAGTTTTAAAATACAAAGTACACACCTCTGTCTTTGAAATCGCACTTTCCACAGTCCTTCAAAGTTGCCCTCAGATTTGAAGAGTAGAATTTTCAAGCAAAGTCAAGTACCCAGAAATCTGTGATAAACCAAAAGCACATGTGTAAAAAGTCCATAACTTACAAGTACATTTGACAAATTTTAACCCTTGAAAATTTGAAGGACCGACCTAATAGACCGAAATAATTTTTTAGATACAGCAATCGGAAAATGGCTCTTCGGAAAACTGCTCAAAACAGGTCAAGGCGAAGTTAACTAGGAGTGTGCAAAAATACTGAAATATCGATATATCGTACCATTTAATTTGATGATACAGTATTGATATCGTGGGCTGCTGTATCGTTATATCACCAAGAGTAATTTTTGGTATATTTTAGTAAATTCTTCTGTGTAAGAGCTACAAAAGTGTTGACATTTTCACTGTTTTGATGAGTAAAATTGGTGTTTTTCATATTAACTTTGCACAAACATAATGGACTTAGTTGACTTTTAGTATCGCAGCCATGATTTAGCCTTTTTTTCACTGAACCGTATCGAATCAATGTGAAATACTGAATCGAAAGCTCACTGTATCGGAAAAGCGCATCATATTGTGGCCTACGTATTGAGGTATGCATCGTATTGACAACTACTTATTGATATCGAGCCCCAGAGTTGACAAAATATTTTCTAATGACAAAACTATAAGGAGTTGGGAGTTAAAAATTGGGACTTTTCCTATTAGGAAATGTGTGAACCTCCTAGAATCCACCTCAAATCTGAGATGCTGAAACGAATCCGCGTATCACCGTATCGGAAACGATTTATGTCCACACACGTAGTTTACTTTTTACAGAAACAAAACTTAAAACCGCATGGCTAATTTGCATAAACTAAGCACTCTAATCAGCTCACTATTGTGCGTTGACGTGGTTCAGCTTCTGTCGAACTAAAGGACAAGACTCAGTTTAATATGAGTGTTCTTTCTGTGACAGGGGGGTGTTCTGCTGATGGTGAGTCTGTTCTGTGTTTCTATCGCGTTGGAGATGGTTCATGTGAAACTTTTCAGAGATTATACGTCTGCAGGTCGTACACACAGACACACGTTTATATGAATGGACATATATTCTAGCCTCTTAGCGTTTTGGCGGTGAATTACTTCGCGGCGCATAGACCTACGTTAGGCGTTTTCAGGCGTCCACACAGTGCCGGATCAGATCTGTACTCAGATGAATTCGTGGGAGCTGGCAGCACCAGATCGTTCCGTCTCTGGAGCCATTTTCAGTCGGATTAATGTGGACGAACAATGCAACCACAATGAAAACGACTCGAATATGAACTAGTGTGGACAGGGCCTGAGATGGTCGGAGATTTGACGTGTATTGACCCTTAAATAAAAATCAAAAATGTCAAAGTTGGAAATCTGCAGATTAGTTTAAGAATGAATTGGAACTACTACACAATGATGGTGCAATTAAAAAACTACTATTGCTTGTTTTGAAATTGCCATTCAACTATATAAACATCCATGACTACTTCTATTATGGCCTCCTGGTTTTATTGTTTCTGTGGTTGATAAAGAGTTTGTAATCTAAGAATGGCATGTGTTGACACAAGCTGTACCAGCCGAACCAGCTGGACCAGTGCTGACAGACCAGTCCTAAACTGAAACTACAAAAACACGAGGGCCCTGATAACACGCTGAGGGTAGAACTAACGGGAAATCTCATTTGTTTTAGGCTGGGTCCGGGTTCGGGTTCGATCTTTGTTCACTGACAAACACAAACATTTGATTTTACTCTTGTTTATGTTCGTTTGTTTACAGTGTTCAGACGAGGTTAAATTGTGTCAACAAATGAAAAAAACACGGCATTAATCTGAGTAAGTATTGCTCCTGACTATGAGAGGGTGAGGGAGCAGAGGATGAAGAGGACAGGGTCAGATTGAGCAGAGGATGTAGAGGAGAAGGTGAGAGGAACAGAGGTTGAAGAGAAGAGGGTCAGTTGAGCAGAGGATAGGGTCAGATTGAGCAGAGGATGAAGAGGACAGGGTCAGATTGAGCAGAGGATGTAGAGGAGAAGGTGAGAGGAGCAGAGGAAGAAGAGGAGAGGGTCAGAGGAGCAAAGGAGAGGGGTCAGATTGAGCAGAGGATGAAGAGAAGAGGGTCAGATTGAGCAGAGGATGAAGAGGAAAGGGTGAGAGGAGCAGAGGAAGCAGAGGAGAGGGTCAGATGGAGTAGAAGATGAAGAGAAGAGGGTGAGAGGAGCAGAGGATGAAGAGGAGAGGGTCAGAGGAGCAAAGGAGAGGGGTCAGATTGAGCAGAGGATGAAGAGGAAAGGGTCAGAGGAGGAAAGGATGAAGAGGAGAGGGTGAGAGAAGCACAGGATGAAAAGGAGAAGGTCAAAGAAGGTCAGAGGAGCAGAAGATGAAGAGGAGAAGGTCAGAGGAGCAGAAGATGAAGAGGAGAGGGTCAGAGGATGAAGAAGAGAAGGTCAGATGGAGAGAGGATGAAGAGGAGAGGGTCAGAGCAGCAGAAGATGAAGTGGACAGGATCAAATGTGTCAGAGGATGAAGAGGAGAGGGTTAGAGGAGTAGAGAATGAAGAGGAGAGGATCAGATGGAGCAGAGGATGAAGGTCGTAGGAGCAGAAGATTAAGAGGAGAGGGTCAGACGGAGCAGAGGATGAAGAGAAGAGGATCAGTGGAGCAGAAGAGAGGGTCAGACTGAGCAGAGGATGAAGAGGAAAGGGTGAGAGGAGCAGAGGAAGCAGAGGAGAGGGTCAAATGGAGCAGAGGATTCACGATGACTGTGCAAATCTCCTCACCACACGAAATCCATCTTGTGTTTCTGCACCACAGGATACACATGTGCACGGCACTGACAGCAGCCCGACGCATCGTGGGATGTGCAGTTTTGAAAGGGCCCTCTGTTTCTCATAAAGACGGGCAGATATTGAACAGATCTCATTTCAAAAGACCCAAAGTGGATTCTCCCTCTGAACCATTTCTAATCAGCTCCGAGCAGAGCAGCCGAGCGCACCACATCCCCCTATCTCGCCATCTTTATGACCAGGGACCACAATAAAACACTGGCAGAGTGGTCAGCCTCTCGGTCAGGACATTGTGGGTTAGAATCTGTGAAGTTTCTAAGTGCGTACCCCACCGCAGGCCCACAGAAGCTTTCGAACAGTAGCCCTAATGTTTTGTGTACACATCGTTTGTAGTGTAAACATGAGCAACAATGGCCGTAACAGATAACTGACAACAACAAAAAAAACGCTGTGGAGATACATTTAATTAAAGCTCGTATATTACATAAAATTAATTCTCGTGGCCTTTAAACTGTGTTATAATACTGTTATTTCCTCAAAAACAGACCTGGAGTTGTGTTTTGTTTCATTCACACATGTTTTAGTAACAGTTTATCATTATCTGACTACATCTCCAGACCTCAAAATGCTCTGTTCCACCTTGTGATGTCATATAGTGGTAGTTTTCAAGTTAATACATTACCTTTTATGTTTAATTCAGTAGAGATTGGGGATTCCAGGGCTGAGATTACGCAAATGATTCTGTATGCATCTTAAAAACACAATGGAGCGAAAGGTGGAACAGGTTTTTTTAGTCTGCGTGAAGAACAGAGAAAATACATACAGGATTTACGCGTTAAACATGTGTGAATGAAACAAAAAGGTCTGTTTGCGATGAGGAAACAACACCAGATCACAAAATCATAACATGGACCCTTTAATCAACAAGCTACTAACTACACAAACACCATCAAAGTCCTAAGATCCCGCAAATGCACTATAATAACTAATCTTAGGGTGTCCAGACATCCCTATTTACTCGGGACAGTCCCAGTTTTGAGTCCTGTGTCCCCTGTCGCAGCAGATTTATCCCAAACCGCTGATTTTTTCCAGTTTTATACAAGACATGTCGCTATTTTTGACCAATTTGATCCCTGCGAACAGTAAGCAGAGACAAAAATTGTTATTTGTTTAGGCAAACTACCAAAAAACTGCTTAAAAACGACCAAAACACAACGAAAACGTGACTCCACTGGCTCACAGCACAACAATGTTCCTAAATTACGCACTCGTTTCACAGTTTTATTATTACCAACCACTAAAAAAAAACTCAGAACATAGTCACCCTAACTAATCCACTACAGCAAATGCGTTCTCTGTGGTTCGGTGGAGATGTTTTCCGCGTATCACGAATAGTATGTCCATAAAAACGCACGTCCAGAAATAGGTCCATGATGCAAGGTCGGCCCGTCGCGCACGAACCGCATCTTTTACGCGAACAGTGATTGCATACATTCACATTACACAACCCGGTTAAGCGCATACGACACGCTAATCCTGAAATCCTACGCTTTTTTGGGGGGGAGGGCACACCTTTTAATATTTACATTGAGGAATCCAGCGGAAAAAGCAGTGCAACCAAAACCGACGCTTGAAATTGGATTAAGGCGCGGACGGGCTCACCTGACAGCCCGTGGGAGCATCATCTTTTACTGAATAACCCGCTCCTCTGTTACTTATAAACACTTTGGAGACATTCCGTGCAGAAAAAGTGCAAAAAAACCAACAAAAAAACGTGCACACTAGACCCTTCCCCTCCCCGAAGATCCGATCACTACGTCGGCCCAGATTAGCCCCCCAGACTTCCACGTCGCTCCCGGGGCTGTCCCGACCCCGACGACATGCGACTTCTCCCGCAAATTAACACACGCGTAAACCCGCTCAAACTGTAAATCAATATGTTAAAATTAAAAAAAATAAAATAACAAGTTTGCAAAATAGAGCGCGGCGAACCTGGGGGTTTATTAGCCACAGTTAGCCGCTTACTCAAACACTCCAGCACGCTTTCGCACGTTTTCAAGCAAATTTACAATGAATTTTGACACCGATTTACGATACTAACATCCAAACGCGTGCAATAGACAAGTAGCTACGTGTAAAGTCGCGTTGGGGTGGAATTATTAAATTAAAAATAAAAATTAGGAGCGTTTTTCCTCACCTCTAGCTCTCCGTGAACGACCGCCTGGGAACTACTGAGGAGGGTCACGTGGTTCTTCGGGGAGGGGAGGGGGGGGGAGGAGAAGCGCGGCCCGCCCCCGCTCGAAGGCGATTGGTCCGCGGCGGGGTAAAGGTCGCCTCGTGCCGTCAACTGTCAAGCGGGGATTGGACCACGTGAGCTGTCAGTCAAGGAGCAGGGAGCCCGCCCCCCCGGGAGCTGAACCTCGTGGACGGCGCTGATTGGACGGCGTGGCGGAGGAAGTAGATTCTGATTGGCCCGAGACGTAAACTGGAGCTGATGGAAAGTCGGGTTATCGAATCAATGGAATTTTATCGCGTGTCAATTATATGAAACGTCTAGAATAACGTGAAATTATTTTTTTTTATAATTGTAATAATTTAGGCTATGTCATTTTGAGAAAGAAAATTTGTTTATGTAGCTTGATTTATGAAATTTAACCGTGTATGTACATAGGTATAACATAGAACAGGTATGTTCAAACTCTGTCCGGTTTATCTTGGTCCACAGACTTCCTGCTAAATGAGGGAGACCAGACGTCCCTATTTACCCAGTACATTCCCAGTTTTGAGCCCTGTGTCCCCCTGTGCCATCAGATTTATACAAAACCAGTGATTTGCCCCAGTTTTATACAAGAAATGTCCCTATTTTTAACCAATTTGATCTAAACCAGGACTACATCAGGTCCAAACCAGGACTAAAACCAGGACTATTACAATTTTTGACTAATCTGATCCCTGCCAACAGTAAAGAGGAGCATAAACTGTCATTTATTTTGCCAGAATACAGAAATCTGTGTTTGCGAATGACAATAAAGCAAAAAAAAGGCAGCAACAAAACTCCCTCTTATTATGACTGACAGGAGAATGCACAATCTTGCACACTCTTTTCAATTTTATTTTACAATTTTATTTATACCAAACGTAGAGTGACCAGACATCCCTATTTACCCGGGACAGTCCCAGTTTTGATCCCTGTGTCCCCCTGTGCCACCAGATCTATACAAAACCACTGATTTGTCTCAGTTTTATACAAGAAATGTCCCTATTTTTGACCAATTTGATCTAAACCAGGACTACATCAACTCTAAACCAGGACTAAAAACAGGACTCTCACAATATTTGTACTTCCGTTGGGTTGAACTCCAGAAGTCTGTTTTAAAATAAATTTTGTCTGGTCAAAGGCAATTTTTTGTTGTTGTCGTCTGCCTCCTATTTTGACCACGTCGGGCCAGCTTCCCCACAGAATGTCTGAGGTGTCCCTATTTTGACCAATTTGATCTAAACCAAGACTAAAACAGGACTATCACAATTTTTGACTAATCTGCTCCCTGCCAACAGTTAAGAGGAGCATAAACTGTCATTTGTTTTGCCAAAATACAGAAATCTGCGTTAGTAAATGACCATAAAGCAAAAAAAATGCAGAGACAGAAGTGTCCCTATTTACCCGGGACAGTCCCAGTTTTGAGTCCTGTGTCCCCCGTCGCATCAGATTTATACAAAACCAGTGATTTGTCTCAGTTTTATACAAGAAATGTCCCTATTTTTGACCAGTTTGATCTAAACCAGGACTAAAGTAAGATTAAATCAGATTAAATCAGACTACATCAGGTCTAAACCAGGACTAAAAACAGGACTGTCACAGTTTTTGACTAATCTGATCCCTGCCAACAGTAAAGAGGAGCATAAATTGTCATTTGTTGAGCCAAACTACAGAAATCTGTGTTTGCAAATGACCATAAAGCAAAAAAAAATAAAAAATGCAGAGACAGAAGCCCCTCAGATCATGACTGACACGAGCTCTCTTACGCGCTCTTTTCACAGTTTCATTTTGAGACATCAGATCATGACTGACGCAAGAATGCACAATGTTAAGCGTTGTTTTCACAGTTTTATTTATACCAACCCAGGTGTGTCCCAGTTTAGAATTCTGAAAATCTGGTCACTCTATGCTAAATTGGTTCAGATTACATAATACTATAATATGCCAACAGTAAAAACAGGCATCAGTTGTCATTTGTTTCGGTAAAATACAAAAAAGCTGCTTAAAAATGACCAAAACACAAAGAAAATGTGACTATACTGACTCATGTCTGTTGTGAATGGGCTGAGTGCATATATATGTATTATCACCAACCACCATAAAACGGGGGGTGTACCAGTTTTTTATTTTGAAAATCTGGTCGCCCTGACATAGGTATAATGTAGGGTGACCAGATTTTCAAGATTCTAAACTGGGACACACCTGGGTTGAGATGGGTGGTATAAATAAAACTGTGAAAAGAGCGCGTAAAATTGTGCATTCTCGAGTCAGTCGTAGTCTGATGGACTTCTGTTGCTGCATTTTTTTTGCTTTATGGTCATTTGCAAACATGAATTTCTGTATTTTTGGCTCAACAAATGACAATTTATGCTCTTCTTTGCTGTTGGTGGGGATCAGATTAGTCAAAAATTGTGATAGTCCTGTTTTTAGTCCTGGTTTAGAGTTGATGTAGTCCTGTTTTAGTCTTAGTTTAGTCTTGGTTTACAACAAATTGGTCAAAAACGGGGACATTTCTTGTATAAAACTGGGATAAATCGGTGGATTTGGGTAAATCTGCTGGGACAGGGGACACAGGACTCAAAACTGGGACTGTCCCGGGTAAATAGGGACTTCTGGTCACCCTATGCTCTCTGAATTTCTGTATTTGGGCTCAACAAATGACAATTTATACTCCTCTTTGCTGTTTGCAGGGATCAGATTTGTCAAAAATGGTGATAATCTTGTTTTAGTCCTGATTTAGGGTTGATGTAGTCCTCGTTTAATCTTAGTTTAGTCCTGGTTTAGATCAAATTGGTAAAAAAAATAAAATAAAAATAGAGACACCTGGGACATTTCTTGTATAAAACTGGGATAAATAACTAGTTTTGGGTAAATCTGCTGGGACAGGGGACACAGGACTCAAAACTCTGGGTAAACAGAGACATTTGGTCACCTTAGTAGAAGTAGAACATGCATGTCCAAACTCTGACCAGTTTATCTTGGCCCGCAGACCTCCTGTTAAATTGGTTCAGATTACATAAACAGTGGCGTTTACTGCAAAATTAATGGAACTCTGAATGTATAAAGTCTGGAACAGTGAGAGATACAGGACTACATTCATACACATGTACAACAACTCACTCTTATGTAACAGATAACCCTATGGCATGTCTGTCACTGTTTCATTTTTGCACCGTTTTCTTCTTACGTAAGGTGACCAGACGTCCCTATTTACCCGAGACAGTCCCCCTGTCCCAGCAGATTTACCCAAAAACAGTGATTTGTCCCAGTTTTATACAAGAAACCTCCCTATTTTTGACAAATTTGATCCCTGCCAACAGTAAAACGACGCATAAGTTGTCGTGTGTTTAGATAAAACACAAAAAAAGTTGGTTAAAATCACCAAAACACAAAGAAAATGTGACTATACTGACTCACGTTAGTCGTAAATAATTAATGAAGGGCACTCGTTTCACAATTTTATTATTACCAACCATCACAAAGAGACATATTTTTTATTTTACTTGTGCATACGCTGTACATTTAAATAATTATGACTTGTTTGACACTAGTCTCTTGTTAATTTTGCTGCTTATTTTGATTGTATTTTCTCTTTTTGTTATTATATTATATTGTCAGTGTTGGGGAGTGTTACTTTTAAAATGTATTCCCCTACAGATTACAGATTACACACCCCAAAATGTAGTTTGTAACGGAATCCATTAAATTACTTAAAGTGAGTAATGTAATCTGAATACTTTGGATTATTTGATTTGCTGTAGAGAAACAAAGACGAGGAAATCGTAACATAAGATGTTTTGTCTGATAAAAGAAAATAAAAAGCCCAGACTTTACTGAACCAAATTAAAAATATTATTGATAGAAGAGGAGGAAACACAGTCCACGCAGCATGATTTAGTCCTGGTTTAGTTCTGGTTTTAGACCTGGTTTAGTCCTGGTTTAGTCCCTGTTTTAGTCCTGGTTTAGTTCTGATTTTAGACCTGGTTTAGACCTGGTTTATACCTGATTTAGACCTGCTTCAGTCCTGGTTTAGTCCTGTTTTAGTCCTGGTTTAGTTATGATTTTAGACTTGGTTTAGACCTGGTTTAGTCCTGGTTTAGTTCTGGTTTAGTCCTGGTTTAGTCCTGGTTTAGTTCTGATTTTAGACCTGGTTTAGACCTGGTTTTAGTCCTGGTTTAGTCCTGTTTTAGTTCTGATTTTAGACCTGGTTTAGTCCTGGTTTACTTCTGGTTTAGTTCTGGTTTAGTCCTGGTTTAGTCCTGCTTTAGTTCTGATTTTAGACCTGGTTTAGACCTGGTTTTAGTCCTGGTTTATTCCTGTTTTAGTCCTGGTTTAGTTCTGGTTTTAGACCTGGTTTAGACCTGGTTTTAGTCCTGGTTTTAGACTGGATTAGACCTGGTTTAGATCTAGTTTAGACCTGGTTTAGATCTAGGGGGGATATAGCCCAAAATGTGAAAACAGGAAAATACCTCCATGTAATCCATTTATTTCAACAAAGTAACTGTAATCCAATTACCACTCACTGAAACAGTAACTGTAACTGAATACAGTTACTCATCATTTGTACTCTGATTACTTAACTCCGGTACATGTAATCTGTTACTCCCCAACACTGTCTATTGTGATGTGTGAGCTCCTGTGTCCAAATCATTTCCCTTGTGGATCAATACATTTTGTCTAAATCAATATTACGTCAGAGTGTTACAGAATGTTCAGAGCCTGTCTCACCTAAATACTAATGTGGTCCATCAAAGAAAAAGTAAAAGTAAAAAGTAAAAAATGAAGTTTCAGATAACCTCGAAGATTTAGGAAGAAATTTGGAAGAAAAAAGAGTTGTTTTAGAGGTTGCTCCAGCTGCATGAAGTTCTGAAGCTCCTGTAGATGATTTGGTTTTAAAATCCTCTATACAACCTTTAAAGGTTGTATAGAGGATTTTTTAAGGGAAGACAAATACACCGACAGTCCTTTTTCAAATGTTGTGCATGCGCGACACCATCTTCTTCCTTCACAGCTCCCTCAGTAGAAACATCTCCTCCTGCCTCTTTACTCTAGAAATCACGCTTGTTTACATCCACTGCGCGTTCAGAATTACTGTTGAAGTGACCCGTCTAGAGGTAATTTAGCGACCGACGCGTCCGTTTTTAGACCCTTCGTCTGCTTCAGTCGCGTCATCGCTGGAAAGAATCTCCAAGAATCACCTCAGTTTGTCTTCGCTCCTTTTCCCGTCTCTTCGTCTTTCAGCAACCTCAAAAACGGACTTTCTTTTGCGGCGAACTGGTCGTGGATTCTCGTCCACCATCGCAACAAACTTTGTGCGAACTGCAAGGAAGCGACAGGTAGAAAAAGTCTCTAAGAACCGCTGCATAAACCACGTAATCCCCACGCGCCAGAGAGTCAGTTACACTAGAGAGTTTAATTGATGACCTAACAGCCAATAGAAAATGAGGGAGCCCTGTTATCTATTGGCTGATGTTTATCTGGCCTCACTACGTCCACAGTTGATAGATTTTCTTTTTCTTTTTTTTGATCATCATAATTACAAGGCTGCTACATCTCTGTAATTGTATTTTAAACTTTCAATGACAATTTCAAACTAAAAAATAATCCTCCATACAACCTTTAAGAAGCTGTCACAGTATGAACATTCAGTTGTGAAGAAAGCAGTCTTTACAACTTTGGGCCGACATGTTTGGCACTTGAGTGAAGAAATGTTTGGCTTGACATTCCTCGACTCCAGTGCGACAGAAGAACAGAAGAAGCTCATGGTTCAATATTATGGAAAAGGAAGGTTCAGAGGTTCCACCAAAGCGAAGTGATGCTCTTAATCAAGCAGATTATGGAGAGAAGCAGATCAGGGATATTGTCACGATCAGCGCGATGTGTTTCTTTGAAGCTTTTGATCTGCACAAAACATTTTTAACAATTCCCCAGCAGCAGACGTCATCAGCCGGTTTCACTTTGTGGAAACTGTCTGACCTTGTGGCCACACCGACTTGTCAAAGCCTGATCCCGTCAGATCTCAGAAGCTCAGCGAGGCCCGGCCTGGTCAGGACTTGGATGGGAGACACTGGGAAAATCAGGAGCCACAGGAGGCGCCAGTCGTAAAAAAAAAAAACTGTTGTTGTGTCCTTAGGCAAGACACTTCACCCACATTGCCTAGTATGAAAGTGGTGTGTGCGTAAGTGATGGTGGTGGTCGGAGGGAGAGATGGAGCCGATTGGCATGGCAGCTGCGCTTCCGTCAGTCTGCCCCAGGGCAGCTGTGGCTACAATAGAAGCTTACCTCCACCGGGTGTGGAGAGAAAGAATAATGAATCTATAAATGCTCTGTAAAGTGTCTTTGTGACATATGTCTGTGAAAAGTGCTACATAAATAAAGACTTACTTACTGACCTCGCAGCATTAGGATTCATTTGTTCAACGCTCAATGGAAGGCAGTTACTTTTTTATTTAACTAATCGCTTCTATTTCATCATGACGTATGTAATGCAGCGGAACTCTCCGTGGTGTCCAAGTAATTACCGGCACAACAGCAAACAAATCAGAGAGTGAACATATCTGTCAACGATCATTTTCGTTTCTGCGAGGTGAACTTTGCGAATTAAAGGTGCAAAGAAAACGCGAAGTTTGTATTTGACAAAGGAAATCCAAAGTTGGATAGTGTATGCAGTCTACCATCACAGCTCGAGTTCGCTCTGCTCTTCGATGATTGGCCGGTGCATGGTCTACAACTTTCTCCTTGCAAACCGTCTAGTGTATTCCGATTCCTGATCTAGTCGCTGAAGAGAAATGAAATCGATTGGAGGCCTGACTACAGCAGACTGGGCTGAGGATGCAGACTTTCAGAAGACTGATAAAACTGTTCATTCCAGGAAAGTTATCTGTGATGTTGCTGAAATGAGGTGAAGCTTATTCAAGATTTTAACTGTAGCCGAACAAAGAATGAAGATCAGAAACAGGATCTGCCGCAGGTGTCAGAGAGGCACAGGTACATCTTTAGTAAAGCCACAAAGCCACAGTGGAGCTGGACTTTCTATGCAACTTTTTATGCAAGTTTCAGTTTGTGTTTGCAGAATAAAATGACAAATTATTTGAATATGCCTTATTTATTTGGTTCTACGTATAGGCCCTAAAGCGCAATTTTCAAGTGTCTTAATTTGCATAAAATTATTTTGGCCAGATATGGAACCAAATGCACAGTTTTAATCTAGAGAATCTGAAAAAAAAAAATTATAAAAATTTGGACCACTCTACTAAAAACATCCATTTGAATGATTCATCCCTGTGACGAGTCTATGGCCTCGATCGTCCCTCATTTGTTTTGATATGATGTTTTGATTAAAAAAGTTTGAAAATCCTTGATGCAGATTATGCTTGCTCCCTCACAGGTCACAAAAAATAATATTTTAATATGTACTTCAAATGTCAAAATGGAGGAAAGAAGGACAGAGTTCACCCAGAGCCTTAAAACAACACGGTAACAAAGCGAAATATTTGATCCAGGGCAAAAAATCAAGTGTACGTCAAGTAAGAAACAAACCAACCAGGATAATTGTATGGAATTGTATTGTTCATTAAAGATGCACTTTGTAACTTCTTGTCTCCATGGAGATGTTTTGCTTTGCCTGAAAAGTTTTACAGTAAACTTCACCACAGTGTTGGTTTAATTTTGTCCCAGTAAAATGATGAGAACGACAACAACCAGGCTTGATTTAAATAATATTCTTTATTACAACAGTTGGACCAAATCCAAATCCTAAAACAGAAACAGCATCGATCCAGTGCTTTTCAAATAAAAACTGTACAAACGCACTCGCTCAGACAGACTCCAGGGGGCGCTACAGGAGATGTTCTCTCATTCACACAGTTTTTTTTTTTTTTATTATTATTATTTTAAAATATTTTATTAGAAAAGTGAAACAGCACAGCAGAGAAAGGCCTCAGGAGAAGAGAGGGCAAAGTTCACTTCAGTAGTTTGTGTGTGTGCAGAGGAGAGAGACGGCGCACTGCGGGATTCTGGGAGATGTCGCCAAGGAAGGCAGAAGTGAAGGATTCTGGGAGCTGTAGTCAAGCTTTGTCAAGCTTTGGAGAAGAGAAGTGTCGGATTTGGATGAGGTGTAGTCACAAACTGAAGTGGTTGTTGTTGGTTTTGGAATATGCACAAAAGGATTCTGGGATTTGTAGTTTATTTAAAGCTTCCATTTTCAGTCTTTTTGAAATATTTTTATTGTTTTAAACTTAAAGTGGAACTAAACACAAAATAAAAACTATTTTGCTACCGAACTTTGCATATGGTGTTTGAATAGTATTATCTTGTATTCCCAGTCATTTTTAGAGCATTTTAAAAGAGGATAAAGTGCTGAAAAACTGAAAACTGAGTGAGTGCCAGTGCAATTTCAAGTACTGTATTTTTTGGACTATAAGTTGCGCTTTATTCATGGTTTGTGTGTTTCCTGCGACTTATATATTAAAATGTTCAGACTGAAGCGGCGAGAGGTTCTAGTCTTGTGTGTGAGTATCTGCTGCTCCTGTTCCTCCTGTACCACTGTCACTTGGCTCTACTGCGCATGTCTCCTGCAGAAAGAGCCTCTGTCCTGTCTGTATCATGTCAGTCGATCGCACCGTTACTTCTGCACCACTGAAAATTTAAGATTTAAACAAACTTATAAAGACGACTGAGAAAACTGAACACAAATGGCCTCAAAAAGAAAATCAGATTTTGCAGATTACAAACTGCAAGTCGTGAAATCTGCAGCTGAAAACAGTAATTGAGCAGCAGAAAGTGAGTAAGAAACACTGGGAGGATGCACCATGAAACTTTCCTGAAGTCACTGGATGGACGGACAAAGTCTGGACTTCAGTGACACCGAAACCATCCTGTCGGGATTCAGAAAGGCCGGAATAATTCTAACTGGAACTGATGCTGAGTCTGACGACAGCGACACAGAAGAGGAAGCGGCGCAAAATTTGAAACCGAGGATGAAGAACTGAATGGATTTAGTGATTTGGAGTGAGATGGAGAGTTTGTTAAACTTGTTCTGTTCTGTTGTTTATGTTATAGTTTATCTGAAGAACTGTTCATATGTGACGTTAACAGTCTGTTGTTCTCTTCTATTGTTTTTACTAGAACTTGACTTTTAAGATGAAATGTCGGCTCCTGTTTTAAGATTTTATAAAAGAAATTCCCCCCAAAAGTGCAACTTATATGTTTTTTTTCTTCTTCGTTACACAATTTTTGGCTGGTGCGACTTATACTTATAAAGTCCGAAAAACACAGTACTACATGACATCACACAGGACTGCCATGATTACAGGCAGGTTTTTCTGTGTTTACAAACGCCCCTCCTCCACCCTCACGTTCCCCTTTTGTCCTCCAGGCACTGCCCAGTTTAGCGGCTCTATTTGCAATGTGGTTGTGGGCGGAGTTTAGGTGTTTAGCTCCACTTTAAAATGATAATAACAGTGCGTACGGAACGGAAACGACAGCTGAAAAGATTCGTTTCAGATATAAGGAATTGAATTTGCAACGGCGGGTAACTCATTTCGAACTGCAGATAAAACAAAAACTTAAGCAGAACATGAAAGCTTTAAGTTGCTCAGTTGAAGGGACTTATTTTTAAGGCAAGACACTTCGACGCACACTGTTTTTGTTCAGTCGGAGTCAGGGGTTGGAACTTGTCTTCATAGCTGGAGTTAAAGGTACAGTACGTAACTTTCTGGAGGTCACCTGAATGGTTCCATGGAAGCAGACGGTTCAAATCATACGGAAAGAGACATGTTTTATAAATTACTGTGGAATATTCTACTATTTCCATGGAAACAAGCAGAAATAGGTAGTTTCCAGACTAAATAAGTGTCAGGTTTGTGTTCTCAGTTAAGAACACGTGTTTTCTATGTTTTTCAGTGCAAAAAAACAAACAAAAAAACAAACAATATGCTTTTTAGTCCAGTCTAAAAGTTACGTACTGTGGCTTTAAAATGAAAGCAGAACTCAGTAGCCTGTCCCGTTCCTCATCTGTACAGCGCCCCCTATCTAAAAAAATATATATTATAATCTTCCTAAGTGCATTTCTTTCTGTGTTTGTATATTTTAGACTTTTGTTTCACCGGTGTGATTTTATGTTGCTGTACCGGAGGCAGCCAGCAGGGGGAGGTGCAGGCCAATTTATTCACAACTTACTAGTAGTAAACATTGCACAGATTGTAAACTGGTCACTGAGTTCTGCTTTAAATTAAATAAACAATTCTACTAAAATGTACCAGTTTTAACTCCAAATTCAAACAGGTTCAAAGCAAGTTTCTCCCTGATTAAAAGCTCACTTCCACCTTTCCTTCCTTCCTTGGTCGTGTCCTAGGTTACTCCCTTGGTTGCATCCTCGGTTTGCGTCCTTCGTTGCTCTGTTGCGTCCTTGGTTGCTTCCCCGGTTACTTCCTAGACCGCGTCCTAGGCTGCAGAAGTCCGGAGTGACCAGTGGGCGGAGCTCTGTGAGAGTCTCTGAGGTATCCGTCATAACAGGGGGAAAAGGGGGCGGGGCTCCTTCATTCGGCTTTTTTAATGAAAATCTGGAATAAAACAACAAGAATAAAACATGTAAATTTGCTGCAGAGCTTAAGTCACGGTTAGTTCTATTTAAAGGTCCCAAAATGTGTTTTACCCCAGTACAGATACATTATATAAACAGCTCTTGAAGTCAAAGTTACAAAGTGTTTTATTGTCCAGTAATGGCGCTTGGCTGCTTTACTTGGCTCACGCACTGGGCAGTTTTGGAAAGGTTTTAGTTTTTGAGCTTTTAACATCACATCATGGGATTTTAACCACCATGTGCAGTTCAAAGGACACGAGTAAAGGACTGAGCTGTTTTTTCCTCATGTCCACGGAGACTGTGCTTGATGCTACAGGGTTTTTTTACACCGTATGTGGCAGCAAATGTGGCAGAAAACCTTCCAGAGGAAACACTTTGAGGGAAGGATGCATTTCATCACCGACTGAAACACCAGAGCAGAGTAAGGGCCTGTCCACCTGACGTTTTTTTGGTCGAAAAGGTGAAGTTTGTATTCGTTTTGGGCTTTTTGTTCACATGGAGTCGGGGTTTCAGGTGGGCGAAAACAGCATTCCAGTTCAGGTTCCAGAGTGGAGAAATGTGAGAACGCCGGCGTCACGTCGTCGTGTGGACGAGCAAACTGCAGCTTTTGGAAAACTATGATGTCGCGACCCCGTCATCGCCAGGGTCCTCCAATGCAAAAAAGCTGCAGCCCTCAAACTGGCCTCTGAGGACCGCAAGACCGTTGCTGAAATGTGACAGGTGTAGCCCATGGAGCGGCTCCTGTTGCCCAGCAACCGAGACACGCTGCAAACGCTAATGCTCACAACACGCACCACAGATTATGCACATGGATCAATAACAAAAATTATGCAGAAGTAATTAAACTGTTGGATTTTGAGACCAGTTTTGAGATTTTGAGAAGTTATTCTAATAATTAGTTAAAACCGAAAACTTATGTTTAACTATTGCAAAACAAAACAACTATATTTGTGGAATACATCTAAAATCAGCTAAATTATCTTAAAGTTTAAAAAACAGTGATGAGATCTGCATTATAAAATATTATTATCATTGTTAACAGCGCCACATACAGGTGTGGCAGATGTATTACATCGTTTTCACTGAGTGCTCAGTTGTCGTCTGGACGTGAATATTTATTGATCCAACACGTGTGGACGCAAATTTTTTTCAACCCGCAAAAACAAATTTAAAAATCCAGGAGCATTGTCGTGTGGACAGAGTCTAAGAGTGAGGTCTCTCCCTGGTCACTGCTGTGATGCTGCAGGACACAGAGGAGTGAACTTTTCCTCTCTTCAAACTGACACAGGATCCACTGACCCTCCCTGAGCCGTCCTCCTGTTAAACTGAGACTTTTGACTGAGACACAAAGTCGACTGGAGCGCAGCAGCTCAGCTATGTCCATTTAAATACAGTCTATGGTTCTGGCTTAATTGTTGTACTCCAGATGCCCTACCTCGCTGAGTATGACCCAGACGGGAGAGTCTGTGATGACAGTCAGCCTGATGGCCTCCAGGGGGCCGAAGGAAGGGTCCACCTCCCCCTCACACACGCCGCTGTGGAACCAGGCTGCAAATACAAACACACACAAACACACAGACACACAAACAAAGACACACACAGACATACACACACACACACACACACACACACATGAACTGTTATTACAACCACAGTATTATAACAAAAGATCACAACTACTACTAGAAACTTTGAATTACTTTGTGTATGAATTGTGCTATACAAATAAACTTGCCTTGCCTATTGATACTTTGAAACTTTATCATTTGTCTATTCCACCTTGTGATGTCATGAAGTGGCAGTTTTCAAGTAACTTTTACCTTTTGTTCAGTAGAAAAGGATGATTCCAGGGCTGAAACTATCCAAATTATTCCAATGAAGGTGTATGGAGTTTAAAAACACAGTGGAGCACTTCTTGTATCACCACATGACATCACAAAGTGGAACAGAGTGTTTTCATTTTGAGAGAAGAACTCAGTCTAAATTTTCAGGGTTTGTGTGTTAAACATGTGTGAATGAAACAAAACACAACTGCAGATCTGTTTGTGACGAGGAAACATAGATCAGAAAATAGTAGTAGTAACAGTAGTAGTAGTAGTAGTAGTAGTAGTAGTAGTAGTAGTAGTAGTAGTAGTAGTAGTAGTAGTAGTAGTAGTAGTAGTAGTAGTAGTAGTAGTATTTTTAGTATTTGTAGTAGTCCAGACCTATCCTGTAGAAGCCGTCCTCTGTGCGGTGGTACTTTGGTGTCTTGTCTTTGCTGTCAGTCAGAGCCTCCTTTTCAGCCTGCAGGTTCTGAAATCACAAACAGAATCAGTTTTATTGTCTTTGTCAGAGAATAAAACACAAAAACACCCCCCCACGGTTTGTTTTTTTCAATTTCAATTAAGAATGAAAAACAATAAAATGTGAAAACAGTTTGTTATTTAATTTTTCCATTTTAGTGTCAAACAAAAAACAGATTTTGACCTCTATTTCAATATTTAATTTAAAGTTTATTTCAAATCACACCAATCAAAAAACAGTTTCAGTGCCACAATTTTAATTTTGATATTTTATTCTCTCTGGTTTATTTGCCCCGGAAGTTCTGCTGCAGTGTCGTCCATGGATCTATAATAAAAACTAAACAAAGGAGAGTTCATCGCTGCTTCTTGTTTCTCGTCACGCGCTGCTATAAAAGAAGACGACATGTTTGTCTGCAAAACTACAACTTCTACCAGCAGAAAGATTAAAATATCAAAATTAAAATAAGCACAGAGACTGTTTTTTGATTTGTGTTGTCTGAAATAAACTCTACATTAAATATTGGAACTAGAGATCAAAATCTGTGGTTTTTTTGACACTAAAATGAAATTATGAAATAAACTGTTTTCCCATTTTATTGTGTTTCATTCTTAATTGAAATTCAGAAGAGCGAAGGGTACATGGACCCTCCACCTCGTCCATTGGTGGTTTCCAGATCCTATAACGCACAGGTGTCAAACATACGGCCCGAGGGCCAAGACCTTTAATCTGGCCCTCGGCTGATTTTCTACTAATTATATTTTCTATTAAAATCTTGTTAATTTTCTGTGGTGTTTATCACAGCAGCGTCTCCAGCGTCTCTGTACGTGGCCCCTCCCACCAGAGCAGCACAAATGAAGACTTGTCGCTCTTAAAGGACGATCGTTTTGACTGTTGACCGTGACACCCTCATCAGAAAAATGTCCAACATGAGAAAAGTGGAGCCGAGTGCAGGATTTTCCAAGAAAAATTGACTTATTCCTGTTTGCACAAGTTAATGTTAAAACATTGTGTTGAAATTGCTTTTTTTTTTTTTAAGTTTCAGGTTGTTCATAATATTATAATATTTTGTAAAAGAAAGAGTTCATCAATTAAAAAAAGATTTCTATAATAGATTTGCGTTTCTCTACACAAATATTTGAACGTATTGTTATTTTTGGGGTTTATATGCCATGAGTTTTTTGATCCGGCGACTTGGGAACAAAGTAGGTTGGATACGGCCCTCGGACCAAAATGAGTTTGACACCCCTGTTATAACGTGTCGATGTTGTACAATCAGAAGCAGAGCAAGAGACAGTTTCCCCAACAACAGGTGAGGTGATCTGTTGCAGTTGCAGCTAAACTGGCTCTGTTCAAATAAAGCTCAGATTAAAGTCTAACAAACAAAGCCTCGGACAGAGCGGTGCCTACAGTTAGCGTCACACCCCCGGGAAATGTTGACGACGTCAGCTGCAATTTATCAGCATCAGTAATGGGGAAACTGTCTCCGGCTTTACTTCTAAAGGCCAATTTACGGTCCAGCGTCAAATCGTCTGCGTCACAGAGCCTCTGCGTTGACTGACGTGCACCTCCGAAATTTTCTAACTACGCGTCAAAACGCCGCAGACAGCATTGGTCCTCCCTACCACCGCTCTGTTTACATTTCCTGTCGGCTTTTCTTTCTTTCAGTATATATTGAGAAATAATGTGTTTAGTGCAGCTTTGCGCATATGTGTTTCCGTTTTACAGAAACGAAACAAAACCGCATGGCTAACTTGCATAAACTAAGCGCTCAAAAAACAGCTCGCTCCTGGTACGTAGTCAGCTTCTGTCGGACTTAAAAAGGACACGACTCAGTGGAATATGAGTGTTCTTTCTGTGACAGAGCGGTGTTCTGCTGCTGGTGAGTCTGTTCTGTGCTTTTATCGTGTTAGAGATGGTTCATGTTAAACTTTTCAGAGATTATACGTCTGCGGGTCATACACACAGACCGTATATATGAATGGACAGATATCGTCGCCCCCTAGCGTTTTGGCAGTGAATTACACAGACCTCGACGCAGATCCATAAATCAAAAACGACGGCGACGAGGCGACAGCGGCAGTGAGCGTTGAGTCGACGCAGAACTATACTTCACCCTTAATGGTACGACATCGAACGGTCTGAACGGTCAGGTCGCATTCATCCCACCTACATGTCAGGCTCGGAGTCTCGTCAATGGAGGGAAAGCGAGGTTAGCGAGTTTATTAATATTTGGGGGGGATCGCTGCATTCAGGCCAAATTGGAGGAGTCTTATCAGAACTTTTTGAAATGATTGCTAAAGAAATGTCGGAGCGCGGCTACAGACAGTCCTGGCTCCAATGTCAACGAAAAATAAAGATCCTGCGAGACAAATACAAGGAGGCTAAAGACTCAAACAAACGAAGCGGCCGTGGACGTGTAACCTGCCCATTTTACCAAGAACTGGACCGTATTTTGGAAAACAAGCCCAGCATTTAGGCGACTTCTGTAAACACTGAGCCCGCTCATCCTCCAATGCACATGTGGGGTGTTTAAAGTTCACACTGGAGATCACGTACAAGTCGCATTTAATTGGAAATGTGAACGACCTCTCCAAAAAAAATCGGATTTCACAAAAAAATCTGAATTGAGCAGTCTGAACGCAGCCTCATATTGTTTCATATACTAACTTCTCTAATGGTAATACAATCACTTTTTTTAGTTCTTATCTTCATTTTTTTTTAAAGATTTTTTTCGTTTATGGTCGTATAAACTAAACCACAAATGAGAATGAAAAAAATTTAGTTTTTTTGGTTTTGTTTATGATTGTACAAACTAATAATAATGATAAAGAAGGCACAAAATTGATCATTTATTATCGTATCAAAATAATCTGTAGATCGTATCACTTATTTACGTCACGAGGATTTGAACCCTCAGATCAGAAGTCGAGCGCTGCACCAAAGGAGCCACTGCTGCCCAGATTGTTTTAAATATTACTGGCCTAAACAAAGCTGTGATTTAATCTGAGACGGAGAAATCGCAGGCTCCCGGGCCGCTCGTATCATCAGACCAAATGAAGCTGTGAGAAGAGGAGGAGGAGGAGGTGTTACTCACATCGAAGGGCAGAACCTCCACTGTGGTGTTGAACAGTTTGTCTCCAGGGTGCTCGATGTTCCCACTGCGGAAGAAGAACCTGGAAACAGCATTCGCACAAATATTCGGTTAGTAACAGAATGAGCGGAGAGGATCTGAGGATCTGTCTGAGAGGATTATTGGACACTGTACAACCGCTGCGCACACTCCACAAGTCAAAACAAAAGCAGCTCGTCTGATACTTCTCAAAACATCTATCACCTCTGTTTAAAACCTCATCTATTTAAAATCACTTTTAATGTTGAATCAGTTTTATTATCATGTCGATAGTTTGTCTGATTACCTTGTTTTTTTGTATGTAATCTTTTTATTTGTATTCTTAGTACAGCACCTTTGAGTCTTTAGAAAATTATGTTTATCAAATAGAGAGAGTGTGTGTTTAATTTCTACATTCAGTAAGCGTGATGTAACTTTTCTGGAGGAGATCTGCCCCCTGCGTCTTCCACAACACGGCAACAAAGAAGGAGACATCACCAGGCCAAGTTACACGTACAATCTGAGATCGCAAGCTCCCTCACTGTACAAATTCATGTTTTTTTTAAAAGTATTTTTAGCAATAAAATCGCCTTTTGAGTAACGTATTGTTTGGATTATAAGTTGTACTTTTTCTCATGGTTTGAGTGTTTCCTGCGACACTGCGGTGCGACTTATATATTTAAATGTTGACAGTGAAGCGTCGAGAGGTTCTAGTCTTGTGTGTGAGTATCTGCTGCTCCTGTTCCTCCTGTACCACTGTCACTTGGCTCTAATGCATACGTCTAATATTATTACTCTGTCTACATCTCCAAAGCTCAAAATATTCTGCTCCACCTTGTGATGTCATGAAGTGGTAGTTTTCAGATTTTAACAGCTCCTTTTGACCTTTATTTCAGTAGAGATTGTCAATTCAAGGGCTGAAATTATCCACATGATTCTAGTGAAGGTGTATGGAGTTTAAAAACACAGTGGAGCACCTCCTGTGTTACCACATGACATCACAAGGTGGAACAGAGTGAAGAACTCAGACTAAATATGCAGGATTTGCACGTTAAATATAACAAACTATAACAAAACACAACTCCAGGTCTGTTTTTGATGAGGACCTTTAACTGTCCTCCTCGTCACACTCGTACCTCTCGACCCGCACGGGGGTGAAGAAGCGGATCCGGATGAAGTCCCCGGCCACAGGGGTGAAGGCCCAGAAGAAGTCGTCCCCCTGGTAGGCCTTCTCCAGGGTGAAGTGCTGGTAGGTCTTCAGGCTGGAGCTCAGTTCTGCTGCTGGGTTTATGTGGCCTTTGTGGAGGTGCTGCTTCCCTAAACCAGGTCCTTGTCAGGTCTGGTCTAAACCAGGTCTAAACCAGGAACCAGGTCTAAACCAGGTCTGTCTAAACCCTAAACCAGGTCTAAACCAGGTCTAAACCAGGTCTAAACCAGGTCTAAACCAGGTCTAAACTAGGTCTAAACCAGGCCTAAACCAGGTCTAAACTAGGTCTAAACTAGATCTAAACCAGGTCTAAATCAGGTCTAAACCAAGTCTAATTCAAGTCTAAACTGGGTCTAATCCAAGTCTAAACTAGGTCGAAACTAGGCCTAAACCAAGGCTAAACCAGGTCTAAACCTAAACCAGGTCTAAACCAGGTCTAAACCAGGTCTAAACAGGTCTAGGTCTAAACAGGGTCTAAACCAGGTCTAAACAGGGTCTAAAACTGTGTCTAAACCAGGTCTAAACCGGGTCTAATCCAACTTTAAACTAGGTCTAAACCGGACCTGAACCAGGTCTGAACCAGGTCTAATCCAAGTCTAAACTAGGACTAAACCAGGTCTGAACCAGGACTAAACTAGATCTAAACCAGATCTAGACCAGGTCTAAACCAGGTCTAAACCAGGTCTAAACCAGGTCTGTGTACCTTGAGTTTCTGGATCTTTCCGGCGAGAGACGAGTGCACTCCCACGTGTTGGAACAGAGAGGGTTTGAAGCGGATCCTCAGATTGGCCTTTTGCCGGTCGCAGTGTTTCTGTGGAACACATCACAACAATACAACTACTACAACTACTACTACTACTACTACAACTACTACTACAACTACTACTACAACTACTACTACTACTACTGGTGCTGCTGTAAAGAGCACAGGCTACATCCAGTTTCTTTAGATACTACAGACATAAACATTTTGACTCACTGCGTCCTTCTCGGGGTTGCACACTTTGACCCACATGATGTGATCCAGGAGCCAGTCGATGGGTTTGTCTTTGTAGAACATCAACATGAACTCCACGATCATGGGCAGGTCCTCGGACTTAAACATCTTACCTGCACGAGACACATCGCACACACGGTCAGAGAACGGACCCAACCAGGACTAACCCAGAACTAAACCAGGTCTGAGCCATAGTACAGGACTAAACAAGGACTTAAACTAGGGTTAAAACTTGAATGTAAGACTTTGACATCCTCTCCTCTTCATCCTCTGACCCTCCCCTCATCCTCCAGCCCTCAGATGGTCCGGTTTGTGGGACTGACCGATGAATCCGAGTTGGGAAAACTCCAGGATCATCCACTCCTCTAACGGCTGCTGCAGAGCGAAGTTCTTCATCGTGGTGAAGTAGTTTGGACGAGCCACGATGTCATCTTCTAACTGTGGACAGAAAAACACTAATGTAAACCAGGACTAAACCGGGACTAAACCAGGGTCTAAATGAGAAATAAATCAGGTCTAAACCAGGACTAAACCAGGTTCTAAACCAGAACTAAACTAGCACTAAACCAGAACTAAACCAGGGTCTAAACCAGGACTAAACCAAAGCTAAAACTGGACTAAACCAGGATTAAACCAGGGTCTAAACCAGGATTGAACCAAGATCTAAACCAGGGTCTAAACCAGGATTGAACCAAGATCTAAACCAGGGTCTAAACCAGGACTAAACCAGGTTCTAAACCAGAACTAAACTAGCACTAGACCAGAACTAAACCAGGGTCTAAACCAGGACTAAACCAAAGCTAAACCTGGACTAAACCAGGGTCTAAATCAGGACAAAACCAGGACTAAACCAGGGTCTAAACCAGGATTGAACCAGGACTAAACCAGGGTCTAAACCAGGATTGAACCAGGACTAAACCAGGGTCTAAACCAGGACTGAACCACCAGTAAACCAGGACTAAACCAGGACCAAACCAGGGTGTAAACCAGGATAAACCAGGGCTAAACCAAGATCTCAACCAGGGTCTAAACCAGGACTAAACCAAGATCTAAACCAGGACAAAACCAGGGTCTAAACCAGAACTAAACCAGAGCAAAAAAACTGCACAAAACCAGTACTAAAACAGGGCTAAATCATTATTAAACAGGAGCTAAACCAGGACTAAACCAGGACCAAACCAAAGTCTAAACCAGGGACTAAACCAGGACTAAACCAGGACCAAACCAAAGTCTAAACCAGGGACTAAACCAGGACTAAACCAGAACAAAAAACTGAATTAAAACAGAACTAAATCAGGGTATAAACCAGGACTATATCAGAGTAAAAAAAAAAATATATATAACTAAAACAAGGCTTAATCATTATTAAACCGGAGCTAAACCAGGATTAAATTAGGATAAACCAATGCTAAATTTTGTCCCAAACTGTTACTTAATACTTTACGTTACATTTAAACATACATCTTCACCTCACCATGACCCTTGTAAAAACAATCTGTAAATGAAACTAATATTTTGTGAGTAAAGTTGACCTCTGACCTGGACGTAGTAGGTTCCTTTGGACTGTGCGTACATCATGAGGAAGCAGTAGTCCAGGTTCTGTTTGGTCCTCCACCTGCGCAAATATAAAAGAAAACACTGTAATCACTGATCACTGACTTCTCTTTCTGTATAAATAAACAAAAGAGTCTGTTTTTTTGTTTTTTGTTGTCGACAGGTTAGACTAATAATGTCACTAAAACACAGTTAAGATTTATATTTAAGATTTTTGCCAAAACATTCACTCTTGTTTTCCCAATTTGGGCATTTTTCAGCTTTTAAAAAAAAAAGAAAATTCATAACTGTAACCTAGAAAAACTCCTAATGTACATAAACATTATCTGGCAAATACAAATATAAGAAAACACCTTTATTTTGTTGAAATCATGTTTAAAATATTCTGTAAAATAAGTAATCTATTATACCGTAGCTGATTTGAATCGTGTACCATTTGGTCTTTTGAATTTCAATTAAGAATGAAAAAAAAAAAGGAAAAAGAGTTTATTTTGTTATTCTGTTTTAGTGTCAAAAAAAAAAAAAGATTTTCACCTCTATTGCCAATATTTAATTTAAAGTTAATTTCAAATAACACCAATCAAAAAACAGTCTTGGTGCGTATTTTAATTTTGATATTTTATTCTGTCTGGTTTATTTGCACCAGAAGTTCTGCTGCTTGAAGGATTTACCTGAAAAATCAGTCAGTGCGTACACATGCACATCAGTAACCCGGTTATGATCGGGTTTTTTGAGTATCCCGGTTTCTTGATGGTGCATGTAAACGCAGTAACCCGGTTTCAGTAACCCGGTTATGGCAGTATCCCGGTTATTAGAAACCGGGTTACTGTAGCTGGTTTATTCTGATAGTAACCGGGATACTTGTTGCATGTAAACGCAGTATCCCGGTTACTGCAACATAAAGTTGAGTGCGCATGCGTCCAAAAGACACTTTCCAGCCTTTCACCACAACAGTAGTGACATAAATAAATTGACCAACATAAATAAAGTGACCAAACGAGTGAAATGACTGTAAAATAAAGAGCTGCGCTAAACCTGCACACGTACAATCTGCACTCGTACGACCTGCACTCGTGTGACGCTGAAAAGCTAAAACATGAACTATCTCCTACACTCTATACGCACGAAATACACTTACCATCATTAGCACCTCTTCTGTCACAGAAATAACACACATAATCCACAGAGTCGTGTCATTTAGTCCAAAAGAAACTGATCACATCAGCGGCGCAAGGAGCGAGTTGTTTTTATCGCCGCTAACAGTTTATGCTAATTAGCCAAACGGTCTTAAGTTTCGTTTCTGTAAAACGTAAACAAACGTGATCACAGCTGAATTATCTGATCAAACGGGCTGATGTGGCTCTATAGTCTTTATGGTTTATATGTTGTAAAGTTGAGTTTATTTATGCAGAAGATTTTAATGAAGAATCTGCACAGTGGATTGTGGGAAATCTCGTAGCTCTTTAGCTTCTTATGCTAAAGGAGCTCACAGTTTGTATTTTTCCTGGTTTATGAAATTGATTTAAGTTAATTTTTGCGCCTGCGCATTTGTAAGATTATGTCAAGAAACCGGGATACTCCATTTGATCATGTACACGCGGATATGAGTATCCCGGTTTCTCAGTGCGCATGTAAACGCAGTAACCCGAATACTGACAGAACCGGGATATGGCTAATAACCGGGTTATTGATGTGCATGTATACGCACTCATGGCTGTTATGTGAACAAACATGTCTTCTTCTTTTAGAGTGTCGCATTTACTTTTACATCTTAGAAAGTCATTGTTAAACTCCATGACGAGAAACATTAAGCAGCGATAAAAATGTTTTTTTTTTTTTTTATGTATTATAGATCCATGGTTGACACTGCAGCAGAACGTCCGGGGCAAATAAACCAAAGAGAATAAAATATCAAAATCAAAATAGGCAACGAGACTGATTTTTGGTCCATGTACCATTCATTCTTTTGTATTTCAATTAAGAAGGAAAAACAATAAAATGGGGAAAGTTTGTTATTTAATTATTTTGCTTTAGTGTCAATAAATAAATAAATGTAAAAAAATGATTTTGACCTTTATTTCCAATATTTAATTTAAATAACACCAATTTAAAAAAAAAAAAAAGTCTCAGTGCCACTTTTAATTTTGATATTTTATTCTGTCTGGTTTATTTGCCTCAGAAGTTCTGCTGCTTGAAGGATTTACCTGAAAAATCGTTGCAATTTTGTGAACAAACATGTCGTCTTCTTTTATAGCGACGTGTTTACTTTCATGTCTTAGAAAATAATTGTTAAACTCCATGACGAGAAACAGGAAGAAATGATAAAAACACCGCAGCAGAACTTCTGAGGCAAATAAACCAGAGAGAATAAAATATCAAAATTAAAATTGGCACTGAAACTGTTTTTTGTTTGGTGTTATTTGAAATAAACTTTAAATTAAATATTGTAAATAGAGGTCGAAATCTGTTTGTTTGTTTGACACTAAAATGGAAAAATGAAATAACAAACTGTCTCATTTTATTGTTTTTCATTCTTAATTGAAATAAAAAAAAAAAAACAAATAGTACATGGACCAAATTCCTCCGTCCACTGTATGTAACAAACAGAACATATTTTTAGGAAAATCCCCTGGAATTACAGCGGGATGAAAACAACTGTGATTAAAAAAAAAAAAAAAAGACATTCAAATACAGACGCAGAGAGTGTAAATACAAGTGTAATGTCAGCAGGGGGCGCTGTACATCACATAACCGCTGTATACGCTCATATTTGGTCTTTTTAAACAAACTGCGTCTCTGTAAAACCCCCAGGGGTGTGACTCTCCAAACAAAGACAGACTTATTTAAAGCATCTCCTGACTCTCACATGATCACACACATAAACCAGGCTTAAACCACAGGGTCAGAGGTCAGGGGGTTACAAAAGGTCAAACTCTTTACTTTTACTTTGAACTACAATTTATGCCTGATTAGATATGGGTTAAAAATGTGTCTTTAACTTCAAAATAGAAACAGAAACAGAACAAAACGGCTTTATTTGTCTTTATGGAAACATCCTCTGCATTTGACCTAAATTTAAAGGGCCAGTAAACAATTTTTGATCTATGTTATAATTTTGTTTCCTCATCACAAACTAAATTAAGAAGATAATTAGATAAGTAGATAATGATGACAGTCCCTCGATGAACAAGTGCCAGTTTGCCTTTTGTGCAGAATAAAAGTGAAAAAAAAAGTGAAAATATTGCACACTGACCAATGTCCAAAGCTTAAAAAAAATGATAGATTGTCAGATAATTTCTTTTGGTTTAAATGTTATCTAAAATAAAACAAGTTTTGAACATCAGTCATCTTTTTAAAATCGTTTTTTTATTTTCATTTTTTATTTTTCTTAAGGTGGCCAAGGTTAAATCATAATTGTAAAATAACTTTACCCATAACATATATATATAGTTTTCTTTCTCTGAATATTTAATTTACCTATAATTTGCAAGGATTCAAGGAGCAGTAACTCAGATGACTGTATAATTTATGGTCTTCTTTTCTTTTACTTTTAAGTTGCTGCTCTTTACTTTCACACCTCCGTAACAGGGTCACCAACCTTTCTGAAACTGAGAGCTACTTCATGAGTCACACGAAGGCCAACAGTTTGTTACACTCTTCTGAAATAACAAATGTGCTCAGTTTGACTTTAGTTATACATTATTAATAATAATTAATGATAATCATCTATGTGAAGACACTGATCACGTTAATGATTACTCACAATAATTATCAACAATGACAGCGAGGTGAGAAACAGAGATCAATATTCAGCAGTTTAATTTTATTAATCTCTGTAATTGTTAAATTTTTAAGTACAGTGTTACCCCCAATTCACACCAAAGCACAACAGCGCGTAAACGCAGCAGCTCAGCACACGAGCAGCAGACGAGCAGCTTTAGCTTTCAATTTTAACCGGTCTGACAGTGTAACACCGACAGAGTCATACGTGCGTCCAACGAGCGTCTGACGCTGACGCGCTGCTCAAGATAGTTTGGAGTTCTAATTTTGCAGCATCAACAGAGCGTCTCCAAGGTTTTCAGCAGGGGAAAGACAGGAAATAAACACATGGTGTCAAAATAAACTTCCAATGTCCTTTCAAAATAAGTTAACCAAAGTCAAGACAATGATGTAAACAATGCGCACTGCCCCGCAGGCTCAGGGTCTCTCGGTCTCTCTCTCCAAGATTAGTCCTGGTTTAGACCTGGTTTAGTCCTGGTTTAGTCCTGACCCACCAGTAAAATTCCAGAACGTTAAAACCTGCCTGTTTCAGCAACTATTTGCCCGTATCCATCGGTGCAGGACTCTGTATCAAGTTATAAACGTATAGGCCTTTTTATGTATGTAAATAAGGTTTTAATCACACTTGTAATGTATGTTACTTGACCCATTAATTATAGGTGAATTTAAAAATGTGAGGTGTTTTATGTAACTTTATAGATATAGATATTGTAAACTTTATTTATAATATCTACAATAAAATCTGCCATAACCATCTTAAATGCATTCTGCAGTTCTACACTTAAGCCACAGTACACTTAATACACATTCTAACTTAATACACTTTAACATAACATTTTAAAAAAACAACTACACATGTTAAGAACAAAAAGCAAGTACAAAATGCAATGTATGAAAACAGACTGTGTAGCAGGAGTGTCTCTGAAGCTCTGGTGTGAATTGAAACTTTTAAATTTACACATGTTCGCAGCTCCACCTACGTTAAAGGTTGTATGGAGGATTTTTTTTTGTTTCAAATTGTCAATGATAGATTATAGAGATGCAGTAGTCTTGTAATTATGATGACCAAAAAAAAGAGAATAAAAATTCATCAACTCTGGATGTGGTGGGGCTAAACATTTGCCAATAGATAACGACACTGCCTCGTTATCTGTGAGCTGACAGGCTGTCAATCAATCTCCCTACGTTTCTAGCGTAACTGACTTGCCTGCGCGCCGCCGGTACGTGGTTTACATACGACTGTCACGCAGTCCACAGACGCAAGACGCACAGACGCTGTTTACTCCACCAACGCAACAGTTCTTAGCGGCTTTTTTGACCTATATCTTCCTCGCAGTTAGCACAAAGTTTGTTGCGATGGCGACAAGAATCCAGGAGCAGTTCGCCGCAAAAGAAAGTCAGTTTTTGAGGTCGCTGAAAGAAGAAGACAAGGGGAAAAGCAGCGAAGCCAAACTAAGGTGATTCTTGAAGATTCATTCCAGCGATGGCGCGACTGAAGCAGACGCAGGGTCTAAAGACTGACGCACTGGTCCACAAATTACTCCTGGACAGGAAACTTCTGCTTATTATGAAAACGTACTTTATTTCCAAGAGCTAGACAAACGTTTTTCAGGACACGAAAGCGATATCCTATGTCTGAAAACGTAATTTTCAATGCAAAGAAAGAGTCCGTTTGCTGCTGCGTGTTGTAGCTAGTTCATTCGCACGGAATCTCCGCGCACTCTTCTCTGCTCCTCTTACTGCTCCTCTCCCCGCTGCCCGATCCGCTCTTCTCCCTGCTCCTCACTTCTCCGGGCACGGAATCTCCGCGCACCGCTCCCCTCTCCTCTCTCCCTGCTCCGCTCTTCTCCCTGCTCCTCACTTCTCCGGGCACGGAATCTCCGCGCACCCCCTCCCCCCGCTCCTCACTTCTCCGTCTTGCCTAACCAACACTGTAGTTAGTTGTTTACAAGTCATGTGCAGCACCGGCTGTAAACAAACCTGTTTCTGGCGTAAGGAGGAGGCGGGAGGAGGTGTTTCTACGTAGGAGCTGTAGGGGAGGGGAGGTGGTTTCACACATGCGCAACATTTGAAAAAGGACAAACAGTCGCTGGATTTCTCGTTCCTTGGAAAAACCTCTATACAACCTTTAAGCGCCGCTGCAGCTCCTGGTGTGGGTTCGGGGTTGGCAGTTACCATCATTGCTTCTGAGTGTGTTCACGTGCACATCAGTTTCCTGCTTATAAATGCACTATCGCAATTACTTGACATAATCTTACAAATGCGCAAGTGCAAAAATTATATATTTAATAAACGGAAAAAAGGAAAAATACAAACAACTATAGAACGCTCAGGAGGTTCCTAACCAGCGTGAGAAGCTCTGAGGTGTCCCACAATCCACTGCACAAATCCACGTTTCTAAACACTTGTACAAATTCTATACTGCAGCAGATTCTGCACAAATAAATTCAACTTTCGACATATAAACCATAACCACTCTAGAGCCACATCAGCCTGTCTGAAATTATAACATTTTTAATTCAGCTTTGTGCACATTTGTTTACGTTTACAGAAATGAAACTTAAAACCGCATGGCTAACTTGCATAAACTGTAAGCACTCTAAACTTCAAGTATAACAAACATATTTTTAAGATATTGTCATTTTAAAATCTATATACGGGTGCGATACCATACCGGGAGCCTCCAACCCCATCAAAAAACGGCCCAGAGCGCCCTATACACGAATCCACTCGGGCGTCCGAGCACGACTTCAGTAAACTACAAAGCCGCAAACACACACGGAGCAGACAGCGACCGCACAGCGAAAAACACCCACAGACACACTCATCACTCCACGCCGACGAGGAACGGAACGGAGGAACGAACCAAAAAAGCGAGCGCGACGTGCCACTTCTAGACACGACTGAACAACTGAGTCACTGCGAACACGCCGACAATCGCCACAACTGAACAAAGCCCAGAGTCACCGTGAACGCCACAAACAAACAAAACCACTCACCCATCACACTGATGTGTTTCCCTTTAACCCATTGACGCCGGATGCTGCACAGCGCAGCGCTGAGTCCCCTGTCGGTGTTCCGGATTGTCTGGCGATCAGCGTAACTGGTAAAGGCGGGGCCACATCTGGAAGCATGGGGGGCGTGTCCTCCTCTCGCTTCCATTCACTCCCATAGAGAGACGCAAAACTGCCGGAGCTGTACTGTCGCGTTAAACCTTCTTTATCGTGGCATATTATTTCTCCATTGAAAAATAATCCAAATGTATCCCGAACATGCTCCTATCAAGACCTGGTACAAGACCCGGAACACCTACAGGGGACTCAGCGCTGTGCTGTGCAGCATCCGGCGTCAATGGGTTAAAGTCCTCTAAAGACCATTTAATGACAGTGCGTCTTATAGTGCGGAAAATACGGTAAATGAAAGGGTAATTAAAAAAGAATAGCAACAGAATAAATAAAAAATTTAGATGCAGCTCACTGACGATGAGTTGTGCCATTTTTAGAACCAGCCTGTGGGCGATTCATGTTGTCCTTGGGGGTGCGAACTGGTGTCTGCGGGTCTGTAGTTGGTGTCCCCAGCTTTAAGAATGTTGTGGTTTGTTTTCTGTTTGATTTGAGCGGGTGATTCGTACCTGACCCTCTCTTTGGGGTCTCCGAACGACTCCCTCAGTTTGGAGAAGTCTGGGTAAAAGTGAGACGAAGGAGAGACCACCTCCAGGAGACCGGACTGGATCTCTGCTGGGAAACTGAAACAAAAAACACACACAAATAAGTAAAAAATAACAGAGAATAGTGTTGGAGGCAAGTTTGGCTCTGATTTTAAACTATTTTTAACAAATGCTTTGAACTTTACAGTGTCACGTATTTTCCAATATTATCCAACTCTAAAATAGGTCTAATCTAAGACTAAACCGGGACTAAAGGAGGGTTTGACCAGGACTAAATCAGAAGTAAACAAAACCAAAGCCTAAATTCAACCAGGACTAAATCAGAACTAAACCAGAACTTAAGTTAAACCAGGATTCAACCAGGACCACATCAGAACTAGACAGGGATTAAACCAGGATCTAACAGGACCAAACTAGGACTAAACCAGGATTGAACCAGGATTAAACCAGGACTGAATCAGGATTAAACAGGATTAAACCAGGCCCACACCAGGGCTAAACCAGGGCTAAACCAGGACTAAATCAGAACTAAACCAAGACAAAACCAGGACTAAACCAGGACTAAACCAGGTCTAAACCAGAACTGAAACAGGACAAAACCAGGACTAAACTAGTCCCAAACCAAGACTGAACCATGACTAAACCAGGACTAAATATGAATAAACCAGGACTAAACCAGGACTGAACCAGGACTAAACCAGAACTAAACCAGATCTAAACCAGAACTGAAGGAGGACTAAACCAGAACTAAATGAGGCCCAAACCAGGATTGAACCAGGACTAAACCAGGACTAAATATGAATAAACCAGGACTAAACCAGGTCTAAACCAGGTCGAAACCAGGCCCAAACTAGAACTGAAGCAGGTCTAAACCAGGTCTAAACCAGAACTAAACAGGACTGAACCAGAACTAAACCAAGACAAAACCAGTCTAAACCAGAACTAAACCAGAACTAAACCAGGACTAAACCAGGACTGAACCAGGACTAAACCAGAACTAAACCAGATCTAAACCAGAACTAAACCAGAACTGAAGCAGGACTAAACCAGGACTAAACATGACTAAACCAGAACTAAACCAGAACTGAACCAAGACTCAACTAGGCCTAAACCAGGATTAAACCAGGACTGAACCAAAACTAAACCAGGACTAAACCTGGACTAAACCAGAACTAAACAAGGCCCAAACCAGGATTGAACCATGAGCAAACCAGGCCTGAACCAGGACTAAACCAGGACTAAACCAGGGCTGAACCAACAGTAAAGAAAGACTAAACCAGGACAAAATCAGATCTAAACCAGGACTAAACCAGGACTCACATGCTCCTGAGGTTTTCTGCCACAGAGCTGGCGTACTGTTGATCGGCCTGTAACACAAACAGACAAAAACAACAACGTCAAACATAATGGTTGTGTCCATGGAGATACGTTAGGGAGAATGTACCACAGTATGGCATTAAACATATGTATTCTACTGTAAGCGGGCCCACCTCTCCACAGATCTGACCTATAAATTACCCCAGTGCTTGTGTCCGTGGATATAGATCGATTTAATATCATACTGCGAAAAATTCCAGGAAGAACAACCACAAACCCTCCACCCAGAAAGTTACAGAGTGCACCTTTAATAATAGTCCGCCGCGTGTTTTCCTAAATCCCGCTGACCTTTGACCTTTTCTGTGCACTAGTGTCTGACATTTAGCCGCGTTGAGACCAGTTTACTTAGTCAGACGTATCCAGATGATTATTACTCATATGATCCAAGTCTGAGCGCTGCAACATCCCGTGAAAGGTCAGAGCTGGACTAAGTACGCCCCCAAGACACGGCGCTAATGTTAGTCAGGCTGGATTTAGCGTCTGAGCTAATGGATGCTAATGCCGCTGAATACGCTCTGGCAGAAAGTCGATAATAAAAGATCTTAAAATGATGAATATGAAGAAGTTTTACATGTTCTGAAGTGAAAATATGTAAGACCAGGACTAAACCAGGACTAAAACAGGTCTAAACCAGGACTAGACCAGGACTGAACTAGAACTAAACCAGGACTAAGCCAGAATTAAATCAGGACTAAACCAGGACTAGCCCAGGACTAAACCAGAACTAAACCAGGACTAACTAAGAACTAAACCAGGACTAAACCAGGACTAAACCAGGACTAAACCAGGACTGAACCAGGACTAAACCAGGACTAAACCAGGACTAAACCAGGAACTGAACCAGGACTAAACCAGGACTGAACCAGGACTAAACCAGAACTAAACCAGGACTAAACCAGAACTAAACCAGGACTAACAAAGAACTAAACCAGGACTAAACCAGGACTGAACCAGGACTAAACCAGGGTCTAAACCAGGACTAAACTAGGCCTAAACCAGGACCAAACCAGAGCTAAACCAGGACTAAACTAGGCCTAAACCAGGACCAAACCAGAGCTAAACCAGGATTAAACTAAGACTAAACCAGGACTAAACTAGGACTAAACCAGGACTGAACCAGGACTAAACCAGAACTAAACCAGGACTAACAAAGAAGTAAACCAGGACTGAACCAGGACTACACCAGGACTAAACCAGAACTAAACCGGAACTGAACCGGGACTGAACCAGGATTAACCAGGATTAAACTAAGACTAAACCAGGACTAAACTAGGACTAAACCAGGACTGAACAAGGACTAAACCAGGGACTAAACCAGGACTAAACCAGGGTCTAAACCAGGACTAAACTAGAACTAAACCAGGACTAAACTAGAACTAAACTAGGACTGAACCAGGACTAAACCAGGACTAACAAAGAAGTAAACCAGGACTGAACCAGGACTACACCAGGACTAAACCAGGACTGAACCGGGACTGAACCAGGACTGAACCAGGATTAACCAGGACTAAACCAGGACTGAACCAGGACTGACCTCTGCGATGAGGACCACGATGACGCAGTCCTCTCTTTCCGCGGGGGACAGCTCCGACATCAGAGACGTGAGAGTGTCCGACAGGTACGAGTGCACCTCCCTCTTCACGCTGGGGACGCCGAGGACGATGGACACTGCAGGGGACAGAGGAGACAGAGACAGAGGACACGTGAGACAAACCAGGACCAGGGACAGAGGACATGTGAGACAAACCAGGACCAGGGACAGAGGACACGTGAGACAAACCAGGACCAGGGACAGAGGACACGTGAGACAAACCAGGACCAGGGACAGAGGACATGTGAGACAAACCAGGACCAGAGGACACGTGAGACAAACCAGGACCAGAGGACATGTGAGACAAACCAGGACCAGGGACAGAGGACACGTGAGACAAACCAGGACCAGGGACAGAGGACATGTGAGACAAACAACTCCAGGGACAGAGGACATGTGAGACAAACCAGGACCAGGGACAGAGGACACATGAGACAAACCAGGACCAGGGACAGAGGACATGTGAGACAAACCAGGACCAGGGACAGAGGACATGTGAGACAAACCAGGACCAGGGACAGAGGACACGTGAGACAAACCAGGACCAGGGACAGAGGACATGTGAGACAAACCAGGACCAGAGGACATGTGAGACAAACCAGGACCAGGGACAGAGGACATGTGAGACAAACCAGGACCAGAGACAGAGGACATGTGAGACAACCAGGACCAGACAGGAATGTGAGACAAACCAGGACCAGAGGACAGAGGACATGTGAGACAGGACCAGGGACAGAGGACATGTGAGACAAACCAGGACCAGGGACAGAGGACATGTGAGACAAAACAGCACAGGGACAGAGGACATGTGAGACAAACTAGCACAGGGACAGAGGACATGTGAGACAAACAACACTATTCCAGGGACAGAGGAGAGAGGGGACAGAGGGGACAGGAGACAAGTGAGACAAACCAGTATCAGGGACAGAGGACATGTGAGACAAAACTAGCACAGGGACAGAGGACATGTGAGACAAACAGCACGATTCCAGGGACAGAGGAGGACAGAGGACACATGAGACAAACCAGCACCAGGGACAGAGGAGAAAGGACACAGAGGGGACAGAGGACATGTGAGACAAACAGCACCAGGGGCAGAGGAGAGAGGGGACAGAGGGACCAGGGGAGACAGAGGACATGTGAGACAAACAGCACCAGGAAAAGAGGACCAGAGAACCAGCACTATTCCAGGGACAGAGGAGGACAGAGGAGAGAGGACAGAGAAGAGAAAAGAGAGGGGACAGAGGGGACAGAGGACATTTGAGACAAACAACACTATTCCAGGGACAGAGGAGGACAGAGGAGAGAGAAGGACAGAGGGGACAGAGGACATTTGAGACAAACCAGCACTATTCCAGGGACAGAGAGAGGACAGAGGGGGACACTATCCCAGGGACAGAGGACATGTGAGACAAATGAGCACTATTCCAGGGACAGAGAGAGGACAGAGGGGACAGAGGGGACAGCAGGGACAGAGGACACATGAGACAAGCAACACTATTCCAGGGACAACTATGATCTGTAACCAGGCTGAATCAAATCTAAGTGGACAAAATCAGGACTAAACCAGGACTAAAGCAGAACTAAACCAGGACTAGAATCAGGACTAAACCAGGATTAAACCAGGACTAAGCGAGGCAAGACCAAACCAGGCTAAAACTATGTTAGATCTAAACATGTGCTTCACCTGGACTAAACAAATCCAGGACAAACATAAACAAATCCTGACTGTGGAGTGTGTCCTCCAGGCCCAGTGGGGGTCTGAGGGGAGCCGGGTGGTCGAGCCCCAGACACAGAGCTCTGTTTCTGGGCAGCGAGTGAGCCGTGAGCCCCTGAGGATCCGGGTCTGTGGAGGTCTGGGGGGGTGAGGCTATTTTTAGACCAGACTGAGACTCAGAGCTAACAGGAAGTGACAGTGTCATGTGACCAGGCGGGTCATGTGACTGCTGCAGCGCCCACAGACAGACGGAGTAAAACACAGAGAGGCCAAGATCATTTCAAATGAATCAACAAGAAGACATTTTGTGAAGACAGACGTAGGCCCAAAATCAGCCCTCGAAATCAGGAATAGACTCAATACAGTGTCCCGCATGTGCATTGTAGGACACGGCAACATCACATGCAGCAAGTGAGCTCAGTGTTTACAGAAGTCGAATTTCACAAAAAAATCTGAACTGGGCATTAGGTTCTGCAGTCTGAATGGGTCCAAAACTCAGCAGCTCGACTTTTAACTGGACCCCGGGAAACACAAGAGCGTCTCACCTTTTTTAGCCTCGTGTGCTTTAGAGTCGATTTTAAAATGTGTGTATTTACTTTTAAGTGTTTGCACAGTCTAGCGTCCTCCTACCTCGCTGACCTGATCCACCCTCACGCCCCTGTCCCTCGCTCAGGTCAGCGGACCAGCTCCAGCTCGACGTCCCAAAGACTAAACGTAAGCTTTGTGGGGACCGTGTGTATTCTGTTGCTGCCCCACGGCTCTGGAACCAGTCGCCATTAGAGACCGAAAGGGCGGAGTCTGTACCTGTTTTTAAATCACTGCTAAAAACGCAGCTTTTTTCACTTGACATGCACATTTCTTATTGTTGAGTATCTTATTGTTTTCTGTGTTTTTTAGTAGTTGTATTGTGACTTTGACTGAGATTGTCCTTGTCTGTTCAATGTTTGTGCAGCACTTTGGTTTGAAAGTGCTTTATAAATACATTTGGTAAGGTAAGGTGGTATTTAGTTTTGATACTAGGACTCAACAAACACTCAACCAGGACTCAACCCTGACAGCAGCACTACTCGAAGGACAAACCCATGAGATTTGCCCAGATGCAAACTACACCCAACCCATGTCACTACAAACTAAACCAGGACTTAACCAGGACTACAGTTGGTTCAAGAACGACCAAGGCTACGTTCAGACTGCAGGGCTTAATGCTCAATTCGGATTTTTTAATGAAATCCTATTTTTTTGCGAGGTCGTTCACATTTACAATTAAATGTGACTTGTATGTGATCTCCAGTGTGAACTTTAAACACCCCAACAGTGCCCCGCATGTGCACTGGAGGACCTGACAACGTCCCAAACAGCGATTGTGCTCAATGTTTTGTGGAAGTCGCCTAAACGCGGAGTTTGTCTCCCAAAATCTGGTCCAGTTCTTTGTAAAATGGACAGGTTACGTGTTTGTTTGAGACTTTAACCTACTTGTATTTTGGCTCGCAGGCTCTTTAGTTTTTGTTGACATTGGAGCCAGGACCGTCTGTAGCCGAGGTCGTTCATTTAAAAAAAAGCCCAGTTCCGATAAGACTCCTCCAATTTGGCCTGAATACAGCGATCCCACCAAATATTAAACTCACTAACCTTGCTTTCCCTTCATTGACTAGACTCTGAGCCTGACGTGTAGGTGAGATGAATGTGGCCTGGCCATTCAGACTGAAGTCGCATGTTAAAAGATCAGATATGTATCAGTTTTAGGAGCACATATCCAAGGCTACGTTCAGACTGTTGCCTGAAGTGACTCAAATCCCGATTTTTTCGAACCTATGCTCCTGTATCTGATCTTTTAACGACACTGGTCACTTGGACATGTGCTCCTAAAACCGATACATATCCGATCTTCTGACGTGCGACTTCAGTCTGAACGGCCAGGTCGTATTCATCCCACCTACGTGTCAGGCTCGGAGTCTCGACAACGGAGGGAAAGCGAGGTTAGTGAGTTTGGAGCAATCTTATCAAAAAAATCGGGCGGTTTTTGAACTGACGGTCCTGGCTCCAATGTCAACGAAAAATAAAAAGAGAAAAACAAGGAGGCTAAAGACTCAAACAAACAAAACGGCCATGGATGTTTAACCTGTCCATTTTACAAAGAACTGGACCGGATTTTGGGAGACAAGCCCGAAGTTTAGGCGACTTCCGTAAACACTGAGCACGCTCGTCCTCCAATGCACATGCGGGACACTTTTGGGGAGCTTAAAAGTCACACTGAAGATCACATACAAGTCACATTTAATTAGAAATGTGAACGACCTCGCAAAAAAATCAGATTTCAGACTGTGTCATTAAAAGATCAGATACAGGTCGCACGGGCCACTTCAGGCTGCAGTCTGAACGTAGCCTAAGCCTAAAGGGTGTTAAACCAGATCTAAAGTACTTGAGTTGTAGTGGTGACGTGAATCCTGTGATTGCGCCCCCTGCTGGAGTCTTACCCCCGGTGCGGCCCTGGCCCAGGTGCACGGCGGGCTGCAGGCTCTCGGGGTGCTGCAGGTGCGGCAGGTGATGGAAGATGGAGGGAAGCTGGAGAACGCTCTTGGTACTGCTGACGTTCCACAGCTTCAGACGGGTCTCCTCTGAAACACACGAGCCCACAGTGAGTCCTCTGCTCCATCTGAACCTCCTCTGCTCCATCTACTACTACTACTACTACTACAACTACTACTACTACAAATACAACTACAACTACTACAACTTTCCTATGTTCCTAATCCAGAGTAACCCAGTGAGAAAACTACTGCTCCTACTATTAATTCTGCTAATACTATGACTAGTCCTGCAAATACTTCTACGGCTATTACTACAGCTTCAACCACAACTATTACAACAACTAGTAATAGTACTAGGACTAGTAGTAGTAGTAGTAGTAGTTAGTCACAGGTTTCACAGGATCATAAAAAAGTTGTAGTAGTTTTTGTTTTATTTGTAGAAGCTATAGTAGTAGCTGTATTTACTCCTGGCTAGGATCATGTATGTAGTATTTGTAGTAGTAGTAGTAGTAGTAGTAGTAGTAGTAGTAGTAGTAGTAGTAGTAGTAATAATAGTAGCTGAATTTGTTGTAGTAGAAGCGGTAGTAGCGGCTGGAGTAGTAATTGCAGGTGTACTCATAGTAGTAGCAGAAGAATGATAGTAGTAGGAGTAGAAACAAGAGCAGTAGTAGTAGCCCTAGTACTGTTAGTAGTTGTTGTAGTAGTAGTTGTAGTAGAAGCTGTAGTGATAGCCATAGTAGTATCTGCAGGACTAGCCACAGTAGTAGCAGAATTAATAGCAGTAGTAGTACCAGTAGTTTTCTCACTGGGCTACTCTACTACTACTACTACTACTACGACTAGTCCTGCAATTACTACTGCAGCTACTACTACAACTTCAGCTATTACTATTACAACTACTACTACTATACTACAAATGCTACATAATCGATCTTAGCCAGAAGTAAATGCAGCTACTACTATAGCTTCTACAAATAAAATTACAACTACTCCAACTTTTTTATGATTCTGTGAATCCTGTGACTACTATTACTACTATTACAGGTATTAAAGCTACTACAAATACAACTACAACTACTATAACTTTCTTATGATCCTAGCGCGGAGTAACCCAGTGAGAAAAAAAAAAAAAGCATGATGGCTACTATTACTGCTACTACTATGAATAGTTCTGACATTACTACTACAGCTTCTATTACAACTTTTGCTGCTACTACAACTACTACAGCTACTGGTACTACTACTACTGCTAGGAATACTACATACATGATCCTAGCCAGGAGTAAATACAGATACTACTAGTTTCAACAAATAAAACTACAACTACTACAACATTTTTATGATCCTGTGACTACTACTGCTTCTACTACTACTACTACTACGTCTACTACTACTACTACTGGTACTGCTTCTGCTACTACACTGACTAGTCCTGCAATTACTACTAGAGCTTCTACTACAACGTCGGCTACTACTACTACTACTACAACTACTTTTTTTATGATTCTGTGAAACCTGTGACAACTGCTACTACTACTGCTGCTTCTTCTACTACTCCTACTCCTACTACTCCTACTACTCCTACTACTACTACTACTACTACTCCTCATGCTGTGTACCTGAGAGGCTGGCCCAGGTCTTGTTGAGGTCTCGGAGGGCCTGTTTCTCTGCGATGGCCTTCTTGATCTCGTCCAGGACCAGGTTGAGTTCTTTGGACCTCCTGAGGTTCTCCTGCTCGGCCGAGTGCAGCCGGTCTCTGAGGGCCAAGAACTCCCTCTGGTACACATCCACCACATCTCCTGAAACACACGGAGACACGAATCACTACAAGAACTCCCTCTGGTACACATCCACCACATCTCCTGAAACACACGGAGACACGAATCACTACAAGAACTCCCTCTGGTACACATCCACCACATCTCCTGAAACACACAGAGACACGAATCACTACAAGAACTCCCTCTGGTACACATCCACCACATCTCCTGAAACACACGGAGACACGAATCACTACAAGAACTCCCTCTGGTACACATCCACCACATCTCCTGAAACGCACAGAGACACGAATCACTACAAGAACTCCCTCTGGTACACATCCACCACATCTCCTGAAACACACAGAGACACGAATCACTACAAGAACTCCCTCTGGTACACATCCACCACATCTCCTGAAACACACGGAGACACGAATCACTACAAGAACTCCCTCTGGTACACATCCACCACATCTCCTGAAACACACGGAGACACGAATCACTACAAGAACTCCCTCTGGTACACATCCACCACATCTCCTGAAACACACAGAGACACGAATCACTACAAGAACTCCCTCTGGTACACATCCACCACATCTCCTGAAACACACAGAGACACGAATCACTACAAGAACTCCCTCTGGTACACATCCACCACATCTCCTGAAACACACAGAGACACGAATCACTACAAGAACTCCCTCTGGTACACATCCACCACATCTCCTGAAACACACGGAGACACGAATCACTACAAGAACTCCCTCTGAATCCATGTATCATTCGTTCATTCGTTTTTCAATATAAAACCAAAAATAAGAAAACGAAAAAACAACAGTTTTCTTCGCTATTTGTCTCCAAAACCAAAATGAAAAAATGGATAATGATTCGCCCAGGACTAAACCAGGTCTAAACAACATGACACCTAACAGTAGGTTGACATAATTTAAGGTGATCTCATATAAAAAATAATTTCTCTATCAATAATATTTTTTAATATGGTGAAGGAAAGCTGATCTTGTTTCTGTCTTTAACAGACAAAACCTCTTATATTAATATATCGTGGTCTTTGTTTCTCTACAGTAAACAGTTGCTTATTCATGGAGACTTGGGCTCAGACAATTTGAAGACAACAAACAAGAATTTTCAGGATGTGGTTGCTACATTCATGTCGTTTAAAAAAACATGACAATATCAAGTAATCCAAAGTAATCAGATTACGTTACTCATTTTAAGTAATTTAATGGATTACGTTCCAAACTACATTTTGGGGTGTGTAATCTGTAATCTGTAGGGGATTACATTTTAAAAGTAACCTTCCCAACACTGGCTATAGGACATGGGGAACAAGAGAAAAGGATTTAAAATATGATTCATAGTAAACGTCTGCAAGCAAATGAGGATTATATTGATATTACATACTGAAAAAGATCGGTAAAATGACATAAACAAGGCCCGACATTTGGTCTCGCTAGATTTACATTTAATTTTATTATGATATAGAAGCTGATTTTTTTTTTCAATACATCACACTGCATGACGCGACTGACTAAAGGCTGGCGAGAACGTCCCCCGTCCCCCGAGCTGAAACTTTCAATCCAGGGAGACGCTTGAGCTGGTATTCAGTTTATCATTCTATGAAACATCAGAGTAAACTTATTATTATGTGCTCTAATACTTGATCTGATACAGCTTAAGATCATTATCAAACTTCAGGAAGGGTAATTCTTTTTAGTATCAATACCTGCTCAAATGAGGATCTAGTTTCGATATAGTTTTAGTATCGATTAGTCTCTGACTTTAAATACTTTTGGTAACTCTGGTCCTTATAGGCGAGACACTTCACCCACTTTGTCTGGTGTGACTGTGGTGTGACTGGGTGTAGGTGGCGGGAGATCAGTCTGGCCCAAAACAGCTGCGGCCACAACAGAAACTCACCACCACCACCAGGTTTGATTAAAGTGTCCGAGCTTTAGTCCAGCCCCTGATGTTTGGACCTGCCTGTGGTCACGTGTCCGGACCTGTAAATGTGTCCTGGACCGGGCCGTCTCTGTTTCCATGAGCCGAGTCTGTTTGGCTAATCTGTCCTGACACTTATGAGAGTCGGTATCTAAGTACAGGGGCCAAAACAGCTCCAGTGACTTCATATGGGCTTTCTATTAACTACCTAAGTGTTTATACTGACGGAGAACACACACACACACACACACACACACAGAGACACACAAGTTCAGGGTTCCCATTCTTTTTCACTGACAAAATTTCAAAACTTTTCCATGACTTTTTCCATGACCTAAAGTGAATTTTCCACGATTTTACGGCACCTACATGTGTAGAACTGATCAGACTTTTAGGGTAAATATGAAATGTTAACTCTTTCCATTCACCTTATGGTTTGGGATTAGAGTTTTTTAACATTCAAAATACTGTCAGTGCGTTTATTGTCGTCTCTTTTAAACAAAAAGTCCTGGTTTAGTTCTTGTTTAGTTGTGGTTTAGTCTTGGTTTTAGATTTGGTTTAATCCTGGTTAAGTGATGCTTCTTTAGTTCTTGGTTAATCCTGGATCAGTCACATTTAGTCACCTAAGTTAAACCTGGTTCTGTGGATCCTGTGAAGTCTTGGTTTAGTCCTAGTTTAGTGCATACGATCAGAAATAATCATAATCGCCTAATGAGAACGTAACAGAACACTGTAGTTGCGTGAAAGAGATACTAAAATTCCAGGATTTCCATGACCTTGGGAACACTGAATGTTGTGAGATTTACTTCTTCTTAACCTAATCTTCTCAGGTTTGTCCTGTTTTAAAGGGCTCATATTTCAGTGTTTTCTGATCTGATATAATCTTGTTTCCTCGTCACAAACAGACCTGGAGATGTGTTTTGTTTCATTCACACGTTTAACACACAAACCCTGCAGATTTAGGCTGAGACTAAAAACACTCTGGTCCACCTTGTAGAGCTGCTTGATAATGGAAAAAATCATCATCACGATTATTTTGGTCAATACCGAAATCACGATTATTTAAACGATTATTTTTTTAGTTACACGATGCATTTATACAGCATTTCTCTCAAAAAAAAACAACACTTTGTTATTGATAATTTACACAAAACTTTAAATTGAAAATAAATAAAGGCTACAAATATGCACCTTAGAGCAGTTTTGCGATCACTCCGTGGAAACCGTCTGACCTCGCAGCATTAGGATTCGTTTGCTTGACGGTAGACGGGTACTTTTTTTATTTAACCAATCGCTGCTATTTGGTTGTGATGTTTGTCATGCGCCGGAACGCTCAGTGGTGTCCAAGTAATTTTCGGCACAACAGTAAACAAAGCAGAGAGTGAACTTGTCTGTCAACGATCATTGTCTTTTCTGTGAGATGAACTTGCAATAAAAAATGCTAAATTTGTATTTGACAAAGGAAGTCCAAAGGAGGAGAGCGTATGCAGACTGATATCACAACTCAGGTTGGTTCAGGTTTCCGCTAATTGGTCGGTGCGCGGTTTACAACTTCCGAGGTTCTGGCAAACAGTCTAGTGTGTTCTAATTCCTGACTGGAGAGAAATTAAATTGAGCGGAGGCACTAGTTGGCACCAGCCAGGCTAATTTTGCGATGTATAAAACATAAAATAAATTAAATATACTGTAGGCGCCATATACTCTTCCTACCACTGTGCGGCACTGTGGTTCCCTTTGGACGGTTACCTCGCACTATTTAAAAGGGCTGATTCGTACTGTCTATTGACCGTGTCTTAAATGGAACGTATGGCAAATAAAGGACATTTTTAATTAAGTATTTGGTCTTCTTGATCAGGAACACGTGTCAGGAAAACTATTCACACTTTATCGAATCACAGCGGCTCAGGTACAGCACCACAACAGATACTATGAACATGAAATAAAAACAAAAATTATCCAAAATAAATGATATGGGCCCAGTCAAGAAGAAGTAAACAGCAAGGCCAAAAGTTCAAGTTAATGCATCTGATATAAAAATGTATTGAACAGATACATATGTACTCTAGTTTATCAAACTGTTGACCTTTTTTCTGTACCATTTTTGGTTCTAAAGTTACATACGTTTTAAACAGACCATGTATGAAACATGGAGCAAAAATTATTTCCCAAATTTCAAAGACCCAAAAATCATGTAAATAAATGGATGTATTTCATCATATCTTGTGTTATTCCATCTTTGAACTGTTGATGAAGGTACAGGATTTTTCCAAAAAAATGATAAAAATTTTCTTGGAAGGACTGACATATTTTATAGAAATAGTTTCCTTTCATTTTGAAGTAATATTAAAGTATTCAGAAGAAAAAAGCGACAAATTATGTAAAATCCTGCACCTCCTACTTGTTTGAACAATTTTCCCTCCGTTACTTTTCCCTCCGTTACCATGACCTTTCTTCATAAAAAATCTCATGACTCAAAAAGTAAGAGGTTTTTCAATCTAATCTTGTACCATATGGTAGAAAACTATAGTGAGAACCAAGAGTTATCACTGTTTGTATTTATTGCCCAAAAAGTGCTGCATATTTCATTCCCTCTGTTACCAACATGAGTTTAAAAATTTTTTGTCAACAACTTGAAAGAATATCACAGGTTTAACTTGACCCTGTTGGAGTGTAACTCTTTCCTACATTCTGATACTTTACTTATTTCAATAGTCCCTCTAGTTTCTGAATAAGAGACATTTGAATGTCAAAAATCTGCCCGTTTCCCTCCGTTACCACTTGACCGGACCCAAATATCCATCTTTTCTCCAATCTCTATATTTAAAAATAAAATAAAAACACTTATTTATATATATTTTTTTTAAATCCCCAAATTAACATTTCAACTTGATTATATGAGTTTGGAGATCATCATTTGACACAAATCGAAATTGCAATCAAAATTCAATTAATTGCACAGCCTGACCACCTTGTGATGTCATACAGGAATACACTGTGTTTTTAAATATACATACACACACCTTCACTAGAATAATTTGGATGATTTCAGACCTGGAATTGCGGATCCTTACTGA